AACAAAAAATAGCTCGAAAATCATGATGACCATTATAAGATGACCATTACAAAAACACATTCTTGATGCTGTAATTGATTTTTGTGTACATATTATCTCCCCAATGTCATTATCTTTGTAAATCGTGTATTCCTGTTACTCCTGTTGAAAGGCGTGTAATTAGCAAAACACCATTTCATAGATGTATAGTGTAAAGTTAAATTTACATACAGTGGCAGAATCTTTTGTAAGGGGGAGGGGGCACATGTACATGTGCGCCCCCTCCAAATATATGATTGTGTGTTTTGCTTCCACTCCCACGAATGATAAATGTGATAATCGGTTTAGGGGCTTGGGGTCACAATACACGAACCATGCACATGATTAAAATTGCAGTTAGACTATGGAAGGAATAGAACTCGTTTATTGAAGGAAGAATGGTATCATACAAGACAGAAATAAAAGTTTCCATTTGCCATGAAACATATTTGCATTTGCTGTATTCTATCATCCAAGTCTGTGTATCATGAGTCTTGCATAAAACAATTTATTTAATTTTAATCATCCGTAAGTAGTATTCTGTCCATCTGATTTTGGTTCAGTTCAGTTCAGTTTCAGTTTATTTTCATATTCCACATGTTGTATAATACATCATTACATTTGGCATGTTACATTTTTTGGCAACCACTCCCCTCACCTTCGGCATCCCTCCCCCTCTTTCTCTCTCTCTCTCTCTGTGACACCCCTCCCCCTTCGAAGGGGGGAGGGGAGAGGGGGACCTCCTTTTAAAAAGGTCAATATTATGAACTAGAATGAATACATATATAATTAGGAAAAAGTGGGAATCGACCCATTAGCTCCGCACTGTGAAGCGACCATTTTTTTCAAAAGACCAATCTACCCCCGGCCCCCCACTCAGAGGTCGGAATGACCGTATGCGTGTTGCCAAAATGTCCGGTAAAGGGGTACTTTTCGTGCGACAAAGTCCGGCCCGAGAATTGTAAAAAGGGGTGTATTTGACTTTTCTTTAAAAAGGGGGTGTTTTTCTTTTTTTCTCTCATTTCTTTGGGCTCCTGAGAAGTTATTCCGAATTTAGGGGGTTACATTCAGCATTTTTCCTGATTTAGGGGGGTCTCCCAGGCAGGAAAAGCCCGCGAAAAGCCCGCGAAAGGGGGGTTCGGATGTTGGCAGTCCTCAGATAGGGGGGTGCTTTAAAAAGAGGATACGAGCATATGCGTACCGTAAATAACACTGAGTGGGGGGGGGGGGCCGGGAATCTACCTCCCCAACCTCACTTTTCGCTTTAGTCCCTTTAGCCTGGCAAAACGTCACGTTGCGCGCTATACGACCTTTTGCCGGGCGCGTTCGGGCTTTTTTGTTTCCAGCAAAATGTAGTGAAACAAAAGAAAGGTATATTTGCAAATTAATTTGAGAACATAATAAATCAGGTAAATATCTTTCTCTAAGAATAGTTTTGGCTGCATGGGACATAGACACATTGTCGTTTTTTGCACTTGAAGTAGTTGTTAAAACTTCAAAAGCGTTTTTCTCGGTCCCCCCTTTTTTTTTATCAGCGCCCACGCTACGCGACCCTTTACTGGGCAACCGACTAATATATCAAAATATGCATGATATAACTGGACGAATCAGAAAAATATATATTGTGTTTAATATCAGGCTTTCCCGCCCAAATAATGGAATTAATTCCCGCCAAAATAGTTGAATACTATAAGTGGATCGAGTTTCTCATGTCTATTTATTTATGTGGGATATGGAATCATCTTTACTTGTCTTCTTCCAACTCACCCTCCTCTCCCCCCCCCCCCTCTGTCTGTCTCTCCCTTCCCTCCCACCCTCTCTCTCTCTCTCTCTCTCTCTCTCTCAATTTCTCTCTCAATCTCTCTTTCCATACCTCTTGATCAATTCACATGTACATGTACGGACTATCCAAAATTAACACAAATTCTGTATCGTTCATGTGAAATATATTGATTTCGAGGAAAGGCATGATGATTAATTAACGGCATCAACTTATGTATTACAAAAGAGAAAATATAAAAACAAATATACAACAAATATACAACAAAATATCCGCACCCCGGTGACTTCAGCTCACGCACGCCAGCTATTCTCCACTCCTGACGACGGATAGTCAACATGTTCGTAACGTCGAGCCACTCCCTCCACCCATCCTCTCCAACCGCTATAGTTCTCCTTTAGAACTATAAGCTAAGAAAGATAATCAACAGTCTCTTTCAAGACTACACCACCAATCCTTTTCAGGACTGCACAACTTCAAGAAAGATTACAGAGAGTCCTTTTCAGGACTCCTCAATCCTCCCTCTCTTTCTCAAATGGTGCATCCGCAAAGCCTACTGTATAAATATACAACTGTAAAACACAAATGAGACATATTTAATGCATGATTTACATCAAGAATAATATATTTCATCAATTTCCAGACATTCTAGATGAGAGTTACTTTCAACATCTTGAAACTTGGATGCCCGGTAGGATGCGAAAGTTAATGTGGATACATGACGCCTGGCTGGAATGCTCCACAGGCATTCATTATGTGGCCGGGGTAATAATATATCTGCAAAGTGCTTAGAGACATCATTGATGTTTTAATCGCTATATAAAAGCGGAATATTATTGTTATTATTTATATAAATGGAAGTTTAATTTTGACCACTTAAGTTATGTCCTCAAATAAAACATCGAGAGTAAAGTAAAAACAATTCCTATTTCATATACAGATTTCTGAAATGAAAAATTACACTGAAGCATTATCAAGAAAATAAAGGATTTATTTTAATGTTTATTGATTCAAGTCCAAACTTACTTTTCCCCATAAGTTTGAAATTGATGGTTTGTTTTTACCAGCCTGCTGAAAAGCATGTATGTAACTTGCTTTAACCATAAGAAAGCCAGGCTATTTGAGGTCTTAATAAGGCCGGGGGGGGGGGGGGCATTATAGCCCCCCTAAGATATCGGCCGCGAAAATTTGCACGCTTGTCGAGTGAAGTGTATAGAATACTATCATATTAAAAATATATTTTTTGAAAAATTCACTCATTTGCACATTTATGGTAATTTATGCAAATAAGGTCATACAATTCATCTTTTTACCCATAAATCTTATATTCTTTATATTTAAGCATTCCTTTTCACTACATGTATTTGTTAGGTCATTTAAAACAATAATACAAACAAAAATTTGAAAGAGCTAGGTTATTCCTTATGTTATCTCTTGTTTTTATATTTTCATATCTATTTCAATGTTTGTTTAACTTATGTATTTTATTGTTGTTGTTATTTTATTTCATTTCTAACTACAATTCAACTATTTTGACTCCCAAAACAAACACCTAAACATTAAACAAGACCCAATAACCAATGTTTTGTCTCTTTTTAGGAAAAATGGCATTTACATATGTTTTGTACACAAATCACGGAAATGAGCGATTTTGGGGCTGACATGCAAAGACAAAAGGTCACGTGAATTTGTAACTGTACTTCCGATTTTTAAACAAATTGTTTTAAAAGATGCGCAAGACTCGAAAGAAAAAAGTCCATGAGCAGCGGGGCGTCATCAGTTCCTGAACAATAAAAAAAAAGAACCGCGGAGGGAGGGAGGCGATAATTGCCCCCGGCCTTATTAGGGTTAAGTCCTCTCCTTGGGACTCGGTAATGAGGATTAATGCCATTAGTACAACAATAACGAAATATAACAACATTATAATTCATTCTTAAATAATCATATACAGCAATTATGGTGCAAAATTGTATTTATATATTACAAGTTATAGGCATATACAATTTCAACTAAAATTATAGATAACAAAGCATGAACATAATTAATGTCAAGCATTCCATTTTGTCATATATTACTCAACAGGTCAAGCAAGAGATATACAAATCAATACACTCCTGATTATAGTTTGTTATGCTCATTATTGACAAAATATAAATAGAGAAGTACACTCAAGATATGTTTTTCATTTCATTTCTATAAAAATATATATATGATTTTGACCTTGGAAAGATTGTAGGTGCTTTTTAAAAGCGATTAAATGCAAATATGTTTCTATTATAGATTTCTCTTGAATTAACCATTCCTTTTTAATAATAAGTATTATTATATACCTCACTTAAGAAATCCAGCCATCTGATTGGTCGAAATTGCATTCATAAACTTCAACTATTTCTGTAAAATTCCCAGTAACCATGGTTATTGGGAAAATAGTTCAGTCTCCATGGTTACCCCATAGGTTTACATGTTGAAAAATGGTCTGAGCGATCGAGGATACCGTATGTGTGCGAAGAACTGGTCGGTAATTTCAATACAATTGAATCTCGATCGATCTTACCGACAATTTTATCTTGCATTGTTGACATGAAGACGAAAATAAACTTCCAAAAACAAAAAAACAACATCTGCCGATAGATCTTGATCTAAGTTCGTGCCAATATGCATTGCAAAAGTAAAAGAACTGCCCGTTTAACGAAGCAGCGGCGAAGCATCCACGTTTTCAATCCATTTTAATGTATATATTGGAGAAAACTGCTATCTATGGTAACATAGCGCGCTGGCCGAGCGGGTTAAGGCGCTGACTTTAGTATCATCACCTTTTGTACGCAAGAGATCGATCCCCATCTTCGACAAAAGTTTTTTTTATTTTTTAGTCTATTTTTTTTTCGGCATATAAAAGTATTAATGACTGCTTTAATATTCGAGAAATAGTTGTTTTTATACGCTCTCGGGAAGGTTACAATTGGGCTATTGCCCTCGGCACGCCTCGGGTAATAGCACAATTCTAACCTTCCCTTGAGCGTATAAAAACAACTATTTCTCTCAAAGCAGTCATTAATACTATAATATTAAATTAGACTAAATCATTCAAGCAGACAGATCACTGTGTCGCAAAGAAATATGATGTTCTTCTTGAGATGGGAAGCATCTAGACATTCTAGTTATATGTATGATTAGATGAATACTTGTGCTATGTACAGCTTTGTTCCTTTGGAAGTTCTAAATCACTTTGGGATGCTTCAGAATACAATACATTTCAAAACAATTGTACATGTACCATTGAGATATACATTATCCCACCAGCTGTTACCAAAAAATTGAGAGCCATTGAATATTACAAGAATCTTTTTTCACACTTCATTTTTCCAACAGGCATTGAAAGATGATGTTTTGTTGAAGATCTGTGTTTTCCTGTACAGTTGTATCTATGATTTTCCAGTCAACATTTGTCTGGAGGTGCCAAGGACATGTGTGAAACACTGGTGTCCTTTTGCAAGACATTAATATACATTTTCTACTCTCCACCCAGGCACAAATGGGGACCGGTAATATTAAATTTATTCAATGCTGTGAGTGCCGGGATCATTATTCTGTACTCTGTGCAGCAAGAATAATATTGGAACGCCTTGTGCACCATGTTTGGTAGATATGTGCGCTATAACATTATCTAATATTAATATATTTATTATTGTTCTTAACAAAGCAAAGACAATTATTACTTTTTTTTTCCCTTTTTATAAACTCTGTACACTACCGTTAAGTGAGGTCATTGAACTGATCGAGGAGATCAGAAGCGGCTGGTCTCTTCTCTGGCTTCTGTCTGAAGCATGGTTCAAGGATCTTCTGAACCTTAGAATCTACAGCTGTCAAAGACTCAGGTTTACTCATCTGGCCTGTTAAAATACGAGCCATCAGGGCAAGAGGATGCACCGAGTCTCCCCACAACCGCTTATTGGAGTATAGCTCCACTAATGTTCCTGCAACCGACCAGATGTCATGTTTGTTGGAGTGCCTGTAACCGGGTTCCGTTGCGCCAAGTGCCTCTGGGGGCATGAAGCACGGTGTGCCTCTGATGTTGACTGCGGATTGGGACATGAGGTTGCGGTTCTTGATGTGGGCCAGGCCCAAGTCACAGATGTAGGGACGAATTGTTGCAGATTCCACCTAACAGAATAAAAAACACTATATGTTATGATGGGTAAATTCCCTTATATAAAATTGAACCTGTGATAAAATACAGGACACATGGTTTTAAAGATCAATATATACAACATGAATATAAAGGGTTGCATATCAACTGTTTTTGTATAGTCTTGTATGGTGTGTATCACGGGTATCACACATATATTTAGCCTACCAGGCATCATCAGCACACAAAACGTATCAAGACATACATGTAAATCTTACCAGACCCATCCAGCATGAATTTACAGTAACCCTTTAAAAGCATGAGAAGTACAGTTGAGTGAGAAGTACATAAAGTGTTTCTCCTTCCATGGAATTCAATACATCAATAAACTTTCTGAACTTTTAAAATGGCTTCCCCCATGTACTTACTAGAATATTGGCAGGCTTAATATCAAGATGTAAGATGTTGCAGGCATGCATGAAGGTTACAGCCTGGAGAACCTCACAAGATATCTGAAGCTTTTTGGCCCAGTCTAGAGGAATCTGCAAAATGATTATTGATATGCAATAAGAAATAGGCCATTTCAACAATGTACAGAATCGTTCGGATTCATAGATGAGGAAAATTGGAGATTTTGATATGATCATAAAATCATCTATGTCTAGGGAAATGATGGTTTTCTAAAGCTCTGTACTCACGTGACATGGTAAACTACCTTAAAAAAAATAATGATATTTTGAATGAAAAAAAGATGTATGCAGCTGTGGCCCCTACTACACTACACATATTCCTGTGAGTTAAACAATGTGAAGGGCACTGGGACATGTAATTTCATTGATGTAGCTTTGTTTTTGACAATTATCACATCATATGTGAATGAAGTCGAACTTGCACTTACAATCAGGGAACTGAATGGTATCCAGTCTACCAATCATTCACTTTAATGGGTCGTTTCCCCGCTCCCTTCAGCCCTGCATTTTCCTGGAAACCCTTGAATTAATTACCTTAACGTCATCCCTATCAGGGAAAATGACGGTGTGTAAACTTGGTCCTTCAATGAACTGCATTACCAGGAAGGCCTCTCGTCCCTGGTATCCTAGAGCCATCATCTGAACGATGTTAGGATGACATGCCCGTCTTAATGGAGAGAAGAATATGGAGGAGAAAGAAAGTTTGATGATCATTTCTCATCACAAATATCTCTGGTCAATAAAGCTAAGTCCTGAGTAAACCTATACTCACTACCCTACAAAGTTAGGCATGACATTTTAATATAAATATTCTGGATCCATATATAGCCGAATAAATCAATGGTTGTGTCCCAGCACTTTATAGATATGAATCTATCACGGTCAGCGAATCAAAGCTTGCTTCCGTATAATGGATGTACATTCTGCGATTCCAGGGGAGCATAGCAGACATGCATAATGCTAGTCAACCACCAAAACTTTCTGATCTTCCAAGATACCCTTTTAGTACTTGTCAAAAAGTGTTTAGATCAAATAGTAAACAAACATTAGAAAAACTAACACTCTAGATTATCCTTTTCGAACTTCAATTGATTGTGCTATTCCCGAAAGCCACTTTCTGCCATTTTTGGTACGATGTGACACATGACTCTCAATTTCTTAGAAAAATGTAATTAGACACGAGACTATCCTAACAACACATGTGTGATAAGAATATATCTGGATACCTGTGTATAGCGACTTCCTTCTCGATTTCATCTTTTCTGCTACCCATCATGGAGATCTTTTTGACTGCCACTGGAGTCCCCCTCCAGGAGGCTCGATGGACCACTCCAAACTGCCCCTTCCCAACCACAGGACCCATGTCTAGGTCAGAGACTTCAATTTTGTGCACAAGATCGAAGACTGGAATGAGAATAACATGAGAGAAATATGATTTCATACATATATACAATCTAATATATAAATCAATATCAATATATACAATCTAATCTGTTTTTATATTGTATAGCAACATTTATTGTACATCAAATGTCACATAATAATTAAATCTATATGCACTTTCAAAGGACTTTGGATATTATTTCCCCAGCTTTAGCTCCAGCTATCATAGCACCGTCCATTCGAGGGACAATTCCTTCCACATACCCATTTCATACATCTGGATCAAGTGTGGGAAATGAAGATTAATGCCTTGCCAATGTATGTCAATTCAGCCGCAGGGCTTCGAACCCTTTACCTTGTGGTTCACAGTCTGGAGACTTATCCACTTCACCACAACACCTCTACTACATAGTACATAATAATAGTGCATAATATAATGGTGCTTAGACATTATTATCCTGGTTATAGCAAAGCCATCAAAGTAACCTGCACTCAGTTTTATCATGTATCCATTTACATCTGGGTAGAAAGTGGCTTGGTGCCGGGCTGGGATTTGAACCACATATCTTTGAGATCTATAGTCAGGTTATTTATCCACAACACATTTAAAATAGCTTTACAGTGCATACCACATTATCACACAACTTCCCTCTGCCATTTCAAAAGTGGTTTGAGAATTTAAACTGTAGCTTTAGCTTTGGCAGCTTTTATCAGTGTACAGTGCATTTCAAGCAAAGATATCAAATGACAATTCTCTTCATATGGTACTCTTGTACTTCGCACTAAGTCAATAAATCTATTTTCAAAGACATCTTAAATACTTAAACCTAATTCACTTTAGGCTTTCCTAAATATTGTATTGGCAAACACACGATAGCTAGGATGGTACTCTTCCAGAAGTAATTGAAGCAGCTTTAGGGTAATGTGCATAGAAGGTACTGTATGTCTAAATTCCTGGTCCAACCTGGCTGACCCCAATATATGTAGGTCTACAAACATTTCCATTTAAAAATCAATCCAACCCTTGTAATAAGTTCATTTGAATGAACGCAGATAGATGAAACATAATGAAGAGAGAAAGAGAGAGAGTGACTTGCAATAGAAAAAAGACAGAGAGAAGAGAAGAGACTGTAGAATTCTAAAATATCAGACACCTGATAACATTAGAATACATGTTTATAACGCCAGGTCATTTAACAATTGGTAGTTGAATGAATAACATAAAATGAAGATTAAAGCACAAATTATTGGTAATGGGTTAGGAGCATAGTCTTTACAGCTATTTTGGTAGAGAATGTCGACTTCAGATTTTGAATTACAGTAGGGAGTGAATTCCAATTGTATCTGGACCAGCATGCCAAATGGATTTGAAGGCTAATACGGTTTTTGGATCTCTCAAATGGAATTTGTCAGCTTGTCTTGTGGAATACGAGTGTACATGTTTATTCATATCAAATAATGGGGAGAAATAGAAGGGAAGTTGCCCGTTGTGTAAGCGGAACATAAAAAGTGCAGTCTGCAGTTTGCAGGGTATAAATATCATCAACTTTTAGAGTTTTCAGTTTAAAAAACAGTGGATATCATTGTTCACGATAAGAAGAATTAGTACAATGAGGTACTGCTTCTGGTTCTAAATAATGATAAGAATATTAACATCTTGAATTTCAGTGTATTTATCTCTTCAAGTCAGTATACAAAAGGAACTACCAGCCTCAACGGACGCGTTGTTTTGACATGTACTACCGAAAAGGAGTAAAATCATCGATAAAACTCCTATTTCATAACGCGATGGTCTCTTGTTTTGCTGCTGTGTATTTTTATGCCAATTGTGGCACTTTGAAATGTGATTTGGAAGTTTGATAGTGGATTCTTCGAAGTTTTATGGAGGTGAAAGTGAATGATCTGATGCTTGTTACTGTTCAGTGAATGACTATACAGTCCCATATGCTATCGTTGAGTGCGGGTGACTATATATACAGTTATACACATTTGTGTTAGTTCTTCAACCTACATCATAATTTGTGCAGTATACTCCGACCTATTATCTGTTTGTGTTGCTACACAAGAACATACATGAGTTAACTGATGTTTGATATCATTTTTAGCGAGGAATTATCAGACATGTTTTGAAAGATTGTCTCCTCTATTTGCGGAAATGTGTTGGTGAATATGTTTAGTATGAACGAAGGTCTAGTTCGTCAACTTCAACTGTAATATTCTGGTTGCCTGAACAATTTTTCTTCGACTCTTGGTTATATTCATATATTTGTACCGACATATCACATTCCCCCTGAGTGAATCACTGGCTTCAGCAATATGCCAGTTAAATCTAAGGCTGAAGAAGCAGCCATGAAAACTATTCGTGAATATCTCCAAAGCGACGATTACTACGACGGCATTGAAAAGGCAGTCGATAAAGCCGTAAGCAAACAATTAGGTAAACTTATCAAGCGACTGTCAAAGATTGAAAAGGTTCACGAAAACATAATAGAGCGACTTGACCATAATGACGTCAAACTGTTGGAATTTGAGTCCATCCTGCAATCAAAAGAAGTAGAAATTACGAGATTGAATCATCAGTTACATAACCATCAATCATCTATAGACAACTTCAAAATGTCCCTAAACGATACTGAATAATACTCTCGGCGAAATTGCATCAAGTTCTACGGTGTTGAGGAGATGAACCGTGAAGGGAATGGCAGTATGAGTGAGAACACTGATGACGTCATATGTAAGTTGGTGACGGAGCGTCTCGGGGTATCCCTTACCCCGAATGACATAGACCGGTCCCATCGGATCGCTGCTCCCAAGCGTGACGAAGCACACGGAACTACGTCACTGGCACCAGGCACAGCGCGAGCATCGAAGAAACCAAGACCGCGAGCAATCATCGTGAAGCTCACTACTTATCGCATGAGAACTGAAATCCTGAAAGTGCGCAGGAAGCTAAAGGGAAGTGGTATCGGAATCGACGAGGCATTGACGAAGACCAATCAGGACCTTCTCTATGCCGCTAAGCAGCATGAGAAGGTGAAAGAGGCATGGACCTCAGATGGGCGCGTAATCGTGTTACTGCCGGCAACCAGAGGAAACACCATCAAGCGAGTGATTTGCCCGGCCCCCCCCCCACTCAGTGTTATTTAGGGTACGCATATGCTCGTACCCTGTTTTTGAAAGCACCCCCTATCTGAGGACTGCCAACATTTCCGAACCCCCCTTTCGCGGGCTTTTTGCGGGCTTTTCCTGCCTTGGAGACCCCCCTAAATCAGGAAAAATGCTCAATTTACCCCCCTAAATTCGGAATAATTTCTCAGGAGTCCAAAGAGATGAGAAGAAAAAAAAGAAAAACACCCCCTTTTTAATCTCCGGGTGAAAAGTCAAATACACCCCTTTTTTTTTAACAATTCTCGGGCCGGACTTTGTCGCACGAAAAGTACCCCTTTACCGGACATTTTGGCAACACGCATGCGGTCATTCCGACCTCTGAGTGGGGGCCCGGGGTGATTCGTAGCAAAGAAGAATTAAAGTGGTTATAAAGAAAGACAATGAATGACCGAATGAGAGAAACTGATGAAAATAAAATGGACAGTGAATGTTATGGATAATGAAAATAAGTTAATGAACCATTTTGACACTGGGAAAGAGACAAATTAATGAACAAATACTAGTATACAATCATTTTCACTGATGCATTTCCATATGCATTCAATTTTATATTTTCTGTTTTGTTTTTGCCCGATATATTATATATATATATATATATATATATAGATATACATATATTAATTTGGACTACTCAATAGACCTGTTTAATTTTGTAGTTTACGTAGTTTTTTTATGAATATTTTGTTCCCGTATTTTGCATGTCTATGAATTTGTGTTCTGTCTTTCCATTCTCTTCTGTCAACAATGATGAATACCTTAACTGTGTTGCACAAGTAAACAAAATACGTATAACTTACGATGATTTAAATGACATGAGTGAAGATGTAAGATTAAACGATTCTATTCCAATTCTTGATTCTGACTTTGATCAACAATATGTAAATGATTGCAAATATTATTTGGAAGATGAATTTAAAGAGTCTATAGATCCAAATTTAGTACAATTTAGTGCTATACACTTTAACTCGAGGAGTATGGCCAAAAACTTTGATCAGATTTCTGCCTACCTTAGCAACCTTTCTTTAAATTTTACGGCTATTGGTATGACAGAGACGTGGCTGAATTCAGAAAACGAAAATTGTTACATGTTGGATGGATATAATTTTATTAATAATAACAGAAAAATTGGTAGAGGAGGAGGCGTGGGAATATTTTTAGACGAAAAGTTGTGTTATCGATTACGGGATGACTTGAATCCCACGTGTTCTTCATGTGAAACTGTATTTGTTGAAATTAATATACCTCGATTAAAAAGTATAGTAATTGGTGTAATCTACAGACCCCCGAAGTCCAATTTATATCAATATATGACATATTTTGATAAACTATTGCAAGAACTCTCCAAGGAAAATAAACAAATCTATCTCCTTGGAGACTATAATATTGATTTATTGAAAATTACTTCAAATAGTATTATTACTCTAATGAACATAATTGCGTCACACGGCTTTTACATTCAAATTAATCTTCCAACCCGTGTAACCAACTCATCCCTTTTTATTATTGATAACATATTAACGAATGACAATGATGTTACTCCAGGTATTTTGTATTCCTCAATTACTGATCATATGCCAATTTTCTGCTATAAGAGAGGTGTTTATAAAAATGTTTCAGAACAGTCCTATACTTACAGGAAAATCAATGATTAAACGATTAATAGTTTTTTTTGTTGAATTAAGTAACATTGATTGGGGTGACGTACTAAGGTGTATGGATGCTGATAAAGCTTATACTTTATTTATGAATATATTCCTTAAATTGTATGATAAACATTTTCCTCTTACATCAACAAAAAAGAGAAGAAAAAATAGGAAACCGTGGGTTACCAATAAAATATTGAAATTGACTAAGAAAAAAAATAAAAGTTTTAAAACATTTTGTCAAACAAGACGTACAAGTGATGAGAGAAAATTTAAAAAAAATTAGAAATAAAGTTATTAATGCCCTTCGTAGAGCTCGTCAAGAATATTATAAGAACTTGTTACAATTGAATCGAAATCTAAATTACTTGAACGACTAATCTATAATCGGTTATATAAATTTTTAAATTTCAACGATATTTTAAGTGACACTCAATATGGATTTAGACCCAGCTATTCCTGTGAACATGTTCTTTTAAAAGTGCAACAAAAAATATTAGATTCATTTCAAGCTAACGAACATATAATAGGGATTTTCTTAGACATATCTAAGGCATTCGATTCTATGGATCACTCGATACTTTTATTTAAACTACAACAATGTGGAATACGAGGGATTGCATTAGACTGGTTTAGGGACTATCTTTTAAACAGAGTTCAACATACTTTTGTCCACGGTGTTTTGTCTTTTTCGTTAAATGTCTTTATTGGGGTACCTCAGGGATCAATACTGGGTCCCCTGCTATTTCTTTTATACATAAATGATCTTTGTAAATCATCTAACTTATTAACCTTCTATCAATTTGCTGATGACACTAGTATATTTTTTCATCTAAAGATTTGAATAATACTGTCCGCGTTCTAAATAATGAGCTTAAGAATATATCTGACTGGTTAAAAGCAAATAAATTGTCCCTGAATGTTGACAAAACTAAATGTGTTTATTTTCGAAAAACTAAATATAATATAGGATCTAAAATTTCCAAAATTTCCGATATAGCTAGCAATAACGGTCCTTTCATTAATAACGATAATATTCCCATTTACATTAACAATAAACTTATTCAATTAAGTAATTCCGTTAACTTCTTGGGTGTCGTATTAGATAATTGCTTGGGATTTAAGGACCATATCACAAATGTTTTACATAAGATCAGCAGAAATGCTGGCTTGATAAATAAGCTAAAATATAGTTTGTTACCCGAAAATTTGATAACTTTATATCATTCCATTATTTTCCCTTACTTGAAATACTGTAATATTGTATGGGCCATTAATGCAACACAAACTGAATTAGACTCACTATTTAAAGTTCAAAAGAAATGTTTAAGAATAGCTACCAATTCTCATTATCTAGCACCATCAGCACCCTTGTTTAAGAAGCTATCGTTATTAAATATATATGATATAAATAAGCAAGAAATTGCAACGTTCATGTACAAATATAAAAACACTAGCAGGACCCGCGGAAATCCGCGGGATTTTAGAGGTGGGCGGGGGGGGGGGGGTGTAAATAGATATATAGAGACTGTCTAAATTAAAACCACCAAGAACTTTATTTGCCATTCAGGCCATTAAAAAAATATACATGTTTAGCGTCCCCGCCCGCTTCCTTTTTGGGGGCCGCCTCCTATTTTTTTTTTTTTTGAAAGAAAAAAAAACAGCGTCCCCGCCTGCTTCCTTTTTGGGGGGCCGCCTCCTATTTTTTTTTTTTTAATTTATTTATTTTTTTTTTGAAAGAAAAAAAACATGAAAAGCACTGCTAAAATGTATTTCTGATTTTAAATAAGAAAAAAAAAAAATTGTCGGCCGCCATCTTGAAAAATAGCCTGAATGTCAGGGAAAATGTACGGAGCGGCCATTTTGAAAGAAAAAAAAAAGGGCCTCCTCCTTCCCATTTTTCGAAAAAACAGGATGCTAAAAATTTTTTTTTTTAATTTGGCCTTATATAAAAATTTAAAAAACGATCCAACTGTACCGGTAATTATTCTTTAAGCCACTGGAACTGCGTAGAGTTCCGTATTGTGGCGTACCGACTACGCAGAAATTAGGCTGCGTATTAATGGGAAAATAGTCCCTGCGTAGGTTATGCGTAGGCTGGCGTACAGGTTTGCTTATGGTTGCTTACTGTGTGGAAAGCTTTTACTGCTTTGTCGATCTGGCGTAGGGTAGCGTACTGTTGCGTAGGCATGTAGCGTAGTGTTGCGTAAAAAGGCTGCTTTCTGCGTCAAGTTTCTACGCCGAAAGTACGCAAAAAAAATTAAACATGTTGAATTGTTTTCTTTCATCTTGCGTACCCCTTTTCGTTCCTCAGCATATAGTAACGTAGGCCAGCGTAGTTTGTACGCAACACTACACAACTCTACGTATTGACCCCACGCCAATTAGTGACCCGCAAGTGTCACAAATAAAGTATTAAAAATATACTCATCTGACCCTAATTAAACACCTAAACCCCCCGAGCTTTCGGGGGTTTATAGACCCTTGAAACCCGTGGACCCCACGCCTATATTATATATACACTCAACTCGCTGCGATCTGATCTCGATCTCCCACCCCCCCCCCTCCCAACTTTGAAGAACGTAACCCCCGAGCTTTTGGGGGTTTATGGCCCCTTGAAACCCGTGGACCCCACGCCTATATTATATATACACTCAACTCAGGACACGCGGAAATCCGAGGGATTCTAGAGGGGGGCGCAGGCAAAAAATTAAGTTTTTCATTTCGGGGGCTCCATTTCAAATTTTTGGGAAATTTTCGGGGACTACTTTTTCCAACTTTCGGGGGCTCTTTTTTCTGGGGCTACTTTTTCATTAATTCATAAAAGGATAGGCCTACACTTTGTTGAGATTTGTTTAGTAGGCTCAGGACAGGTTACAGGCTTCCTATACTTCATAATTGCCTATTTAAAAAAAAAACATTTTTCTAGTTCAATAACTAAGTTTTCATGCATTGATTTGATGCAAGAACTGTAACATAATAGACCCTAGATTGTGATTATTTCTGACCATGAATTTCGATAATCATTTTTCAAAGTAAAATTTTCACAAGAAAATCAGACAGTCGTTTAAAAACGTAAACATTAGTAATACTTTTACTAATTCTAAGATCAGGTTTCGTAAATCTATTCACGAAACTAAATCGCGGCAATAATGATGCAAACCAACAGATAACAATTTCAAAGTGTCAAATCTCTTCGACTCGAGCTCAGCTCAGCTGAACTCACACACACACACACACAGTGTAACTCCAGAAAGCTCGAACACCGGCGCCGCAGGCCTCGGACGCCTGCGGTGCGCGGAGCCGGTGTTGGAGCTTAATTGCTGGAGTTAAATTGCAGCTCACACACACTGCACAGCAGCACTGCACTGACTGAAGGCAGCTTGCGACTGAATTGTCAGTCCAATGGTTTTCTTGTGAAAACTTTCCTTTAGAAAATGATAATCAAAATTTAGTAGCATGGCCGTAATAATCACAAAATAAGCTTTCATTTCATACCTCCATTCATGAAAACTATATAAAAATCGCGGCAATAATGATGGAAATAGGTCCCTAAGTTTGGACGTGGACGGGAAGCTTCGTGTGTATCTCTGTGGCTTGTGCAGCTACTATACAATGGATATCCTATAGAAAGATGCTTTACTCGGGTAAGCCCGACCCTGTGCGTCGTGCATTTAATACGCAACTTAATGTGAGTGGATAGTCATCGGTCGTGTGTCTACGGATGTAATTTTGAATATCCATGAGGTATCTCTATCGTCACGCATATCCTGCATTATGCATATCGCGTCTGTTTTCGCCCTGGACGTCGACACGGAGGAGGACCTCGGGCGGAGTATAGCCAATTCCACAGAGTAGACTCTCCCGCGGACGATGGCACAGGGCACGGGTACCCCGAGGGGAGGGTTCAGGAGGAGATAGCTGCACCAACTTCGGTCGGCGATCTCATTAAAAAACAATAGAATACAAAGGCTCGCCGAGACGTCGCGCCCCCCGCGGAGCCTTAGCGTATTATTATTATAGAAGTTGTTACCTGCCCCCTTTTCAGACCTCTTTCAATATAATAGTCAAATTCATAATTACAATACACGGCTTTCCAACAAATTTCATTTATGGTCTGTTAAGTCTAGTTATGAAGCTAAATCAATGAGTTATCTAGGTCCTAAGCAGTGGAATATGATTCCCCAAGTAATAACGAAATCACAATTCATATCTTCCTTTAAAAAACAATATAAAATCTTACTACTAAATAATTACTAATCAGCTCAGTTGTTGATTTTTTTCTTCTAAATTGTATATCTGAACCCTCTTTCATTGTTATCTTGTTTTCCTTTCCTTTCTTTTCCCGCTTTATATATTGTTTTTCTTCTCTCTTTTTTACTTTCTCTTGTCTTATAGATAGTTGAAGTGTTTGTACTTTGCTTATTTTACTTAATTTATTGTTGTGTGCTTATAATATGTTATATTTCTTTTTGTATTTGTTTTTCATTCTTTAATGGGCGATCCAACTTCACAGGTTTTCGCATCCTTCATGGAAAGCCCCGCATATAACCTTTGTAAACATAGTTAAAATGTACTGTTACTTTGTATATTTTGATTTTTATATTGCGAAATAAAATTGAATTGAAATTGTAGACGGCTTCAAATTCTCGCACTCCTGGTATGACGTACTACGATTCTGAGCCGATTTAGCTTTCCCCCCTTAAAAGGAGCATGAAATCCCCTAAAATTTAGATTCTTTTAATCAAATAACTAGTCAGCTCCTTGGTCATGTAAACGTTCAAATAAAATGCTATCACAAGTTCTTCCGAAATCGGATCATAGTCATATGGTGTAGCGTGCAGCAGGCTTAACTTGTTTATATTATATAAAGATGTTTACCTTCAATTTTTGGTTTGCCAGATTTCTTTTGGTTTCCTACTGGACGGCCATCAGCTCCACTCTCACTCTCAGCTGAGTCCTGTCTTATCCGATTTGGAGAGCCTTTATCAGTGATGCTCAGACCATCGTTTCGCTTAACGATAATATCATCGTCATCAACACTGATGGAGTTACTGCTCAGGCGTCCCTTCTTCACATCCTCATCTTCCCCGAGGTCCTCCCATGATGACATATCATCAGATCTAAAAAAAGGTATTGATAAAATGCATTATATCCTAGACATAATTACATTGCAATAAGTGAAGAAAATATATGTGTAAGTACACTAGTTTCATGAATGACGAAGGTACAAGTACTTTTGTTAATAATGCAAGGTGACAAGAAAAATGATTATTATGTAAGATCATTTAGATAAGAAATGAAAATGTGAAGATGGCATTAATCAACTAAAAATAAAACAGAACTAATGATTCAAAAATGTAATAGAACAAAGAAAATATAAGAAGGGACTATAAATTATGTGATTGGCCAAGAAAGAATATAAAATTGTTAACAGGAATTAAAATGGTAAATATTTATCAACATCAGGTTTGAAGGGTATGAAGAGCATCATGTACACAGAATATTTTGCTTCGCATAACACAAAATAATAACAATACAAATTACATTTTTTTGATCTCATATGATTTTTGACATCTTCTATAATTCTTTATATAACACACAAATGATTCCTCTGTGCCACATTGGCTTATTCAAGTATTAAACACTGTTTCCAGTGCAAGATTTATCTTTACAGGTGTTACAAGGGTTTTCTTGGAGCTATTTATTAAAACTGAAACCGGGCTATTTTGCAAAGCTATTGGGTTGCACAAAGAAATCCTTCTGTCAATTGTTGCCTATTGTTTTGTGAAAAATTGCATTTGTGCAACCAAGCGACCTTGCAGACAGGCAAAGAAGGCAACCAAAGTGTTAAGGAAATTGACTTACATCTTTTCACGAGCAATCTTCTTCAAAGTTTTCTTCAGCTCAGCATTCCTGATGTAATATAGCGGTGTTCGACATCTGACATTATCTATGTCTATGGACGCTCCTTTAAGAACCATGAAGCAGAGTGCAGCATCAGCACTGTTATCAACTCCACAATCTCTAAAACGCTTGCGAATCTGGTAGAAAATACAGAGCAAAAAGTCAATTAATCTTTGCACAAATGTGGATCGATTTGATATTTTTAACTAGAACACCAAGTTACGATACCTGAAAATCTGAAAATATAGGACCACTGGTTATCATTTGGGGGATGGTACCAGTTGATTTAAAAAAGGTGTTTATGGAGATTCCTCCAAAGTAATGAGCATCAAAATCATATAATAAACTATTATCACATGATCTTTTATTTACAGTAGCTATCAGTGAATGTATATGAGCCCTGGCAGTCGAACTGATTGTTGCTTTGCATTTTAATGGTGGCAGCGGTGGGATATTCTAGAAATGACTTGTCTCAAAGTCACATGTATATCATTCATCCATATATGTCTCTCCATTAGGGACGTCACCTGACCATAACCAGGCCATGAAAGTGACTGCATGATGTTTGAAACTCCTTCACTAACATTGGGTGCTCTGTCTGGAATATTACACAGCACCAAATATCATTCCTCCTTATCCGTCTCTCCATTAGGGTAAGCATCTTGTGGAAACAGAACATAATGGATACCATCTTACATCAGCGCCCAACTAAGCTATCTTAATAAATTGCATTTATATTATGTTTTTTTCTTGAAAGATCATGGTATAAGTACAGTCATTGGCAACTATTATATCAATATACATCAATAGCAACAAAATAATTTCAGACATTTGTGTACAAACACAACATTAATTAAACCTAAATAGCTTAAAGCTAAAGACCAGTTATGGTCATGCGATTGCATTGTGAAAGAAACGTTGTGGAATCGATCAGAAAAGGTTGATCATCTAGCATCTAGCATCTGCAAGGTTTTGGAATCATCAAAATGATAAGAAATTTGGCCCATTCTTTGTAAAGTTACAAGCACTATACACAGAAAGATGTATATGGGACTACCCTATATCTCTCACAGACCATGAGAGAAACAAATTTACCAAATATATGAATTAGTAGGCGGTTTCCCGGCAAATTGTTTATCATCATGTATTAGTCAAAACATATTCTTTCACATGATTGGTAATGAGAGCTTCCATTTCATTTTTTGAAATTGGGGCGTTTCCAATACTGGTCTTTACCTTTAAGCAAAACATCTTTGGTATGTTTTGGATGAAAAATTCACAAACGAAATATGGTTTATTTCATAAAATATTTGACTTAATAATTTCAGTTTTGGAGAATATGATCTCTGTATCAAATTGATCTCTATTCACACCAGAGCTTTTACTATGAGACATTCATACTCTTTTCCCTGGGCACACACAAACGTAGACATACCTTCCTCAGTGTAGGAGTGTCTTTGATATCACTTGGATCTTTCACTGCTTTGTGGGCAAGGAGGTGCAGGGCAGTGTGATCATGTTCACCATGAAGATTGATATCAGCACCCTGTGACACCAGAAACTCTATGCTGTGGGAATATCCCTTATAAGCCGCCAGGTGAAGTGCTGTATCTGCTTTCACGTTCTTAGCGTTCACATCCAACCCATGATCCTTCCATCAGCACAAAATATACAACTTTCATTATTTAGTCATCGTAATAGATACATAAGTTTCATCCTTATCTAAATAAGACTGTTCAACATGCTTCACCATTGCCTGCATAAACTGTGAGGCCCCTGTATTATAGGCCTGTGGTAATTAGACAAATTAGTAGTCATACATAGAGATATACGTTGCACAATGTGTCTCATGTATTGATAGCCTACATGTACATGTATTAGCTTCTACTACACAAATAAAGTTGACTTTCAGGAACATGTATCTTTACACATTCACCATACCATAACAACTACAGATATTCAACTGTCATATATCTCATCCAGTCCATTAAATTTGTAAAATCAGAAGTACATAAACATGAAAATTAAAACAAGCTACATGCAGATGGGGAATCTCTTTTTCTCAGACAATAAATTTGCTTTTATGTTTCATACTTGTCTGGTAGCTTACTCAGAGAAGGAGGTATGTAAAGTCATAACTGAAACGCAAATCCCTAATCGTTTAAAATTGAAATTTTTAGCACAGGCTTCAAAAATAAATAACTGTTTCCATTGCAAGATCAATCTATACTGGTGTATTAAGAGGGTTGTCATGGATCAAGACCGGAAGTGGGTAATTTTGTAAAGCCGTTGCGTTGCACAAAGCAATCATTCAGTCAATTGGTGCTTACTGTTTTGTGCAAAATTGTTTTTATGGCAAAGTAGTGACTATGCAGAGAGGGTACAAAGAAAGCAACAGAAGTGTTAAATTCAAGATCATCACCAACAATTGTGTCTTTGCATTCCAGACGGGTGTTGATGTGCCTTAACGTTTTGCTAGGGTACTTGATAGTCTTAGTAAATTACCTTTATAGCCATAACAACCTTCATGACTTCTACATGGCCATTGACTGCACAGATATGCAGTATGGTGAAACCGTCATGCTTTACATAAGCAATAGATTGAGGAAAACTTTTTGCAATTAACTCAGCAGGTCTAAAATGTAAAATAAATAAAACGAAAATAGTCAAGATCAGACAGGAAATTTTCATAATCATAAATTTCAAGTTGAAGTCAAAGTCCTTTTATTATTCTTCATCTTAAACCTAAACGTAACCTAAAATACAATCATAACCCGATCTCTTCGACAAAGTAAAGAACAGGACAAATGTCCCCAGAGCTTAACAAGCTCGGGACAAATCAAAATATACTCTTGGCCACATCTCAATCCTGGCTCAATCAAGAAGATGAATCATGCCTGCCTGTGCTTGACTGACACAATGGAACAAGCATAAAGGATACTTGCCGATGGTGTGATATCATATTCAAAGGTGAAACCCATGATCAGTAGCAAAATTGAAAAAAAGCCTTCTATTTTTCATACATTAAAGAATTTTTTCAGACAAAAAAGGTTAGAAATGTGCTCTAAATAAAGCCGAATTTGGGAGCTCATCGAGTACAAATTTACAAAAAGTAGGCTTATTTTTCTGAAGGCAGGTACAAACGTATTTCCTGCGTGCAATCATTGTGAAAATATGACCCCCTTTTCATAAAATTTCTTGCTTTTTCCAAAAGCATACTCTTTTTCCCAACATTCTTTCACCCCTGGAAATCACCCCTTTTAACTTTGCATGAAATATCTGTTGGTCATGCAAACAATATTAAGGTCAATGTGAAGTGATAGTACCAGGGGAATACTTACTCTAGTTTGTCCTGGACAGCTGCAAACTGTAGAGCTGGAAACCCTCTCTTGTTGACCAGAGTCACATCAAGGTCTGGAACTTTCACCAATAGTTCAATGACATCTACCCTGCTATTTATTATAGCCTCATGGAGGGGAGTATCTTTCTCTGAATCCTTATATCAAATTATAGGAAACTATGTAACATTAATGTCATAATTCCAATTCTTCTATATTCGTCATTAATTGCCTTCTAGGCTAAACGTTGCAATCAACTGCAATAGCATGTGTAATAAACACATTCATACGTATGGCCAAAGTAAATGAATTCATGGACGTATTCGTAATATTCTTTAGAGATATTAACTGCAATTCATTTCATGATCAGGGTGACTAGTCCGTTACAATATCCCCCTTCCATCAAATACTTAATTTTGCACATTGCTTTGAGTTTCGGAACACCAACTTGTTTAACAACTCTTGTAACCTAATTTCTTTCACTGTACTTATCTTATCTTATAATGCATCTAAATTTTATTTTACCTGCATATATGTACAGTTTTGAGCTCTCTTTCGTTGTTTGTTTGTATTACATTTACATATTTTATGGTTTGAAAATCATAATCTCAATCAATCAGACAATCTTTGTGGACTACTCCGTCATTGATTCAATAAACATGTAACTTATCAATTCTCAAATTTCTGTTTTACCCAAAGCAAATGGTAACTTATATTAACAACGAAACTTGTAAATGGCATGTAAATATATATAATACTTGTTCAGTTTTCAATATGTTTGAATGTGTTATTAATGTACTTCATGCAATGTTCTTTAACCTTTTAAAGTTAACAATTTCAGCTCTTAGCAGCATGTTCAATGATTTAAAAATAATCTTAATAAACCAAACCAAAAAACCAAAACGAACCCAGAGGACAATGATTTCCATGACAATTATACCCTCAACAAATTCTTTACTAGGAGAATTCCCCCGCCCCAACCAATTAACTCATAGACAAATAAGAACCCCAGGGTAATCTTTTATAATCTAGACTTGATATTGTCAGTCTTGTAGGCTGTCAGTCATATCGGCTGACCGTCTTGTGTATGTCCATCCTGTGGGCTAGCTGCAGCCCTCTTTATTAGTTCACTCTCACATCTATAATAATAATGGCCAAACTGATACATACCTGTACATTAATGTCACATCCATGGTTAATTAAGACCCTTGTACAGTCAACAAACCCTTTGTAAGCTGCTCGATGGATCGGTCTCCTTCCTTTATCATTACCTCTGTTTATATCTGCTCCTTTACCAATCAAATACTTTGTGATAGCTGGTTCATCCCTGTGGTAGGTTTAAGAATAACACACACATTTGCCTACTGTGTACACCATTTACTGGACATTTCACATACATACAATATGAAACTTCTTGAAATGTGCCTTAAAAGTCAGAAATGAACATCATGGTGCAGAGCCTACATCTTTTGTCATAATACATGTTTCAACTCTGCACAAAACAGGTTTCCTAGGAATCAACCTCCATAATTTTACATCCAAGTAGACCTATGCAATTTTTGTTCTTATTTTAAAGGGGACAAAACAATTATCTGAAATTGTTATGCTCTGTGTGCTTGGGTTCCTATTTTAGAAATTAAAATCATAAGCTAAGAATATTCCTGTAAAATTACATTATTTAACAAATCATTACATAATGATAAACTGTGTCTGCAAAGCCAACTTTATCTATACAGCGGGTTCTACAATAATAGTAATAATGAGGAGAAGAAGAAAACTAACATTTATATAGAGCTGAATTTCAATGTTTCTAGTGCTGTACTGCTAATACCCTGGCATTAGCTGAGGTCCCCTGATAAGGCACTCACCGGCTACCCACTAACACAACATGAGTAGAGAGTAGAAAACATTTGTGTGCTGCGGCAGGACTCTAACCTTAAACCATTGGGTGTGCCCACTATAGACCATGACACCTTTGAACAGATTTAGCTGTACATTGTATATCACATCATACATGTATCTGTCAAAATTGTAAGACACATGCTCCAATCTCTCTGCAGTAACTTCCTACACTAAGCGGATTGCTAACTTCAACCCTGGAACAAACACCATACCTAACCCTAGTCCTAATGCTACCTTTACACTTTGTTCCATGCAGGCGGCCAAGGCAGCCCCATTTGCCCGAAATCTAGTGCAGCGTGAGATTTTGGTCAATTTTATCTCTGTATTCAAGTTTAGTTAGCTCTTGCCAAGGTCTTGCCAAGTTTTCTCACGGTCTATAAGGTTTCTGCGACGGGCCGGGCGGGGGAGGGAAAGGGGATGCTGTCCTGAAGGCTCCAAGGCACACTACGGTTCGGCCTGCTGTCTACCTCCGATGCCAGTACGGGTCGTTCCCTCGAGGGAACTCGATCTCGGCCCGTCACGTTCTGATGGGGTTCCTCACATTTTTCACGTTCTGTCAAGGCTTTCTACGGATGAAACATGGACGCCGGGCAGCTTTAATTGAAGCATGTTTGTGCCCACAATATTTAAAAAAAAGGCCTCCCAAGCAATAGCAGTCATTGTATCCCGAGACCAGCACGTCCTGTCAGACTGTAGTAGAACGCAACGCTCCTTAGTGCGCCGGGCCTGACAAATGTCCCACTATGGACCACCTCCGAGTTTTGTTACGGCCTAGCTGTCAAGTTTCATTGCGTTCACCTCGTTCAAGGGCCTGCTAGGTTTCTCATCCGCACCGTGACTGCCGTGGCAAATTTGTTGAAAGTTTAAAAATCTGGCCTAGCATCCACGGCAAGGTCTGGCACGTTTGTCCATTCCGTCCCCCAGCGTTGTCTCATCGTTGTCCATCCTGTTTTGTCCACGGTGGCCCGAAACTAATTGCCATGGCCACCGGGGAACATAGCTTATACGTAGCAATTAATACCTAAGCCGAACCTAAAGCCCAAACACAACCCTGACTTTTTACGGTGATGTGAAGAACAATACGCCTCACATTTCTGTGTCTAAATCACAGGGCTCGTTGAATATGCAAAGAGCCTTAGTATAGCCAACATTTTTCATTCATCTACATGTACATGTAAAAAACAACTCAGCGTTTGTTTCCTTTGCGGGGAGCCTTAACCCTTTACTTTTGACACAAAATCTTCAGAGCAAATGTCACCATAGCGATTGTTGCTCGAGCAAATGTCAAATCACTGCCTGTTACATGACCTACCCTTCGACAGAGTAATGAAGCGGAGTGTTTTCGTCATCATCAGTGATATCTATCTCAGCCCCTGACTCAAGAAGTGCCTGGACTACTTCAAGATGACCCTGGGCAGCTGCTTTGTGTAGGGCAGTCTTCCCACCAATTTTTGCATTTGCCTGTAATATATTAATCACAATAGTACAGAGTTATTTACCTAAGGTAGCCTCATTAAAATTAATAGTGCTCTTCTCAAGGAACCTGCAAATATCATAACCCAAGCATTATATATTTAATGCACTTGGCTTGAGAGAGACAAATTTGGGCAAAAAACATGTCATAGGAATCAAGCATTGAGCAAGGTTCAAACTGGGACCTGTGATATCGAGGAGGCGCGATAGCTAAAAAAGCTGCCTCGTTTGCATTTTTGGAACCATATGCAAGCTTGCCGCATGGTTGCCAGCTACATAACTTCTTTAAACAAATTCTGGAATAATTACCAAAAATAAAATGTTGCAAATATTTAAAAAACATTTTCAAACTGTTGTTGAAGTATTTGCATAATATCATTTGCATAGTACAGTGTACTTTTGTGTACAAACCCTGTCTATGACGCGACAGCTCAGTCGGTAGAGCAGTAATCCGGTGACCTGGGTTCAAAACCAAGGCGATGCGCTTTGGTAAGGCATTAATCCTCATGACCAGGTCCATCAGAGAGGACCTAAAGCCGTCGGCCATCTGGTTGCTTACTAACAAGCATTTATTCTTTCTTGGCAGTCAGGTAAAACAGCCACCACTTCCAAAAATAGTCATAAGCCTAATTCACCAAAATACCACGATGCTTGCCTTTTGAAGTTTAAAGGATTTGATGTGCAAAAAGATGAATTCCATATCAATGAAGCAGCTTAGAAGTATATACTAAAGTTGCTTTAATACAGCTTATGATGGGTACTACAATGTACAAGTAAAAGTTCAACTCAATATTGAAAGACGTTTTGGAAAACAAGGAACTGTCAAGCATTTTGAGATTGGGCAAGGTTCACAAAAGTTTTATGCCATGAAATATTAAAATTATATCAAAACAGACAACATTTACCTTTCGTGTAACTTTGATGCTATAAAACTTTCAACAGTATAATCGTCAAAGTCTAATGTCTCTTAAGTGTTTGGTTTTTTATTTTCGGAAGTAAAACGGGATTACCTTTTCCGGCGATGTGGATAGAATCTCCACGACACGTTCAACATTGCCTCTCTCAGCGGCCTTGATCAGTTGAGATTCTTCACCTCCTTCGTCTGAATCACTATCGGATGAGCTGCCAGCTTCTGTCTTGAGTAGTGATAGCAAGGCCTTGAGCATTTCAGTTTGTCCACTTCCATCTGGATCAGTTACAGAAGATAACAATAATAACAATGAAAACATTTGTATGGTACTTAATACTACGTTCCTACGCGCTTTACATTGTAATTATTATATATCAGAGTCATTGGATTCAGTTGCTAACCCCAACATCACAAAGGACACACTCTGTTCCCTGGGGAGAATTTTGGCAAATTCTCTTTGACAAGGGTAGCAGCAAGGTTATTTAATATGCCAATGCATACTTTCAACCTGTCAAATTGTTCTGGTCTTCATAAATCGTTGATATTCCAACCCACCTAGCTTGAGGTCTGTAGATTCAGCACCCTGCTTGTCATCATCTGATGAGTTCTTCTTGATGAGGATCAAGGAGCAGGGATGCCATGACCACATTTTCTCCAAACCAATCAATCGCAACCGGCAGTTGTAACGTGAGTCAACGTTCATCACCGTCCCTTCCATTCCTAGACACTGAAATTGACAAGAAGTATTTTTGATAATCATTCAGTTTGCAAGCAGTGAATCATCTTTGAAGCGAACACCCTTACATCAAACTCCCAAGACTATACTCTCTCCAAACCAATTAGTCACACATGGCTATTGTGACGTGCATCGCTTTCCATTCCATTCCTAGACAATAAAATAGAAATTGAGTATCAAGACTGAAACAGATAAATGTAAGAGAGCATCCAATTGGATGAGTAACACTCATGTGACATTTATAAGCACAAGGGCGCAATATTTTTACGAATGTTTTGAGAAAAGCTACAGGATTATTTAATACAAACTTTTTCCACCTGTCTTCCAAGAAAACCAAAGTTGAATAAAATAATCATTTACTACGCATGCATCGAAACCTTAAAGAACATTTTTTTAAATACTCTCATCAAAAGAAGGTATTATACTGGTCCAATTCTTTGTATTATTTATTATATTGTTCTTGATTCCTGGTAATATAGGATCCCATATAAAAAGGCAATACTTGGTCCTAAAGAGTTTCCTAGAAAGACCACAAATCGACATTCAGAAACATGGTAGTTATACCTTTCTTTGTCATAATCACCAGTGGCTCCCTGTAACCATACTTTCTCATGGAAGGCCATTGGACTTTATGTTTCACATGATAAGAACTTAAGTTGCATTTAAGTATTTTTATTTTTTGCCTAAAATGAACAGTATTATAACCTAGCAGCTACAGAAGTGTCAAAAACTTGGTACAATCATCAGATTTATTACAAGAATTGAAGTAATTTGTAACAATAGAATCAGTCCAATCATTATTTTTTTTTTTTTTGCAATTCATTTCATAAGTAACATTTTCGAAATGGAGGAGGTTTTACATTTACTTTTCTTCTCTGTGTGATGCACAAACCAAGCACAGTGGGGCTCAATTACTGGTACCAGACTTGCATGGTACTCTATGACCACATAAAGGGTTAACAAGTAATATAAAACTTTATATTATTTAGAACTTTGTTTTGACTGACCTTTTCCATTCCATCGATCCATCCATTTTGACTGTTTTTTTGAAGATTCATCACAAACTTTAAGTCTTTATCGATCTGCACACGGTCTCCCTTACCTAGCCTAGGAACCTAAACAAAGAGATGAAGATGATAATAATAGAGAAAAATTTAAAAAGATGGAGATGGAGAGAAATAGATACGATGAGGGGCAGGGATTAAAGATGAGAGAGAGTGGGGGAGAGAGAAATAGAGAGAGATTGTGTAAGACAGTTAAAGGGTGTGAGAGAACGTTTGGGTGTGTGTGTGTGTGTGTGCATGTGTGCATAAAATAGAGAGAGAGAGAGAGAGAGATTGTGTAAGAGAGAGGGTGTGGGAGAGCTGGAGGGTGTGTGTGGGTGTGTGCGTTGGGCTTAAAAGAGAGAGATCTTGTGTAAGAGAGGGTGTGGGTGTGTGTATGTGTGTGCCTGTGTGCATAGCATAGAGAGAGAGAGAGAGAGTGGGAGAGCGGGAGGGTGTATGGGTGCGTGTGCTCATAAGAGAGGGAGAAAGGGTTAGCAGGAGAGGACGATACAGGCAGAGAGAGGGACAAAAGACAGACAGAAAGAGACAGAGATGGGGCCAGAGTTACAGTGAGTATGAGTGATCACGTGTAGGAAGGAGAAGAAATTAAAGTTACAGTGAAATTACGAAATTACAGAAGAGCACAAGCAAGTGATGTACAACTTCAGACAATACCTTGTTCAGTCCATCTGGATGGAAGGTGAAAGGCTGTTCCTTTCTCCCGGGGTAAGTGACCTCTGCATCCCCGCTTGAATTGATACCAGTAACCTTGGCAACCTTCCCATACAGCTGGAAGGGTAAAGAGTGTGAAAAGAAGATCAATGGAATTATAATTTATTTCAAGTGACAATGATCATTTATATTTTATTTTTGTAAAAACGACCCTATTATACTATGTATGTTAGTATATACACATATCATACATATACATCCATTGATGTATTTAGATATTTGGGGGAAATTTACATGAACTTCCTGAAGCTATTAGTGTTTGTTTTCGTGTATTATCTTTCATGTCACATACAGTCTGTATAGATGACTTTACTAATGTTATTCAAAGCTCCTCTGAAACCCAAATAATGTGTTCAGCTGAAAATACATATGTATTTGTTTGCTTATCTTTGTTTGCATACATTTGTTTGTTTGTTTATCTAATTATTCGTATTTATATCACGCTACTCACATTTCTCATTTCTGGTAACCACTCTCGCCCACCCATCTGTTGCATGATATGCAATGTTTCACTGTCCAGAGTAATAGCTACCAGATCTCCAACCTTCAAACCAACCTCTTTACCTGTTTTCAAAACAACCACATCAATGGAATTAAGAGGTTGGACATTAAAAACAAATATCTTTGTCGAAATAACATGACATGCAGCTCAAAGTTGATTTTATCTGTTTTACCAAATAATCAAATAAAGTTACGTACATCATAATAAATAGAACAAACGAAAGTCACTTAAAAAAAAAAACGCAATATGCATGATAGTGAGAACATCATACAATACCTATTCATATAACATTTGAAATTTAGTATAGATGAAGATAAAAGAACTTATCACAATAGTATTCAAGAGTATATAATTCATTTGAGCCTATTCAGGAATAGAGTTATAAACAGGCAAAACAAAATGTCGCAAACTGAAATCCCATTCAAAATTAGATTAAACGAATGACATACATATATGTTGTTGTGTGCATGATAATAAATGGTCCTAGGTGAAGAACCTTGATAGATATTGGAAAAAGATATCCCGACATTGGGATGAGTCATTACTTTTGCAAAGAAAATAATAAACAACAGATTTGCAAATACAAAGTTGTTTTTTTTTCCGAAAGAAAGATAAATATCATATGTTACACAGGGTGTCCCTGAAAAAAGAAAAACCCAAGTTTACGAATAAACAACTCGTCAATTTCAAATTATTCCTTGATTACTGTAGCTATGATTGATAAGGTTATTTTCTCTTAATTCATATGACACCACAATCATGATCAAGAAACCATGAATAATTTCGGACGGCCTGAAGTGGCAGTGTCAGAAACCAAATTGTCCAAACAAAAAATAATAAACATACACATATTTGAAGAACTATTATTTCTTATATTTGAGACCAGAACCATCAAGAAAGGATCAAGTCTTAGTGAGTGAGAAGCATGATTAGCGATTGGTTAGGCACATGCCGTATTGTTTTAGGAAATAAAATGAGGCAGTTAAACAAATGCCATTTTGTCTAGCTATTACAAATTGTTCCTGCTTGATCCATCATTACTAATGTACCATATACTAAAGATGAGATTAATAACTTTTACATGTTGTGTAATTCTAATGATAAATAATTCAACATCATTTCCTTTCCTTAAAAAGCATAATGCACCAAATGTAATAGCCATTCACTTATTTGGGACAATTGGTTTTCTCATATTCTTACATGATTCTAATGATTATGACATTTACTAAAACTAATACTTGTTACAGTGATAAAGATGGTTATGAAGATAAGAGTGATGGAAAGCAGACAACAGGTGGAGCAGAATCCAAAATCAAAAAGTGAATGGAGAAAAAAAGATATAGAGCAGCCAATATTGTGGGTCAATAGGACAAACTGAGTGATACATTACCTAAAACAGGGAGATGTGTAGCGTAGTAACCTATCCCTGTTCCTGGTGTGGTGCATTTTAGATCCATTTTCCCATCAAATCCAACTCTATGAGTAGTGACCAGTTTAGACTGAGTCCAGCAAACATTGACGCCTGACCGTGGTCTTTCAGAGAAGGGACATATCTCAACAACAGTCCCGCCGTCGCCTGAATCATTGAGAGAATATTCAATCACTCCATTTTTTAGACTAAATAATTACAAAAGCTAAACAAAATCAATTAGAATTAAACAATTACTCAATAATTATCCGCAAACATACCAGTAGTATCAGGTACAAGCCAATTTTCTTACTGAATGTAAGCCATATCTCCAAATATTTATATATAGATAAGGGACATGTCTGTAGGGATATGTATACTACATATTTTCATTTTGTTAGAACGCTCACAGTATCTACCACAAATTTAGTTAAATGATAACGAAATGGTAATTTTACATTTAAATGGCAGGTTGCATGAATAATTTTTGGGGTAGTATTCTTGCCTTTGATAAATTTGCACTGGCAATAGCTAAAGCATTCACTGTACTGCATTATGTGCTAGGTAGGAGCCGAAATCTACAAGTTTTATTAACTCTTTTTGTTCCACATAAATACTCCCCCCCCCCTTGCCACATTTTACTTATCATGGGATTAAAATACCAAAGGCTTTGAGATTAAAAACTATTGTAAAAGGTTACAATTTAGAGTTATTATAAGGCAATTAAGATAGGAAAAGGCTGATTTTGGAAAGACAATAAATGACACAAAGCAATCCTTTCATCAATTGGTGTTAACTGTTTTATGAAAAATGGCGCGTGTGGCAAACAAGCAACCATGCAGAGAGGGAGAAAAAGCAACCAAAGTGTTAATATCTTGCAAAAGGACTAAGAAAATGAAGAAAAAAATCATCCCTAAGTTCTGTTACTGTTAAGCTAAAGCTCATGATGATTTGTAAAACTACTTTTAAAACAAATTACTAAAATCAACTACTTACAGGCATTGCACTGGCAAATAGGCAAATCTTAAATGAAAATAAAATAAAAGGAAGAAGTGGAAAATATGTATTTCATACCATCTTCATCATCTCCCTGCCAATCCTTCCCTCTACAGACCTCTGCCTCTGGACACAGCCCTCTGGAAACTGTCTTCGCTTCTCCAAATCGAGGTGTCACTGGTGTCCTGAGGAATCAAAGATATCTCCCTTTTTATTTTTTAAGAGAAATGTATGAAGCTACTAGAACAATCAGATTGTGGGGAGATATTCCAATCAAATACATCAAAAGAGGTAAATACATTTTGAGATAGTTCCAACTCAAATTTCATGAGTCAAAAGTTTGCCTGCAGGGATAAAACAGGTGAGTAACGGTATTGTTATGAGTGATCTTTATTTATGACTAAAACGTTCTTTATAGCAAGGCTTAGAAAAAAAGAAAAACCTTGACATCACAATCTTCACATGAATTATGACGATATCACTCAAATAGGCTGAACTCATCTCATGCCCCCTGGCGTGGGAGAGGGCCCAACTATCTATCTTTCATTTTAGTAGGGCAATCCCCCCATTGCCCAACTTCTTGAGTATATCCTGAATAACATTGAGTTTTCAAGTTCTCTATCCCACTTTCCCACACAAGATATATACATATTCACAATATATATTGCATTTTAATGTAAAATACACAAGAGCAAAAACTCATAATTAAAAAATGTCTTTTGTTTACATACCCTGTTTCTTTCCGTTTGGTGAAGGGAGTGAATCTATGAGTCAAGTCATGTCTATCATTCATGTAGCACGGAGTACAAAGGTCATAATCAGGGCAGCTTTGATCATTGCATTTCCAGCGTATGCCAGCTATAGGATTCATCAAACAGCTATCACAAAATATACCAACATGAATCACACCTGGAAAAACAATTAAGAAATTGTGTAGCAGCATTCGTGTAGCTGTCAATATGAATTGAGAAGTGATGCCCTTTCCCCCTCCTCCCCAAATAAGATACTTAAGCTTAGAAAGTTTTTGTCACTGTAAATAGATAAACAATATAGTTATTGGCCATTTCATAAAACATCTGTTGATTTAAGTACTAGTTTTATTTTTTATTTTAATATAGACTAAAAGAAAAATTGTTACAAGATTCAGTGAGGGAATAATTACCTGCGGGGGCATTGTCGAAGAGCGCAAGATCATATGACCCATTGGACCCGACCTGATAATTGTTACCATTACCATTATCCCATCTGATCTTGGCCCAGTCTGCAGGAATGGGTTCCTGAGGGTCTTGATCTTTTAGCTTGACCACTGTCCCGAGATGACCCTCACCACCATCTTGATTTCGCCATGTCCAAGTGGCGCTCCGGACAACTCGCTGTCTGACCTCCACGGTTGCCATCCTGATTTAGATGATCTGATCTGATTTATTTGGGCCTGAATTAAATATAAAAATATAACAACATTCTAATAGTAAATAATCCTTTTCAATTGTACCAATACCTTCATTCATACCTTCATTCACTCACCACCCCTTCTCCCTTCATCCTTCTCTCTCTCTCTCTATCTTTGTTTCTCTCTGTTTCTCTAAAAAAAAATCCTCTTCCCCTGGATCCCCCATCCCCCCTTCTCTCTTACTATCTACAGTTAACAACAACATTATTCATGCTTACCAAGTTTTGTAAGGTTTTTAAGTATGTGGAATCGTCATATGTTCTGATATATGATTCTTGAGAATGTGACAAATAAAAGCTTACATCAAAAGGTATTCAACACAATCCCTAACTTAGCCAATCCACTTTTAATTCTTCAGTTACGAAAAAAAACACACACCAAAGCATCACATTTACAAAGGGTATGAATAATTCAGTTGAAAAATGTAGATCTATCTTTCTCTCCCACTCTCATGTAGAACGTGACAGGGCAAAGGTGCAATATAATAATACACAGTTGCCTTTCGAATTCACAAAAGCTTGTTTTGCTTTGTGGCTACAGATTTAGGTAAACAAACATGGTGCCAAAGTAACTGTTTAGAATTAGAAAATAAATATAATGAACTATCTGCAGCAAAATGGTTTCATAATCCTAGGTTGATTATTTCCTTGTAACAAACACACATATGAACATTAATGCTTGCTTCCCTATGAATTCAAAATGCAATTTACATTGGCAAAGTTACTTACAAGGCTATATTTTTTAAGTGAGGATAAAGCTTCAAGCATTAACCCCACCCCCGCCCCCATCCCAGTAAAAGAACTTTTATTGTTAACCAGTAATTTTTAACAGTAGGCCTTATGTGTAACTAGATTTGGAAATACTACTGTAGAAACGTTCCCTCTATACCACAGTAGAATTTCAATAAACATACAGAATACGTACAAGCCTGGTTGCAGGTGTAGTGTATAACAATCTGTTCTAGCACATATCACATTAACGTCCCTATGCGCTCCAAAAAAGCTTCAGAAATTATTACCCTACCTTTAGCTCCAGCAGCTGTTATCAGCGTTTCAGTGTATAGCAGGGATTATAACTGCTTTACAATGTGACTTCTGAACCATACAATAGCCATCCATTTTCCAATGCCCAACTTGACTATGATAAAGGTACATGCATGTACACATCCCAGCTCTTTGCTTGAGGAGACAGGAAAGTGATACCGGTAGTAATGTAAGCTTAGAGAGGAAGGCAGATATGTGTGACCAGGGTTCTTTTCCACAATATCCGCAATACCCACATTCTCTGCATGCGTACATGTTCCTCTTACATGCATATATAAACAAATGGCTACAAAAATCATTCCAATTCATGACTAGGTTCATAGGTCATGAGTTTTTATCTTTTGACCAGCTCTACTGGAATTTGCCAATATAGGGCTGCATGCGCAAATGTTCATTCAGTTGTTAAACTTGAGAATAGAAGCCCAACGAGCAGATCCAAAGGCAAAAATGGCAAAGGACCCCCCCCCCCCCAATCACAACCTTTGAGGCAAAATGGGGCATAAATTGAAAAACAAAGATAATACTATGGGGAAATTTAATGAAAGTGAATGAGTAGGGATATAGAAATAAAGAAACATATCAATAATACTATATTAAAAATAATAACAGACAGAACAGTAGCAACAACAACAACACTATGGTAATAGCCATAGTAGTGGTAATGATAATACTAATAATGACGATGACAAAAATAACAATAATAATAATAATAATAATAATAATAATAATAATAATAATAATAATAATAATAATAATAATAATAATAATACTAATAATAGTAATAACAAAAATAGTGACAATAACAACATAAATGATGGTGATGATGATAATGGTAATAAGACAATAATAATAATAATAATAATTATAATAATAATGATAATAATAATAATAATGAAAATGATAATAATAATAATAATAACAACAATAATGATGACTATAACAATAGTACTGATGATGGTAATGCTAATGATGATGATGATGATGATGATGATGAGTTGGAGGGGACGAAGGATAAGAAAAAGTACAATAATGATATGACTGTAATTTAAAAACAATTGCATGCATGCATGTGTGGCAACAGTTCAATATCAAAGTGAACTAGATAGGCTACTAGTCTACAACTACTTTTCAAGTCTCACTTAATCTATGTTTGTCCTCAATCATATGCAAATTTAACATGTTCTCAAAACTACACATCATGGTATTAATGATAAGTCAAGTATGATTTAATGAATATGCTTATAACATTGGGGTATGTTGACCTACATAACATATGGATTGTTTAAAAAAAACTTTAATAAAGGCTACTAAGATCATGATGCTAGCTGTTTCAAGTTTGAAAGCCATATCGCATACACCTTGTGCAATATCCTGGCTGATAGCCTATATCAGACTGAAATCTTTCTCTTTTAGTATCAACTGCTGTTCTAATGACACGGTGGCTCCATCCACTGACCGCCTTTTCAACATACCATACAATTATTTCTGCACGTACACATGCCTTGCCGGACTGGCACATTGACTCTCGTACGTGTTTCACGTTTCGAGATAAAAATTAAGAAAACATAGCATGCATGAGAAAAGAAACCAAACAGGGAACTTACTTGATCTGTGGATCAACAGTAAAAGTCATACCTCAAAATATGATTTGCGACAATGTTTACTAGTGCTGTGATGACGTAGTATAAACACATTCACAGTGTCCTTTGCCTTCTCGCCTGATTCTTAACTGTCAACAAAGCACGGGAGTTCCCGTACCGTCGCTGTAGTACGAATAGCAGCGAGCTGGCTGGGTGTGGAAATTCCCGTCGGGAAATCCCCTTTAGTTACATAACTCATCATCTACTTATCAAACGCGCATGCGCGTTTTCTGCATATGCTAAACCGCGATTTTGGTGTCTGCTGGGCCGACATAACATAATTCTACGATCATATTATTCTTCTTTCTTTCTTTAATAAGTGATAACCTCTCACGTGACTCCTCGATAGTTATTTTTGACACATAACTCCCCCAACCCCCACCAAAGGCCCCCTTTTCTCTCCTCTTTTTATTAGAAATCCATTTCGCTTTAGCCCCCTTTACCTTTTTTCAACAATGCAACTGGACGAATCAGAAAAAATATTTATGGTTTAATATCGGACTTTCTCAGCAAAATAGTTGAATTAATATGTGGATTGAGTTTTTCATTATACTTGACATTAATTGATTTATGGGTATATTGGATCCTCGTCGCTTGTCTCTTTCCTGCTAACTCTCTGACTCCCTCCCCCTCTCTCTCTGTCTCCCTCTCTCTCTCTCTCCCTCCCTCCCTCACTCCTTCCTCTTGCCTCTATGTGCCCCCTTTGGCATTCTCTCTCGTTCTTTAGGTGCAGACTATTAACAATTCACACAAATGTTTCTGTTCAGTTCATGTGAAATACATTTATTTTGAGGAAAGGCGTGTTGATTAATTAATGGCATCAATTTATGTGTTACGAAAGAGAAAATATAAATAAGACATATTTAATGCATAATTAACATCAAGAGTAATATATATATATATATCATCAATATCCAGACATTCTTGATGAGAATTCCTTTCACCATCGTGTAATTCGGGATTAATATACATAAAAGGTTAATTTACCACTAAAGTTATGTCCTAAAAAAAAACATCGAGAGTAAAGTAGAAAACATTCCTATTTCATATACAGATTTCTAAAATGAAACATTAAACTGAAGCATTATCAGGAAAGTGAAGGATTTGTTTTATTGTTTATTGCTTCATGTTCAAATAGGACTCATTTTATGGGCAAGTCCAAACTTATTTTTCCTCATAAATTTGATATCATGTTTTGTTTTTACCAGACTGCTGAAAAGCATGTATGTAACTTGCTTTAAGTCCTCTCCTAGGGACTCGGTAATGAGGATTAATGCCATTAACGGATAAATAAATGTTACTCAAAGAATCTATGTAGTACAATGAAATTGATATACATGTATTTAATGTTTAACATGTAAATGAATTTTCTATATTTATACAAGATTTTAAGTGAAAATGATTTTTGCTCCAAAGAGGTGACTTCCAGATATTGAATAAGTAATTTTGCTGAATATTACTGAAATAATGTCATTAAATTGTCGTTTTGTTGTTTTCCATGGAGCTCTAGTATTTGGATAAGTAACTAAATATATTTTATAATATTATCAAATCCTTTTATGGGAACATTTGGAATTTGTATCTAGTCATCAAGATCCCTCCATATGGGATAAAGATAAGAATTTACACACATTTGTAGCAGGTCTATACCATTTTGTTTATTGACTTGTTTAATGTGTTTTCATTATTACCAATTATAAAACTATTTAATCAACTAAATTTCCCGTCTTTTACATTATCTTGTGTTGACAATTTTTGTAGGGGGGGGGGGGGGTGCGCATGTCTGACAATCTTTGAGAGCTTGAAGCGAAAGAGGTTTATCCCATTTTCGGGACAATTTAAAAATATTTGTCAAGAAAGGAAAGTGTTTTTGGAAATTTGTTAACACAATTTTTTAAAATAGTGCCAGGGAATAGGGGAACCATAAAAAAATCTTTCTGTTTTCATGCCGACTAAAACTTCTTATTTTTCATTACAAATTAATACAAGTGAGACATCATGTACATATATTATATATAATCATGTACCTAATTACAAACAATGTTATTATGAAGAAATGATGTTTCATCACAAATACATGTAATATTGATTATTATTTTCATGTTGATGTTCTTTAGGAATCTGGACAGATATCTTTTGGTATGCTCGTACAGTAATAAAGGTTCTACTTATTTTAAGAAAAAAATAGAAATTTGCAGTAATTTTTTTTAAAATGAACAACACCATGCAAAAAAGCGGTCAATTTGAATAGTAAAGCTACAAAATGACCCATTACGTTTCAAAAAGTCTAAGTTCATACTAAAGACTATAATATAAAAGTGCGAGAATGCTCAACTCTGACATGACAACGGGTGTTCCAGAATATGTAGGCAAGTCGAAATCTCATAATAAAATTGTAAAGTTCAGCTACGTCTCACGTTCCTAGACCATTTTCTTCACGCCTATATGCATATATACAGGGCGTATCATAATAAAGGATATTGAAGTTTAATGACGATTTATATGAAAACTACTGATTTCATAATCAAGCATTTTATGTCTGTTGTAAAGGACAGAATGTCCTTTTGTTAATGACACCCCGATCATACTACTACTGTCACAGTTGACTGAATAACAAAGCATTGCTGTCCACCATGTGAAAGGTGCATTGTGCCAAGTTTGATAACATTTCCTTCTTAGACACATAATCAACTCATTGTTCATCATTTCAATATGTCTGGGCTGACACAAGCACTAATCTTTAGAATTTATCTGTGAATGCTAACTTGTCACAGTGCACCTTTCACATGGTGGACAGCAATGCTTTGTTATTCAGTCAACTGTGACAGTAGTAGTATGATCGGGGTGTCATTAACAAGAGGACATTCTGTCTTTTACAACAGACATAAAATGCTTGATTATGAAATCAGTAGTTTTCATATAAATCGTCATTAAACTTCAATATCCTTTATTATGATACGCCCTGTATATATATGATATATGTACATTATAATCAGGAATTAAAAATGCATACCTGTGTTTTAGTTCCTTTACCTCAAGCATTCCATTTTGACATATATTACTCAATTGGTCAAGCAAGATATATACATATCTGATCTGGTTTGTTATGATCATTATTGACAAAATATTTTAAAAAAAGTACACTCAAAATATATTTTTCTATTAATTTCTATGAATATACATGAAGGATTTTGACCTTGGAAAGATTGTAGGTGCTTTTTAAAAGCTATTAAATGCATATATGTTTCTATTTGAGATCTCTCTTGAATTGACCATTCCTTTTTACAATAAGTATTGACATTAAATTAGACTAAATCATTCGAGCAGACAGATCACTGTGTTGCAAAGAAATATGATGTTCTTCTTGAGATGGCAAGCCTCTAGACATTCTGGTTATATGTATGATTAGATGAATACTTGTGCTATGGACAGCTTTGTTCCTTTAGAAGTTCTAAATCACTTTGGGATGCTTCAGAATACAATACATTTCAAAACAATTGTACATTTACCATTGAGATATACATTATCCCACCAGCCCATTATCCCATGGGTGAAGCACTGGTGTCCTTTGGCAAGACATTAATATACATTTTTTTACTCTCCACCCAGGCACAAATGGGGACCGGTAATATTAAATTTATTCAATGCTGTGAGTACCGAAATCAGTTGTCTGTACTCTGTACAACCAAGATAATATTGGAACGCCTTGAACACCATGTTTGGTGGATATGTGCGCTTTAACATTATCTAATATTTATTATCTTTATTATTGTTCTTTACAAAGCAAAGACGATTATTACTTTTTTCCCTTTTATAAACTCTGTACACTACCATTAAGTGAGGTCATTGAACTGATCCAGGAGATCAGAAGCGGATGGTCTCTTCTCTGGCTTCTGTCTGAAGCATGGTTCAAGGATCTTCTGAACCTTAGAATCTACAGCTGTCAAAGACTCAGGTTTACTCATCTGGCCTGTTAAAATACGAGCCATCAGGGCCAGAGGATTCATCGAGTCTCCCCACAACCGCTTCATGGAGTATAGCTCCACTAATGTTCCTGCAACCGACCAGATGTCATGTTTGTTGGAGTGCCTGTAACCAGGTTCCGTTGCGCCAAGTGCCTCTGGAGGCATGAAACACGGTGTGCCTCTGATGTTGACTGCGGATTGGGACATGAGATTGCGGTTCTTGATGTGGGCCAGGCCCAAGTCACAGATGTAGGGACGAATTGTTGCAGAGTCCACCTAACAGAATAAAAGCCGTTATATGTCATGATGGGTAAATTCACTTAGACACATGGTTTTAAAGATCAATATATACAACATGAATATAAAGGGTTGCATATCTTTTGTTTTTGTATAGTCTTGTATGGTGTGTATCACATGTATCACATACATGTATGAAAGAATGTGTTTATTCTATTTCTACCTAGATTTAGCCTACCAGGCATCATCAGCACACAAAACATATCAAGACATACATGTAGATCCTAGCAGACCCATCAAGCATGAATTAGGAGTCACCCTTTAAAAGCATGATGAGAAGTACATGCAGTTGTGTGAGAAGTACATCAATTGTTTCTCATTCCATGGAATTCAATACATCAATAAACTTTCTGAACTTTTAAAATGGCTTCCCCCATATACTTACTAGAATATTGGCAGGCTTAATATCAAGATGTAAGATGTTGCAGGCATGCATAAAGGTTACGGCTTGGAGAACCTCACGAGATATCTGAAGCTTTTTAGCCCAGTCTAGAGGAATCTGTAAGATGATTATTGATAAGCAATAAGAAATAGGCCATTTAAACAATGTACAGAATCATTCGGATTCATGGATGAGGAAAATTGAAGATTTTAATATGATCATGAAATCATCTATGTCATGGGAAATGATGGTTTTCTAAAGCTCTTACTCACGTGACATGGTAAACTACCTTTAGGAAATTAATGACATTTTGAGTGAAAAAAAAATGTATGCAGCTGTGGCCCCTATATATGTTCCTGTGAGTTAAAAAATGTGAAGGGCACTGGGACATTCAATTTCATTGATGCAGTTTTGCTTTTGAGAATTATCACATCATATGTGAATGAAGTCGAACTTGCACTTACATGCAATCAGGGAACTGAATGGTATCCAGTCTACCAATCATTCACTTAAATGGTTCGTTTCCGCGCTCCCTTCAGCCATGCACTTTCCTGGAAACCCTTGAATCAATTACCTTAACATCATCCCTATCAGGGAAAATGACGGTGTGTAAACTTGGTCCTTCAATGAACTGCATTACCAGGAAGGCCTCTTTTTCCTGGTATCCTAGAGCCATCATCTGAACGATGTTAGGATGACATGCCCGTCTTAATGGAGAGAAGAGTATGGAGGAGAAAGAAAGTTTGATGATCATTTATCATCCCAAATATCTCTGGTCAACAAAGCTAAGTCCTGAGTAAAAATATACTCACTACCCTACCAAGTTTAATAGGCATGACATTTTAATAAAAATATTCTGGATTCATATATAGCTGAATAAATCAATGGTTCTGTGCCAGCACTTTATAGATATGTATCACGGTCAGCGAATTAAAGCTTGCTTCTAAATAATGGATGTACATTGTGTGATTCCAGGGGTGCGTAGTAGTTATTCATAATGCTGACCAACCATCACAACTTTCTGATCTTCCAAAATACCCTTTTAATACTTGTCAACAAGTGTTTAGATCAAATAGTAAACAAAAACTAGGAAAACCAACACTCTAGATTATCATTTTTGAGCTTTAAATGATTGTACTATGCCCCAAAGTCACTTTCTGCCATTTTTGGGTGATTTGACACATGACTCTCAATTTTTTAAAAATGTAATTATACACGAGACTATCCTAGCAACACATGTGGGATGGGAACACATCTGGATACCTGTGTATTGCGACTTCCTTCTCAATTTCATCTTTTCTGCTACCCATGATGGAGATCTTTTTGACTGCCACTGGAGTCCCCCTCCAGGAGGCTCGATGGACCACTCCAAACTGCCCCTTCCCAACCACAGGACCCATGTCTAGGTCAGAGACTTCAATTTTGTGCACAAGATCAAAGACTGGAATGAGAATTAAATGAAAGAATTTGATTTCATACATATATACAATCTAATACATAAATCAATATCAATATATACAATCCAATCTGTTTTTATGTCGTATAGCAACATTTATTGTACATAAAATGTCACATTATAATTATGTCTATATGCGCATCCAAAGGACTTTGGATATTATCTCCCCAGCTTTAGCTCCGAAAATCATAGCACCGTCCATTCAAGGGATAATTCCTTACACATGTCCGTTTCTTATATCTGGATCAAGTGTGGCAAATGTAGATTAATGACTTGCCAATGTATGTCAATTCTGCAGCAGGGATTCGAAACCCTAACCTTGCGGTTCACAGTCTGGAGACTTATCCACTATACCACAACACCTCTATTACATAGTGCATACTAATAGTGCATAATTCAATGGTGCTTACACATTATTACCCTGGTTATAGCAAAGCCATCAATGAATAACATAAAATGAAGATGAAGCACAAATCATTGGTAATTGGTTAGGAGCATACTTGTTACAGCTATCTGAAAGAGAATGTCGACTTCAGATTTCGAATTACAGTAGGGAGTGAATTCCAATTGTATCTAGAACAGTATGTCAAATGGATTTGAAGGCTAATACGGTTTTTGGATTTCTCAGATGTAATTTGTCAGCTTTTCTTGTGGAATACGAGTGTACCATGTTTATTCATATCAAATAATAGGGGGAAATAGGAGGGAAGTTGCCCGTTGTGTAAGCCAACATAAAACGTGCGTTTTTGCAGGGTATAAATATCATCAACTTTTAGAGTTTTCAGTTTAGAAAACAGTGGATTTGAATGTTCACGATAAGAAGAATTAGTACAATGACGTACTGCTTTTGGTTCTAAATAATGATAAGAATATTAACATCTTGAATTTTAGTGTATTTATCCCTTCAAGTCAGTATAAAGGCCAAATCAGCTTCAAATTGTAGACGGCTTCAAATTCTCGCACTCCTGGTATGACGTTACTACGATTCTGAGGAGCATTTAAAAGGAGCATGAAATCCCCTGAAATTTAGATTCTTTTAATCAAATAACAAGTCAGCTTATTGGTCATTAAGATTTTACATGTTTAAACGTTCAAATAAAATGCTATCACAAGTTCTTCCAAAATCGGATCATAGTCAGATGGTGTAGCGTGTATATGAAGATGTTTACCTTCAATTTTTGGCTTGCCAGATTTCTTTTGGTTTCCTGCTGGACGGCCATCAGCTCCACTCTCACTCTCAGCCGAGTCCTGTCTTATCCGATTTGGAGAGCCTTTATCAGTGATGCTCAGACCATCGTTTCCCTTTACGATAATATCATCATCGTCAACACTGATGGAGTTACTGCTCAGGCGTCCCTTCTTCACATCCTCATCTTCCCCGAGGTCCTCCCATGATGACATATCATCAGATCTAAAAAAGGTGTTGATAAAATGCATTATATCCTAGACATAATGACATTGCAATAAGTGAAGAAAATATATGTGTAAGTACACTAGTTTCATGAATGACATAGGTACAAGTTCTTTTGGTAGTAATGCAAGGTGACAAGAAAAAGGATTATTATGTAAGATCAGATAAGAAATGAAATGAAGACAGGATTATTCAACAAAAACGAAAGTTGAAGAGTAGAGGAAAAGAAGGAACCCAATCATGTAAAGTTCAGAGGAGATCAGTTCAGATCATAAAAAGATATGAATATGGCATTAATCAACAAAATCAAAACAGAACTAGTGATTCAAATATGTCTAGAAAAAAAAATATGATGACACTAGAAATTATGTTATTTAAAAAAAAAAAATTTGAAATAGTTTAGGGGCAATAAAATGGTAAATATTTATTAGTATCATGTTTGAGGGGAATGAAGCGCATCATGTAGACAAAATACTTAGTCTATCATAAAAAAGAAGAAGGTTAAAACAACTAAAATGGCAATAACTCTATCTCAAATGACTTTTGACATCTTATTTAATTATTTAAATACCATACAAATAATCCCCTGTGCCACATTGTATTAATTGTGGGATAAATATACCAATGGTATATTTCGTCCCTATTTTCACGAAGTGACGGTAGTGAGAAAAATCGTCACGCAAAGTGAATGCAATTTTTTTTTCACTACCGTCACTTCGTGAAAACAGCGACGATTTGACTGGGCCTGGTGGCTCAGTGGTAAGAGCACCCGCCTCATGAACAGGAGGTCGTGGGTTCGATCCCCGGCCGAGTCATATTAAAGACTTATAACAATAACAATGGGACCTTTTGCCTTCTAGCTAGGCGCCCAGCATATTAGATTGGAGAGGGGTAGTAATAACATATTATGTTATGCAGGGCCCGCAGGAAGAGCAGTTTCATAACTGAAGTGGCTACCCTGGGTAAATAAAACGTTATTATTATATTATTATTATCATGGTTTATTCCAGTATCAAACACTGTTTCCAGTGCAAGATTCATCTTCACTGGTGTTACATGGGCTATTTTGGAGCTAGAAATGGGTAAGTTTGCAATGCTATTGTGTTGCACAAAGCAATAATTCTGTAAATTGTTGCCTATACTTCTTGCAGACAGGCTTAGAAGGCAACCAAAGTTGGTCCCAAAGGACATTAACTTACATCTTTTCGCAAGCAATCTTCTTCAAAGTCTTCTTCAGCTCAGCATCTTTGATGTAATATAGCGGTGTTCGACATTTGACATTCTCTAGGTCTATGGACGCTCCATTAAGAACCATGTAGCAGAGTGCAGCGGCAGCACTGTTATCCACTCCACAATCTCTAAAACGCTTGCGAATCTGGGAGAAAGTACAGAGCATCAATCAAACAGTCAATCAATCTTCGCTCAAATGTGAAGTGATTTGGTATGTTTAATTAAGAACACCAAGTTAAGATATTTGAAAATCTGAAAATCTAGGACCACTGGTTATCATTTGAGGAAAGGTACAAGTTGCTTCAGAAAAGATGGTAATGGAGATTCCTCCGAATTAATGAGTAGTTAAATCATGGAATCAAACTATAATCACATGATCTTTTACTTAATGACTAAATGGAGTGAGTTGCTATCAGTGAATGTACACAGTAGCATACGCAGGATTTTTACAAGGGGGGGGGGGGGGGTTTAAAATTTCGCAACGACTCAGCCGGCCGCTGAATAAGGGGTGGGGGGGGGGGGAGTAGGAGCACACTTTTTTTTTGATCCAGTTTTTGAGGGAAAATTTTAAAACGACTCAGCCAGCTGCTGAATAAGCAGGGGGGGGGGGGGGGGTTAAAGGACATTAGGAAAATTAGGCAGACTGATATTTCGTTCAGTGTGGGGGGGGGGGTCTGTTTTTTTTTCTTCACCCTTTAGTACACACAATTTTTTTTTTTTTATTACTTTTTTTTTAATTTGACAAAAAGTGAGGAGGGGGGGGGGGGGTTATCCTCGTATACCCAAACGTTGAAACAAAATGAGGGAGGGGGGGGGGGGGGTTAACCCCAGACCCCCCCCCCCCCTCGTCTGCGTACCGCCTTAATGTACATGAATATGAACCCTAGCAGTCGAACTGATCCTTGCTTTGAACTCCTTCATTTAATGGTGGCAGCGGTGGGATATTAATCCTAGTAAAGAAATTGACCAGTGAGTCATACTCCTTCATTCACATGGTGATAGCAGAAGGAAATTAACCCTAGCAACTAAAGAGATGTGTCTCAAAGTATTTTTGTCTGGAATAACACATGAATATCATTCATCTATATATGTCTCTCCATTATGGAAGGCATCTGACCAAAACCAGGCCTTGCAAGTAATGGCAGGTGTCTGAAACGCCTTTATTAACATTGGTTACTCAGTCTGGAATATTACACTGTACCAAATATCATTCCTCCTTATCCATCAATAAATTGCATTTATAATATGTTTTGTTCTTGAAAGATCATGTTATAGGTACTGTCATTGGCAACTATTATATCAATAAACATCAATGACAACAAAATAATTTTAGACATTTTTGTATAAATACAACATTAATTATTACCTTATTAGCTTATGTTAAACATCTATGATATTTTTTGGATGACAAATGCACCCAGAGATGTGGTATATTTCATAAAATATGTGACTTAATAATTTCAGTTTTGGAGAATATAATCTCTGTATCAAATTTATCTCTATTATTGAACTCTAGGGCTTCTACTCTGAGACACTCCTACTCTTATCCCTTGGCACACACAAACATAGACATACCTTCCTCAGTGTAGGAGTGTCTTTGATACCACTTGGATCTGTCCCTGCAGTGCTGGCAAGGAGGTGCAGGGCAGTGTGATCATCACGACCTTGAAGATTGATATCAGCACCCTGTGACACCAGAAACTCTATGCTGTGGGATTGTCCTTTATGAGCGGCCAGGTGTAGTGCTGTATCTGCTTTCGCGTTCTTAGCATTCACATCCAACCCATGATCCTTCCATGAGCACAAAATATACAACTTTCATTATTTGGTCATTGTAATAGATAAATCAGTTTAATCCATATCTAAATAAGACTGTTCGACATGCTTCACCCATTGCCTACATAAAATGTGAGGCCCCTGTATTATAGGCGTGTGGTAATAAGACAATTTATTAGTCATACATAGAGATATACGTTGCACAATGTGTCTCATGTATTGAAAGCCTACATGTACATGTATTAGCTTGTACTACACAAATAAAGTTTACTTTGAGGAACATGTATCTTTACACATTTACCATACCATAACAAATACAGATATTCAAATGTCATATTTCTAATCAAATCCAATACATTTGTAAAATCAGAAGTACATAAACATGGAAAATTAAAACAAGCTACATGCAGATGGGGAATTTCTTTTTCTCAGACAATAAATTTGCTTTTATGTTTCATACTTGTCTGGTAGCTTACTCAGAGAAGGAGGTAAGTAAAGTCATAACTGAAACGCAAATGATTAATTGTTTAAAATTGAAATTTTTAACAAAGGCTTCAAAAATTAATAACTGTTTCCATTGCAAGATCAATCTATACTGGGATTAATGGGTCGCCATGGAGCTAATCAAGACCGGAAATGGGTAATTTTGTAAAGCCATTGTGTTGCACAAAGCAATCCTTCAGTCAATTGGTGCCTACTGTTTTGTGCAAAATTGCATGTATGACAAAGTAGTGACAATGCAAAGAGGGTAAAAAGAAAGCAAAAGAAGTTTTAAATTCAAGATTATCACCAACAATTGTGTCTTTTGCATTCCAGACGGGTCTTTATGTGCCTTAACATTTTGCTAGCCTAGGGTATATGAGCGTCCAAGTAAATTACCTTTACAGCCATAACAACCTTCATGACCTCTACATGGTCATTGACTGCACAGATATGCAATACGGTGTGGCCGTCATCCCTTGCAACAACAATAGATCGAGGGCAACTTTGTGCAATTAACTCAGCAGGTCTAAAATGTATAATGAAAGAAAATGAAAATATTTAAGATCAGACAGGAAATTTCCTTTTCATAAGTTGATAGATTTAATCTCTTTTCTAAACATTTCCAGGCCCCTTGCATTTAAATCAAGATAACTTGTCAAATGGATTTGCCTTTGTTCAGAAAGAGTATAATGCCCATTGTACAACGCATGCTTTGGCAAGTAGAAATGGGCCCTAAATAAAGCCCTATTTGGGGGCTTATGGACTACAAATTTACAAAAAGTATCTTATTTTTCTGAAAACAGGTACAAATGTATTCATATGCTTGCAATCACTGTGAAGATATGATCCCTTCTTCATAAAGTGTCTTGCTCTTTTAAAAAACATACTCTTTTTTGATTCTTACACCCCTGAAAATCACCCCTTTTATTTGCATGACATTTCTAATGATCATGCGTACAAATTCGAGATCATTATGAATTGATACGACCAAGGGAGTACTTACTCTGGTTTGTCCCTTAAAGCTGCATACTGTAGAGCTGTACACTCTCTCTTGTTAGCCAGAGTCACATCGAGGTCTGGAACTTTCACCAATAGTTCGATGACATCTACCCTGCTCTTGATTATAGCATCATGGAGGGGAGTATCTTTCTCTGTATCCTTATATCAAATAAATGGAAGTTATGTAGCATTAATGTCATATTCCTAATTCTTCTATATTCGTAATTGATTGCCTTGTATGCTAGGTATTCCAATAAACTGCAATACCATGTGTAGTAAACACTTTCAGTGACCTATCACCAAGGTAAATGAATTCATGGATGTAACAGTTGTATTCTTAAAATATATTAACTGCAATTTTTTCATAATCAGGAGGACAACTCCCATATCTTATCTCCTTCCGTTCCTCAACTACTTAATTTATAATTTACCAATTTCTTTGAATTTCAGAACATCAACTTTTGTTAAACCTTTTAACATTTAACCATTCTTGTAACTTGGCTTTAATCTTTTGTCTTTTACTGTACTTAACTTTTTCAGGGGTGATAGTGAGCACTAATACAAAAAAGGGTTTTCAACCATGCCCCCCTTGAGTAAAAAAAAAGTAAAAAATGGCATCTTACAAAAATGCCCCCCTTTTGAGTGAGAAAATTGGGAAAAAATACAGAAAAAATCAGGAAGATGAGGGGAAATAAGGGAAAATCTGGAAAAAATCTCGAAAAAATCTGTAAAATAGGGGTAAAATCTGGAGGAAAAAAAATACATAAAAAAATCTGAGGAAAAAAAAAAAATCAGGAAAAAATCAGAACAAATTGGGAAACCCATTTAAATCGGTTAATAACCAAACCTGCTTTTTATGCATCTAAATTTTATTTCACCTGCATGTACAGACTTTAGCTCTATTTCTTTATTATTTATATTCCCCACTCTGGGCCAAATTGCCTATTTTAACAGAAATTTCAAATACTTCTTTCACAATTTCTGAAATAACTTTACCCTTAATTTGCATTACCCTATTATTGTAATATATTTAATCATGTTGACGTTGCTGATATTTTGTATGGAGAATTTTGTACATGCATGGATAGGGTCATCTAGTTATGGACTGTACGTACTATACCTCTCATTAATCCATACATTATACCTATATCTTAAAATCCCAGTACACCGATAGCCATGAGACTGACAGCCTACAGCAACAATGGCCAACAAGAATGACAGCACACAGGAACGACATTAGCAATTTGGTCAACCGGCCCTCAACAAAGTTGTGGGCTGTCAGTCTATGGGCCTTGAGGAAATCTATTAGAAGGTTCACTAGACTTGACATTGTCAGTCTTGTGGCTGACCGTCCTGTCTGTTGGGATGCAGCCCTCTTTATTAGGTCACTCTCTCATCTATAGAAATACATACCTGTACATTAACGTCACATCCGTGATTAATCAAGACCCTTGCACAGTCAACAAACCCTTTGTAAGCTGCTTGATGGATCGCTCTCCGTCCGTTATCATTACCTCTGTTTATATCCGCTCCTTTACCAATCAAATACTTTGTGATAGCTGGTTCATCCCTGTAGTAGGTTTAAGAGTAAAACACACATTAGCCTACTGTGTACACAATAATGAACATTCCCAAAATACTACAGAATATTGAAATCAGCCTTTAAATTCAGAAATGAGCACCACTGGTACGGAGCCTATATCATTTGTCATAATATGTGTTTCAACTCTGCACAAAAAAGCATTCCCAGGAATCACATACCATGATGTCCCAGTACATCTATGCCTTGTGTGCTTGGGGTCCTTTATATGATTTTTTTTTACATCATACGGTAAGCTAAAAATATTCCTGTAAAAAGATATTCTTTAACAATTAAGCATTTAATACATAATTATATAGCCTGTGTCTACAAAGCAAACTTTAACTATACAGCAGGTTCGATAACAATAAAGACGATGAAGAAGAAAAGAAAAAGAATAACAAAACCAATATTTTACTGGCTCAATATAAATGTTTCTTATTGTTGTACTATTAATACCATGGCATCAGCTATAAGCTCTCCTGATAAGGCAATTTCGAATTTAATTTTGGGAAAATCTTCCCACCGTGTTCCAATTTACACCACATGAGTGGATCGAGAGTAGAAAACAGCTGCGGCGGGACTTGAACCATGACATCCACAAGACACACCCACTACACACGATTCATGTTTCTGTCAAAATTGTAAAACACATGCTCTAATCTCTCTGCAGTAACTTCCTACACTAACTGAATTCCAAACTTCAACACTGGAAAAAACACCATACCTAACCCTAGCGATAACCTTAGCCTAACCTAAGCCTCAACACTAAAGCTTTTTTACAATGACGTGTAGTGCAATACGCCTAACATTTCTGTGTCTAAAATGTATAACACAGAGCTCATTGAATACCCAGTATGCATGAGGTGCCAACACTTTCCATTCATCGATCTACATGTACAAAAAACTCCCTCAAAGTTTGTTTTCTTTCCGGCAATTCATAACCCTTTACTTTCGACAAGAAATTTTCAAAGTAATTGCAACATAGCGATTGTTGCTGGAGCAAATGTCAGATCTCTACCTGTCACTTGACTTACCCTTCGACAGAGTAATGGAGCGGAGTGCTCCCGCTATCAACAGTGGTGATATCTATCTCAGCCCCTGACTCCAGAAGTGCCTGGACTACTTCAAGATGACCATGGGCAGCTGCCATGTGTAGAGCAGTCTTCCCACCAACTTTCATATTTGCCTGTAATATAATAATCATGATAATACAGAGTCACATACCTAGCACGGTAGCCTCATCAACATTAATATGGCTCTTTCCGATGGCCCCCCAATATTCATTACCCAAGTATTACGCATTTAATTCACTTGTCTTGAGGGGACAAATTTGGGCAAACAACCATGTCCAAGGATTCAAGCATTGAGCAAGGATCAAACTATGATTATTCAGATATGTATGATAGTCATGAGCCTTTATCACCAATATACCCAATGCTTGAGGGATTCCATGTGCAAAAAGATACATTCCATATCAATGAAGCAGCTTAGAACTGTATTCTAAAACTTCTACTGGGAACTGTGCAATGAACATGTTCAACTCCATATTAAAAGACATTTTGGAAAGCAATTAAGAAACTGTCAAGTACTGTCATGCATTTCATGATATAAGCTAGGCCTAAAAAAAAAAGATGTTGTATTTCCCTCAAGTGCCAAAACATGGGTAGGTCGGTTGGAAATCTTTTTTTTTTACTCCTTCTTTGGGCTGATATTTCTTATTTTTGAATGCTTTCATAATTTTTTCTTCTAAAAAAACTGTAATTTTTTTTAATTTTTTAAAGCCGATAGTAGATTTCAAGATTTTTGGGTTGGTCGCAAAGAGCAATACAACATATTTTTTTTGTTAGGCCTAACATAAAAAAACAGACAACATTTACCTTTCATGAAAATTTCGTGCAACAAAACTTCCAACAGTATACTCTTGAAAGTTCAATGTCTCAACAGTGTTTGTAATTTTAATTATTTTAAGTAAAACGGGATTACCTTTTCTGGTGATATGGATAGAATCTCCACGACACGTTCAACATTGCCTCTCTTAGCGGCCTTGATCAGTTGAGATTCTTCACCTCCTTCGCCTGAATCACTATTGGATGAGCTGCCATCTTTTGTCTGAAGTAGTGATAGCAAGGCCTTGAGCATTTTAGTTTGTCCATGTCCATCTGGATTAGTAATAGAAGATACTAATGATAACAATATTATTATTTGTATGATACGAAATACTGCGTTCCTAAGCACTTGACATTGTAATTATTATTATATACCAGAGTCTTTGGATTCGGTTGCTAACCCCCACATTAATAATAATGATAATACATTATATTAATAAAGCGCTTAATACTAATGTTTCTAAGCGCAAGAAAAAGATGAAAGGAAAAGGAAGGAAAAGTATTGAAGTAAATGACACGGAAGAATATGACATTACACAAAATAATGCATACATCGGTATTAATTGAAATTATACATAAACCAGATATGGACTCAGAGTTATAATATACAAAGTAAAATGTGAAAATGCAACTTATATACCATAACCTGGTTTTATTACATTACCTCCTTCACCTCCTTCGCCTGAATCTGTCCCGAGTAGTGATAGCAAGGCTTTATTGAATTCAGTTTGTCCACTTCCATCTGGATCAGTAATAGAAGATACCAATCATCACAATATTAACATTTGTATTGTACTTAATACTACGTTTCTAAGCACTTTACAATGTAATTATATTATCTACCAGAGTCATTAGATTCGGTTGCTAATACCCACATTACAGTGTGCACACTCTGCGGCCAGGCATCATATTGCAAGTTCATATGTCAATCAAAACACATTGAAATTCACTTCCTTCCGGGTAACCATTCAACACCAGGATGGAAAGTTGCAAATGTAGATTAATATCTTGTTTTATGAAGCAGGGCCCAATGTTCTTGCCAGAAGACAATAGCCTTGGTGCTAATATCAAACATGGGGGACTACAGCGAAAGTTGCCTAGGGAAAATTGTCTCTGACAAGGGTAGCAGCAAGGTTATTAAATATCCCAACCAACCTAGCTTGAGGCCTGTAGATTCAGCACTCTGCTTGTCATCATCTGATGAGTTCTTCTTGACGAGGATCAAGGAACAGGGATGCCATGACCACAAATTCTCCAAACCAATCAATCGCACCCGGCTGTTGTACTGTGAATCAACGTTCATCACGGTCCCTTCCATTCCTAGACACTGGAAATAGACATGAAGTAATGTTTAATAATCCATTTTGCACGTAGTGAAACATCTTTAAAAAGAACACTTTTACATCAAAATCCCAAGGTTTATCCTCTCCAAACCAAATTTTGTTATATTTGCCTAAAATGAATGATCAGCTTTGATTGATTACAATCATGATCATGAAAGATTTTAAATGTCTTGCGACATACTGACTGATCCGTGTGAAAGATTTGTATTCTTAGTTAGTTACCGCCAAGCCAATCATATTTCAATAATTTCCCTGGTTCATGCCAAGCCCAAACAAAGTGGGGCTCTATTACTGGTACCGGACTTGGTACTTTATGGGCACAAAAAGTGTTCACAAGTCACACAGAACTTCATATTGTTTAAAAGTTTGGTTTGACGGACCTTTTCCATGCCATCGATCCATCCATTTTGACTGTTTTCTTGAAGATTCATCACAAACGTCAAGTCTTTATTGATCTGCACACGGTCTCCCTTACTTAGCCTAGGAACCTAGAAAAATATATTTGTTTAATAATTTTTATGGAGAAAGAGTTAAATATGATAATAATAGAGAAGAAAATGTGAAAATGGAGAGAAATAGATACAATGAGGGGAAGGGATGAAATAACGTAGGGAGGGAGAGAGAGAGAGAGAGAGAGATATTGTGTAAGAAAGAGGGTGTGGGAGTTGGAGAGCGTATGTGTGTGTGTGTGTGCATGCATAACAGAGAGAGGGTGTGGTAGAGCGTGTGTGTGTGCATGTGTGTTAGTGTGTGTGAGAATAAAAGAGAGAAAGGGTGAGGGAAAATGTGTGTATGCATAAGAGAAAGTAAGAATGTGTGAGAGAGGGTGTCGGAGAGAGAGGGTGTGGGAGAGAGAGAGGTTTGTGTGTGCATGTCTGTTCATGTGTGTGTGTGAATAAAAGAGAGAAAGGGTGTGGGAGGGTGTGTGTATGCATAAGAGAAAGAGAGATTGTGTGAGAGAGGGTGTTGGAGAGAGAGGGTGTGGGAGAGAGAGAGAGAGTGGTGTTTGAGTGTATGCATAAGAGAAAGAGAGATTGTGTGAGAGAGGGCGTCGGAGAGAGAGGGTGTGGGAGAGAGAGAGGTTTGTGTGTGCATGTCTGTTCATGTGTGTGTGTGAATAAAAGAGAGAAAGGGTGTGGGAGAATGTGTGTATGCATAAGAGAAAGATTGTGTGAGAGAGGGTGTCGGAGAGAGAGGGTGTGGGAGAGAGAGAGAGAGTGGTGTTTGAGTGTATGCATAAGAGAAAGAGAGATTGTGTGAGAGAGGGTGTCGGAGAGAGAGGGTGTGGGAGAGAGAGTGGTGTTCGAGTGTGTGCATAAGAGAAAGATAGATTGTGTGAGAGAGGGTGTCTGAGAGAGAGAGTGTGGGAGAGAGAGAGTTTGTGTTTGAGTGTGTGCATAAGAGAGAGAGAAGGGAAGCAAGAGAGGGCAAGAGAGAGGGGCAAGCGGTAGACAACGAGAAAGAGATGGGGCTCCAGTTACAGTGAGTAAACATTAAAACTTGATACAAAGAAAATCTCTAGCAGATGTGAAATTACATGTAGGAAAGAAAAGAAAGTAAAGTTCAATATGAACAATCATAAAAACATATAGTATACGTAAAGAGCATGAACATCCCTGACTGAAAATGTTCTGTAACAGGTATAACACGCGCACCGGAACTTCAGGAACCTCAATTCAAGAAACATATTAATGATCATCATCACTGCTATTTCACTTCTTTATATAATTTTCAAATGGCCCCTCAACTCTACACTGCAAGTTTAATGCAATGTTTTACATTTTGTTTTTACTATTGCCTTTCTCCATGGCATTTCTTATAGTGGCAACTATTTTGTTGGGGTTTAATTCGTCAAAAGTATAGAGTTAATTTTAGGGTTAGTGTTAGCAATAGTGTTTGGTCCAAGTTTGAAGTCAGGGATTCAGTTACTGTAAGAAATTACTGCAGAGCAATTGTCCCAAGAGCAAGTAACGTAGAACTTAAGACCATACCTTGTTCAGTACATCTGGATTGAAGGTGAAAGGTTGTTCTTTTCTCTCAGGGTAAGTGACCTCTGCGTTCCCGTCTAAGTTGATACCAGTAACCTTGGCAACCTTCCCATACAGCTGAAAGGGTAAAGAGTGCGAAAAGAAAATCAATGGAATTAGAAGGTATTCCAATATATGATCATTAAATATTTAATTTTAAAACAACAACCCTGTTCTACTCTGTATGTTACGGTATATACACATATCACACATATAAATCCATTTAGGTATTCAGATATTTTAGGGGGTACTTTATATGTACTTCATAAAGCTATTGGTATTTGTTTTTATTTTTTGTCTTTTGTACAGTTGACCTTACTAATGTTATTCAAAGCTCCTCTATAACACAAATTACGTGTTCTGCTGAAAATAGATAGTTTATATTAGTTTGTTGAACATTTGTTTGCTTATTGGTTTTTACTTATCTTTGCATCCATTTATTTGGTTGTTATTTGTTAGTATTTGTTGACATTCCTTTACTTGAATTTACATGTTAAATTTGTATGAATTTACATATTTATTTGGCTGTTTATCTTTGTTTACATACATTTATTGTTTATTTGTTTGTTTATCTAATCATTTGTATTTGTATCATGCAACTCACATTTCCCATTGCTGGTAACCACTCTCGCCCACCCATCTGTTGCATAATCTGTAATGTTTCACTGTCCAGAGTAATAGCTACCAGATCTCCAACCTTTAAACCAACCTCTTTACCTGTTTTCAAAACAACCACATCAATAATTTAATAGGTTGGAAATTAGAAATAAATTGAATTTTTAAATTGAATGGCTTTGTCAAAAGAAAATGACATGCAACTCAAGTTTAAAATTGTCTGTTTTATCAATTAATCAAATAGAATTAATTACATCATAATAAATACAAATATCGAACTTCACCATACTTCACTCGAAATACAAACACAATGGTCCGAATTCACAAAGGAGGTTTGTCGACAAACCTCCTTTTGTTTCGTCAAGCCTCCTTTTGTTTCGTCAAACCTCCTTTTGTTTTTTACAAACCAGGTTTGTAAAAACCGCGTCAAAACGCGTCATATGACGTACAAAAACCTGGTTTGTCGACAAACCTTCCTTTGTGAATTCAGGCCAATATGATAATGATAACATTTAATACAATACAATTATATTCATATAAGATTTAAAAGTTGGTACAGATGAAGAAAAAGTAACTAATCGCAATAATTCAAATACTGTCCACTAGTATTCAAGAGTATACATTTAATTTAAGGCTATTTAGGAAAAGTGTCCCTGAAGAAGGGAAACCAAAGTTTACCTGTAAACAACTCGAGAGAGAGAGAAAAATGATGATGATAATGATGATGATGTTAATGATGGGGATGAATATGAAACTGATGATGGTGCTGTCGATAATGATGATGAAGGTATATGGTGGTGATGATGATGATGTTGATGATGATGATGATGATATTGCTGAGGATTATAGTGGTGACTGTGGTTATGATGAGGATGAAGAAGGTGATGGAGATGATGATGATAAGGATGATGATGATGATGATACTGATGATGATGATAAGGATGATGATGATGGTACTGATAATAATGATAAAGATGATGATACTGATGATGATGATGATGATGATGATGATGATGATGACGATGATGGTGATGAGATGATGATGATGATGGTACTGATGATGATGATGATAAAGATGATGAAGATGATAGAAATGAACATGATGAATATGATAATGAAGATTGTGATGATGATAATGCTGTTGATATTGATAATGAAGGTACAGTTGTGATAATGATGATGGAAACAATTGTGACAATAGTAGTGAGGATGATAAAGTAGATCGTATGAAACCGGGATGATGATGACGGCGATGATGATGATGATGATGATGATGTAGATGATGATACTGATACTGATGATCCAAATGATTATGACAGCCACTGATACTTAATTCTTTACAGTGATGAAGGTGAGCATGAAGATAAGAGTGATGGAAAGTAGACAACAGGTAGGGAAGAAAATATGTGTGTGTAATCCAAAATTAAAAAGTCAAAAGTGAATGTAGAAATAAATAGTGATTAGCCATTATTGTGGAACAAAAGGACAAACTGTTGGATACAATACCTAAAACAGGAAGATGTGTAGCATAGTAATCTATCCCAGTTCCTGCTGCGGTGCATTTCAGATCCATTTTCCCATCAAATCCAACTCTATGAGTAGTAACCAGTTTAGACTGAGTCCAGCAAACAGTGACGCCTGATCGTGGCCTTTTAGAGAAGGGACATATCTCAACAACAGTCCCACCGGCACCTGAATCATCAAGAGAATAATCAATCACTCTACTTTTTAGACAAAATAATTGTAAAAGCAAAACAAAATCAATTATTATAAATAAATTACTCAATATTACCAGACATAACATGATACTACAGGAACGAGCCAACTTTCTTACGGAATGTATGAAGCCAAACCTTCTTATATTTTGTGATCAGGGGCATGCCTGTGGAGATATGTATACTTGATATTTTCCTTTTGTTCAAACGCTCACAGTGGCTACCACAAATTTAGTTGAATAATAAAGACATCATAATTTCATATCAAAATAGCAGGTTGCATGAATTCGTCGTACTGCATTCTGTACTAGGTCAGAGTAGAAATCTACAAGCTTTATAAACAACACAAATACCCCCCCCCCACCCTTGTGCCACATTGATTTTATCATGGGATAAATATACTAAAGGCTTTGAAACTGTTTCACAAGGTTATAATTAGAGTTATCATGGATTTAATAAAGATTTTAAATGGTTGATTTTAGAAAGACATTACACAATGCAATCCTTCCATTAATTGGTGTTTACTGTTTTGTGCAAAATGGCACATGTGGCAAACAAGCAACCATGTAGAGATGAGAGAAAAAGAAACAAAAGTGTTAATATCTTTCCAAAGGGCTATCAAAATGAAAACATTTATCCCTAAATTCTCTTACTGCTAAGCTAAAGCTCATGATTAACCCTAAAAAGGCCGGGCTATTTGAGGTCTTAATACAGCCGGGGGGGGGGGGGGGGGGGGGGGGGGGGGGGGGGGGGGGGCATTAAGATCTCAGCCTAGGAAGGTCCAATTAATGTGAAAATTAGCATGGTGATACATTGAGTATATTGAATAAGATGGTAATGTTTATTTTCTTTCATGTTTATTTATATATTTTTTATCAATGTTTTTATGACAATATGCAATTTTTTGGGGGAAATATACTTACACACGCACAAGTTTGTGAGAATTACATATTTTGATAGACGTGTGATGATATTTTGTCACCTAACACCCAAACCATAGGTCTGCCCATAACAAATTTGGTATCAAAATGTGCGAAAGATATGGGGGAAAAAACTTATGAAATTTCAGGGCCATAGGTTCAGGGGTTTTGATGCAGGCAAAAATTCACCTCCGGCCTTTTTAGGGTTAAACAAGTTACTTAAATAAAAAACTTAAAGGCATTGCACTGGCAAATAGGCAAAATCGTAAAAAAAGAAATGAAAATAAAAGGAAGAAGTGAAAAATACATATTTCATACCATCTTCATCATCTCCTTGCCAATCCTTCCCTCTACAGACCTCTGCCTCTGGACACAGCCCTCTGGAAACTGTCTTCGCTTCTCCAAATCGAGGTGTCACTTGTGTCCTGAAGGAACAAACAAATCTCTTTTTTTAATAATTTTTAAGAGAAATGTATAAAGCTAGTAGAACAATCAGATTGTGTAGAGATCATATTCATCAAAAGAGGTAAATACATTTTGAGACAGTTCCAACTCAAATGTCAAGAGTCAAAAGTTTGCCTGCAGAATGTAAAACGAGGTAAGTAAGGGTATATTGTTATAAGTAAAATTTTTCATGACTAACAAGGTCCTTTATAGTAAGGCTTTAAAAAAACACAGAATACTTGAATCGACTTCACATGAATTATGACAATATGACCCAAATAGCATGAACTCATCTCATGCACCCTGGGGTGAGAGGGGGCCTATTTATCTATCTTTCATTTTGAAACCCCACTACTTGAATACATCCTGAACAACATTAAGTTTTCCAGTTCTCTATCCCAATTTCATATAGAAAATATATTCATAGGCGCAAAATATATTGCATTTTAATGTAAAATAAACAAAAGCAAAACTCATAGTTAAAAAAAATACTAAAAAATACTCTGTACATACCCTGTTTCTTTCCGGCTGGTGAAGCGAGTGAATCTATGAGTCAAGTCATGTTTATCATTCATGTAGCATGGAGTACAAAGGTCATAATCAGGGCAGCTTTGATCACTGCATTTCCAACGTATGCCAGCTATAGGATTCATTGAACAGCTATCACAAGTTATATGAACATGATTCACACCTGAAAAAAAGAATTGAGGAAGATGGAAAATTAAGAAATTGTATAACAGTATTGGTCTCGTAGCCGTCAATATGAATTGGAAATTAATACCCCGCCCGCCTCCTCCCCCCTCCTCCCCCCCCCCCCCCCCCCCCAGCATCAGATACTTGAACTTATAAAGCTTTCATCACTGTAAAATAGATAAACAATATTCAGTTATTGACCATTTAAAGAAAATCTGTTGATTTAATTGCTAGATTTAATCTTAATTTTAATATAAACTAATAGAAAAATTGTTAAAAAATTAAGTAAGGGAATCGTTACCTGCGGGGGCATTGTCGAAGAGCGCAAGGTCATATGACCCACTGGACCCGACCTGATAGTTGTTAACATTTCCATTATCCCATCTGATCTTGGCCCAGTCTTTAGGAATGGGTTCCTGAGGGTCTTGATCTTTGAGCTTGACCACTGTCCCAAGATGACCCTCACCGCCATCTTGATCTCGCCATGTCCAGGTGGCGCTTCGGACAACTCGCTGTCCAACCTCCATGGTTGCTATCCTGATTTAGATGTTCTAATCTGATTTGATTTATTTGGGCCTGTTTTAATGCAAAAATATAACAACATGCTAAGAATATAATGTACCTATATACCTGCATTTGAAATTCACTACCATCTTCACCTTCTCCTTTCTCTTTTCTCTCTATCTCTTTCTTTCTGTTTCTCTATTTTCTTTTTTCTTTCTTTCCGCTCTTCCTGGATCCACTCCTACAAAAAAATAATCCTCTCTCTCTATACCTGGATCTACCTCTCTCTCTCTCTCTCTGTCTCTCTCTATACCTCCTGTACAACCCCTCCCCTCTCTCTCTCTCTCTATCTCTTTCTCTCTGTTTCTCTATATTCTTTTTCTTTCTTTCCTCTCTTCCTGGATCCACTCCTACCAACAAATAATCCTTTCTCTTTATACCTGGATCCACCTCTCTCTCTCTCTCTGTGTCTCTCTCTATACCTCCTGTACAACCCCCTCCCCTCTCTCTCTCTCTCTAGCTCTCTCTCTCTCTCTCTCTCTCTATATATATATATCTATCTACAGTTAACAACTAAAATTATTCATGCTCTTACCAAGTTTTGTAAATTTGTCCCGATTTATGTTTCTTGAAATGTGACACAAAAGCTTACATCAACAAGTATTCAACAAAGGCCCTAACTCAACCAATCTACCTTTCATTCTTCAGTTATAATAATTCAGTTCATAACTGTAGATCTATCTTTCTCTCCCACTCATGTAGAACGTGACAGCTAGGTCCAAGGTGCAATGTAATAATACAGTTGCCTTCAATACACAAATGTCTTTCAAATGCACAAAAGCTTGTTTTGCTTTATGGCTGCAGATTTAGGTAAACAAACATGGTGCCAAAGTAACTGTTTAGAAGAAGAAAATAAATACAATGGACTATCTGCAGAAAAATGGATTCATAGTTTACAAATTTGTTTCATTATATTCAGCAAACATACATGTATATGTAAACCTTCTTTTTTGTATAACTTCCTTGTCACAGACATATATGAACATCAATGCTTGCTGTCTCCTGAATTTTAAGTGCAATTTACATTGGCAAAGTTGTAGTACATTTCAAGTTAAAACTGGTTGCTTTATGAAGAAAGTAATTATTTTTCAACAGCAAGAATATGTAAATGTCTCAATATTGCATTGAAAATGAAGTCTATGTTTTAATAGGGATAAATATTCAAATATTACCCCCCTCCCCCAATCCCAGTAACATACTGGTAACTATCAATGTTAACAGTATGCCTCATGTTGAACTAGATTTGGAAATACTACTGTAAAAAACTAACGTTCACGATACATAATCAGGGTCGACTCGACTCGGTTCCCTTATTTCATATTCATTTTCCTCTATACCAAAGTAGACTTTCAATAAACATACAACATACATGTTTACATTCCTGGTTGCAGGTGTACTGTATAGCAGGGATTGTAACAAATATCTGCTGCACAAACAACGGGGCGTTGTGGCGACATGCGCCTGTAATCCAGCTAAAAATGGAAGTTACAAACTGATTCAGCCAAGTGCACAGGTTCGAAACGAGTCACGACTTTCAGATGGTGACGTTAAAGGTCGGTCCCTAGATGTAAATAATCTGATTTATACACGTCTGTAAAATCCCAATTACAATACACAGTATACACACATAGTCATACACACACGACTCCTGAACCATACAATAGCCATCAGTGGCGTACGCAGGATTTTTTCAAGGGGGGGGGGGGGGGGGTTTAAAATCGGGTCCAAAATTTAGCAACGACTCAGGAAAATTTGAAAATCACGCCGGCCAAAAAGTCGCTCAGTGGGGGGGGGGGGGGGGGGGGGGGTTAGGAGGTAAGCGGACACTTTTTTTTTTTTTTGGAGGTCCAAATAAAATCGCAACGACTCAGCCAGCCGAAAAGTCGCTAAGTGGGGGGGGGGGGGGGGGGGGGGGGAGGGGGGGGGTAAGCGGACACTTTTTTTGGGGGGGGTCCCAAAAAAAAATCGCAACGACTCAACCGACCGCTGAATAAGCGGGGGGGGGGGGGGGGGGGGGGGGGGGGTAAGAGGACACTTTTTTTTTTTTTTGGTCTCGAAATTTGAAATTTGACATTTTGCTCCGTTGGGGGGGGGGGGGTAAGGTCACCTTTCTTAGGTCAGCCATGGGGGTAATTTTTTTTTTTTTTTTTTTTTTTCTTTTAATAATAAGAAAAAAAAAAAAAATCCAAAGGGGGGGGGGGGGGTTTAGGTTTTTTTTAGGGGGGTTTACACATATAAAAATACCAAAGGGGGGGGGTTTAACCCCCCTGCGTACGCGCCTGATAGCCATCCATTTTTCCAATGCCCAACTTGACTATGATACAGGTACATTCATGTAGACAGGATAGCTCTCTGCTGAGACGACAGGAAAGTGATACCGGTGGTAATGTAAGCATACAGAGGAAGGCAGATAGTTGTGATCAGGGTTGTCTTTTCCACAATATCTTGCAATATTCTCTGCATTCATACATGTTCCTCTTACATATGTCTAAAAACATGTCCACAACAATCATTCCAATCATGACTAGGTTTATAGGTTGTGAATTTGTAACCTTTGACCAGTGCGCTCTACTGGGGTACTGCTAGTCATGACTGGGAGACGAGAGAGGGTGTTTTCAGCACATGATTTACCATTCATTAATATAGCTATATAAAACTTGTTTTAAATATTGGGAAAATATTGGCAATCCTTGCTGATAGCCTAGCTAAGATTGAAATCTGTCTCTTATAATATCAACTGTATATGTTGTTCCAATGAAACTACATGCATGTGGCTCCTGCATGCACTGACCGCCTTTTCCACATATCAGATAGTTATTTCTGCATGCAGTTCTGCATGTCTACGTACACATTGACTCTCGCGTGTTTCACGTACGTTTGTGAGAAAATTAGTCTATCGAGATATAACTTAAGAAAACATTGCATGCATGAGAAAAGAAACCAAACTAGGAACTTACTTGATCTGCAGATCGGCAGTAAAAGTTATACCTCAAAATAGGGTTTGCGACAATGTTTACTGCTGTGATGATGACGTAGTATAAACACATTCACAGCACAGTCTCCTTTGCCTTCTCTCCCGTACCGTCGCTGTATAGCGAGCTGGTGTGGGTATTCCCGTCGGGAAATCCCCTTTCGCAAGTTGCATTACGTCATCGATTATAGCAAACGCGCATATGCGCTATCTCTGCAGATGCTAACCGCGGTTTTGGTCTCTGCTGCATTGGCTGACATTAATCATGATCATGTTATTATATTTTCTTTCTTAAGTGATATATCGACATCATTATAAGTGAGCTACTTATCTCAACAAAATCAAGTACTCTGAATTCCTGACAATTTTGGTTGTTTTTCCTTCTTTATTGTCATTACATGGGCATATCCCCTACATCTCTCTCTCTCTCTCTATCGCACTGCATGCCCCTCACTGCCCCTCCCTCCATCTCTCTTTCTCTTTATCCTCCCTCTCTCTCTCTCTCTCTCTCTCTCTCTCTCTCTCCATATCTGTTGATCATTTGACATGTACACATGTGCAGACTATTCAAAATCACACACATTTTCTGTTCAGTTCAGGTGAAATATATTTATTTTGAGGAAAGGCATGATGAATAATTAATGGCATCAATTAATGTATTACAAAAGGTAAAATATAAAACAAATATACAACTGTATAACAAATATGAGACATATTTGATGCATGATTAAAATCAAGACTGATATAGTCTATATCATCAATATTCAAACATTCTAGATGAGAATTACTTTCATCATCATGAAACTTGGGTTGCATATAAATAATAAGTTAATTTTGACCACTAAAGTCATTGTCCTCATATAAAACATAAGGTAAAGCAGTTCCTATTTCTTATACAGACTTCCAAAATGAAGCAGGGTCTATGTTATTTGATATTCTATAGTTTTGTTTTAAAGTTACATTTATATATAGCTGCAGCACATATAAGAAAATTTGTATCAAAATTCTATAGAGCAAACAAACAAAAACATAGGTTTTCACTACAGATTGCAAGTCTGTTTAACTAGAAACCTCTATTCAATTATTCATTTGAATAAAAAGCATAGTAAAAACAAACATACACGTACATGTAGTTCACTTGAGGAGAACGATATATGCATACACTATACACCATTTCTAAATCATATTCTTCAATTCTAACAAAAGGAAAGACAGAATTAGTCTATCAAATAGACTACCAATTCAACTTTATGTATGAACAAATAATATAATCAAACATCAAAGAAGGAAATATAATAGCTGTCAATTTGGAAGTGATAATTCAACTAATATTAGAAATAGTAAACAAATATACCATGCACTGACAGGCTCTATTTGAAATTATGGATCGAGGTGAGAGGAATAGCACTATTTTCTGAGGTACCGCGACCGGGCCGAAACCGATATCACATTGACCTTGATCGATCGCATATCTATGACGTCATCCATGGTATAGTCCCATGATATAGTGCACTATACCATGGATGACGTCACAGTATAGCACATTTTTCTTATCGGTAACATCATAGCATTGTTATGTTTGTCACATGATGCTATGTTGACCAAGCACTGAACAGCATTTTATTAATCAAAAATATAACAAGGTTAGAGTAAATACTATGAGTAAAATAATGTTCAAGTATTCCACAAGACATGATAGCTTTGTTGTCACAAATATCAATCTACTCTCTTATATCAGTTTTAGGCCATCATCAGATCGATACACATGTGAACAATTTCGAACAAGATTTTGTCTACAGGAATCATATTAAGGTAGCTCTGCGAAATTTGTTGGCACAAAAAAAGATGCGTCCGTAAAGCAAAATGCATAATTGTTGAAACTCATTATTTTATCATAATCAGGTAGAACCAAATCTTTAGTTTTAGGAGCTGGTAAATATAGGCTTGTCAATAGGATGTCAATAGAGAATTTTTGATTGGTAAACACCAGTGACTATTCTTCCTTTTGCCTTCCAGACACGCCTTTTCGTTCCACTTCATTTCACTAATCTACCTTAATGCCTGGATTACATTAGGCCTGCGATTAGTCTAAGGAGCCCATATCCTGCCCGTGTCCCCTTTTCTGTGCGGCTACCGTACGGAGGCAGGAGGCGGCCGTGAGATTTTTGTACAGATTCATACAGACTTATAAGCAACACAGCAGCTGCACGGTCAACGCACCTTCTCCGCGCAACCTTTGCACGGAAGCTGCACGGGCTCCGTACGATTTCCGTGCGGAGGCTGCGGAGACAACACGGCTACTGCATTGAAATTGCACGATATCCGTAAAATCTCTGAGCAGCCTCTGTACGGATTTGCCCCGGCCTGCCCCGAGGCCAATACAAGAAATGGCACGATGCTCGTAGATAATGTAAACACAAACATCGTAGCCCGCCGTAGCCTCCTACGATGCCCCCAAAATCGTAGACTAATTTATCGTACGGCGCCCGGGGCAAATGTAATCCAGGCATAAGTTAGTGATGGTTCATTGGATGGTCTATGATATGCTAGAAATCTGCCCATCAATTTACTGAATATCAAATTTGACGACATGTAAAAATCCTAAGCTTACAAAAAAAAATTCTTCTCATTATTAAAATTTACTTTAAAACTTACTATATTTTTTCAAGATGTTACATGGGAAAGGGGGGGATAGAGAAAAGGAAATGATATTACTGTTTTGCTTGATATTTCTGTATGGTATTGCCATTTCAAACTTAACATATTTCAAGCAAAATTATTAGACCCCTTAAGTACATTTTCTGAATCTGAATTTGAAATGGTGCATCAATGCTACTAGTAGAAATACAATATTGCACAGATTTTAACATTATTTCACCAGTGCCTGTTCAATATTTCAATTCACCAGCAAAATATATTCTGGAGCCTCTAGCAAGAATGTGAGGAGGGGTGCCTACCACATCACAAGCTGGGGGGGGGGGGGGGGGTCATAAAGCTGTTTGTAAAGTTACGCATGACTTTACAAATGACTTAATTAAATATGAAAAGCCAAATGGGATGCTCAATCATTTTTAACTACATAAACTAAAGTTGAACTGTGCAGATGTAGATTAACATTCTTATTATAACAAACATTTGTAATGCAAAGTTTATTTTTTGCCATATTCTAATTGAGGTAATAGGAAATGTAGTCACATTTTAATAAAAAAAAAGGAAAAACTTTGGGCATCCTATCTGGCACTTCATATTCAAGTCGTTTGTAAAGTCATGCGTAACTTTACGAACAGCTTTATGAACAACCCCTGAACTGTTAAAGCTTCTGAAGCTGTTCAAGTAATAATACCCAGCCTGCAATTGAAGAGGGATGCCTCAAACATCATAAGCTGGACTGTTGGAGCTTCTGGAACTGTTCAAGGAGTACCTCTGCAGAGGGCCTTTTCAAGGGCTCCTTATCAAAGCATGGTTTCAGTATGGAACGCACCTCTGGCTTAACTTTCTTCAGAATTGGCGGCACAGCGTCCGGTTTTAGCAATGTCCTAAGAAGCTTCACAAACTCTACACCTTCCCAAAGGGTTTGCTCCACGAACAACTCCAGGAAGGTGCAAGCAATAGACCAGATGTCATTTCCTGGACCGGCCCAGGCCTTCCCTTGTTTTTGGACCATCTCTGGAGCAAAGTGGGTGATCGTGCCACGTGGTCCACGGAGTGATGTTGAGAGAGACATGGAGCTACGGGTCTTGATGTGGGCAAGGCCAAGATCACAGAGGTAAGCTCGCCTTGATGCACGCTCAACCTGTGGAAGTAACAAAATAAATCCAAAGATTTTGTACTAGATGAGGGCTACTCTTCTTCTCCATCTCTTACTATCTCTTTTGCTTCGATTCTCATTTCTTTACTTAAAAAATAGTTCTTTCTTCACAATCTATGAACAGAGACTTAGAACAATAATATACTTTTTCTTTATCCTTTGATCCCATTCTACCATAGGCCTGAAGAAGCTTGCATCACAGCAGGTAAAAGCTTACGAAAACAAATAATTTTCCACTGATTGTGAAGAAAGAACTCATTTTCCCGTTACATCACCAATCGAATCAACCTTTTCAGTTATTTCATAACTAGTAAACATTGTGAAAATATTTTTCTGTTGAATTATATGGAAACTTGAAAACCCAAGTGAACAAGATTCCTATTTCACATCCATTTCTATAAAATGAGGGAAGGTTTCTGTATTATTTGATTTTCAAGATTTGTTTTTCCAAGTTGACTGCCTCCAATACATACAGTGGTGGATCTAGGGGGGGGGGGGGGGCCTGAGCCCCCTCCCCTCAAGGTCAAGGTGTGTTGGCTCAGTCAGTAGAGCGTCCGCCTCACAACCGGGAGGTCGTGAGAGGTCAAACCCTGGCCGCGTCATACCAAAAGACGGGAGTTGCTGCTACCTTGTTTGGCGTTCAACAATAAGGGATAGAGCAACGTCGAACTGGCGCTGCTCAGTGGCTGCCGGGCTCACGATCATTGGGCAAAAAGAATTTCCATTTTCGGTTAAACTTAATAAAATTTGGAGCGGACTTTTAAACGATTATTATTATTATTATTAGGAGTTTGTTTTACAAATACAATTATTTGTAAAAAACTTTGTTTTCGAATAGGATTGAGTATGCCTACGTCCTAAATTCAGGAAATGGATGGAATTCGTCATGACATATCATGATGAAAATAAAAAGCCTATCTCTTGTGGAACTTGAGATATGGCACTTTCTGAAATTGACCTGTGTGACCTTTGAACCCCAAATCTGATCAGATCATCTTCCTAGGCCTACTGTCACCAAGGTTTAGCCTTACATGTATATCTCTAGTAGTTCTTGAGATACCACATTAACAAGGCTATATCTAGAATTTTAGAAATTGACCTCTGTGACCTTTGACTTATTAATCCAAAATCTGATCCAACTTTGTTCCTATGGCCTTATCATCAAGTTTGACTTTCATATCTCTAGTGGTTTTAGAGATTTTGCAATAATAAGGCAAATAGCTGGAATTTCAGAAGTTGACCTGATCTGTGACCTTTTCCTTTTAACTCAAAATCTGATCAGATTGTCTTCCTATGGTGATACAAATTATCACAAAGTTTGAGCCTCTTATCTCAAGGGGTTCTTGAGATATCGCATTAACGAGAAAGCGGGACGGATGGACAGACAACCCAAAAACATAATTGGCTCCGGCACCACCTTTGGTGGGCTTAGGCATAAAAACTGACTAATATTAGGATGTGCTAAGCCTATTTTAGTATTGTAATAGCATTTTAAAAACTTATATGTATTTATAATTACTATAAGAGTAACTTATATTAATTTTGTCACTTTTAACAACTGATTAATTTTAAAAATTTTCCTTGACTAGTCTGGGGAGGGGTATACTTGAACAGGCTGCCTCCCTCAAAAGTGGGGGAAGGGGGGTGTATACCCCCACCCCCAAGGGATTTACGACAATGAACGTGTCCCTAGACCTACACCTCAATTGTTCTTACCATAACGTTGGATGGTTTGATGTCTAGATGGAGTATCTTGGAAGCATGAAGGAAGGTGAGAGCTGACAAGAGACCAACCGTGATGCTCATCTTTAACTCCGGAGTCAGGGTAATACCATCCTTCTAATTGAATGATAAATTGTTAGCATTGTCAAAAATTTAGAAAATGTATTACTTGGATCTAAAGCAAACCAATAAAATATATGTAGCTTTCAACAGTTTGTGGTTGGGTTTATCCTTCTTTATCCTTCTTTATCTCTCCTTCTCTTTTTCACAACTCTTCTTTTAATTACTTTCTCATCATTTCTATTTGTTCCCCCTATCTACTTCTTTACTTTCTCTGCATTTCCCTTTCTCACAATATAATTTTCTCCCTTTGTCCTTTTCTCCTCATTTCTCTTCTTCTTTCTTGGCCTCTTCTCATCCTCTCCCACTTAATTTGTATTCATCTTCTGCCCTTCACCTTCTCTTCCTTTTTGTTTTCTTCTTTATCTTTTCCTGATTCTTCCTTTTCTTTTTCCTGTTTCTTTTCATCTTCTGTCCTCTCTCTCATCCGTTGTCAAATCCTTCCTGTTCTTGTTGTTGTTTCTGAAATATAACAACATAAACACTTTTTTTTAATGAAATACCTTTTTCCTGAAGATGACATCATGGAGATTCATTCCGTCGATGAACTCCATGACGATCAGGACCTGTCCAATTCGATGCCCAACAGCCATCAATGATACTATGTTTGGATGTCTAGCACGTCTGTTATAGAAAAAGACAAGAGATATTTAGTGTTGTAACCCAATAGAACTGACTGTGCAACATGCATTCATGTAATCAGCTTCACTTCCCTTTTTACTAGCTGTAGAGATATTAACAGTAACTCTGACAGGTTCCTCTTGATTTTCCTCCCTCCCTCCTTCCTCCTCCCCTGCTACCCTTTCACTCTTCCTCCATCTCCCTCCCTCATTATATGTCACTTACTTATGAATAGAGACCTCTTTCTCCACCTCATCTTTCTTGCTACCAGCCGTGGAAATAATCTTGACAGCCACGGTGGTACCTCTCCAGACAGCTTTCTTTACCTCCCCGAAAGCGCCCCGCCCGACTGTTTCTCCCAAGTTCAGCTCATCTGGGCTGATACGGTGCACTCCTTCAAAATCTATGCCAGTTGCAAATGGAGGAGGAAAATTATGAGATTTCATGTGTTCAGGTTATGACTGATATCTTCACAACCTGTCCACTAACTTGGTAGTTCAGAGTTTAGACAGGTTTTGCCATCTATACCATCTCTAGCAATCTAGAAGGACATTATCTGTTTACTTGTGGTATGAATTAGTTTACAGATGAACATGTTTATCACTTCCTGAACAAATTCTTTGGAAGAAGAAAAAAACAAATACATAATAGAGACAGAAAAGTACAATGTATCACAGTAAATGTGTATGAAACAGAACTCCTCATTACAAATATGTACACATGAAACTAATACAACAATATACAAAATCATTTCAAACTTTATTGTATATGTTTCTGCCAATGATAGTTTGAAATACAGGGATAAGAACAAAAGAAAGAAGTTATCTAATTCGATGTCTTTCATATTTTGAAGTTCTTTACATCAAAATGGCACTATAACCATGAAAATGAATATGGACTTCAGTTCCTTGAAAATCGAAAAAAAGGATGTCTCTGCCTAAGAGCGATTTTACAAACCAAAACAGAAGCAATTTTTAAAATTCAAGTTTGATTGTAATCCATTAACAGGTTCTCAGAATATTGTGATTGCAAGCTATTTTTCGTGTACATGTACGTATGACTGTTTGATCTTTGACCTTATGATCCTAAAATCTATTCAGTTCATTGGCTCTGCAAGATACATAAATGTCCTGAGTTTGATAGTAATCCATCGGTCAGTATCGGCAATGCTTTCGCAAGCTGTTTTTGCATTCATGAGCCCCATGACCTTCGACCTTTGACCTCATGACCCCCAAAATCTAATAAGTTCATTGGCTCTGCAAGATACATACATAACCGAAGTTTGGCGGAAATCCATCAATGGGTTTTTTGAGATAATGCGGTCACAAAAACGTGAGGACACGTCCCTCCCTCAATTTTTTTAGGGAATATCGACCCCCCCCCCCCCCCCCCCCCCGGAAAATTTAAAGAAAGTGCCAAAAAAAAGTACTGACTAAAGACTGCATGCAACAAACTTTTATTAATTTAATACCTAAAACTCCTCCGCCCCCTAGCCCCTACCTAAGGCGGGCCCTTGGATGCTCATCTGACTGTTATTAAATGCCCAAAACTAAATGGAGCTACGCCTTGAGCCCTGCCGGGGATTTGCCCCTGGACACCACGCCAATTTACTCTCCACCTGCTTATCTCGCTTTGCTCTACCTGATCTTAAATACAAACCCCCACCCCCACTCTCAAAAACGTTCCCCAGGGCCTGCATGTAACATGTAAGAGTCAGGGTGATGCAGATTTTTGTTCTGCCCCCAAACTTTTATGCTCATTACGCCACTGCTCCATCGTCCCTTGCATTTCGTCCCCCCCCCCCCCCTATTTATGAAAAGAAATCGCCGCCCCTGCATCTGCATACCTTGTTTCTTCTTTGGTTTGGGGGCTTTCTCAGCAGAGGGATTCCTTTCTTTCTTATCCTTCTTTTTATCCTCCTTCCTCGTCTTGTCTACGGCTTCATCAGCTGCTATTGGTATCTCACTGATTCTGAGACAGATGAAAAGAAAGAAACATGTTTTACAGATGAGAAGAAAGAGACTTGTTTTACAGATGAAAAGAAAGAGACATGTTTTAAATGGAAATGATGAAATCTAAAATAAAGTTTACTTCACCATCTTTTATAAAATCTCTGAGATGAATAATAAAATCCTATTGAATGCACAATGCTATGGCACTTAAACTATTTTTCTTTCCTATAATTAAATTTCGAGTCGAGAGTTGAGTGAATGAACCACTATACCGTGACACCTCCGCACATGGACAAGAAAAAGAATTTTAATATCTGATGCACACCTGCACTGACCATCTACATTAAAATCCTAGTTTGATGAAAAAAATACAACAATTGATTGGCCAGATTCTTTCATCTTTTTCATTAAAATCTGGGGTGCACTTGCCACTACCTTTCTGTATTCCTGATTGTATAATACTTAATCATGAAAAGTTATAAAATGAAGATCATCTTACGGAGTGATTCCTGCTACTCTCATCAAAGCATTCAATAGCACCGGTTCATTCTCCAGCAAATTGAAAGGGGTGTGGCCATTGTTATTCTTGATTGTGACATCACTGCCATGACGTATGAAGAATGCGATGATGGCATCTCTGGGCGTGGTGATCGCTGGATCGCCTATCTCCTTACACACCTTCCAAAATAGCAATGATAACGGTCTTTAAAGAATCTTTAAGCAATTTACTTGTATTTTCATGCAGTTTAGAGTATATATCCATAAAGTTCTATATGATAAAACCTTTCCAAAGGAAAATAATAATGGTAATAATACTCTGGATTTGAACCTTGCTTAATCAAATTGCTTACAGACAGAAAATGTACAGAACCTCCAAACAAATCTTGTACTTATATGTAAGTACTATACATTGGAGAAAAATAGGTAGACATGCAAGTAACCAGCATTCTATAAAGTACTTTAATAATAATAATAATAATAATATCGGTTCTTGTTTAGTGCATAGCACATTATAACATCTCTATGCGCTTCCAAAGAGCTTTGGAAATTATTACATCGGCTTTAATGACTGTCATTACAGCACTCTATATCTGTATTAATTAGAAATCAGTAGGGGACCTGCATGCAGCTTTAAGTTTGTGAGAATAGATGAATGAGAATGAACACGCAAACCCTATATATCTGACACTCTGGCTCTGTCTAGATTTGGAGTCCCCCTTTTCAAAGAATATTGCTCTACCGACTCAGAGATCTGGAATTAAGGGTAGGGGAATATAACGGAAATGGGATAAATAAAGGGAAGGAGAGGAAGAACAGTCTGTGGGAGACAGTTAGAAACCTCACACATTCACGAACATAGGCCTACATGACTTAACTACCTTTTGTAATGCTGGAGTGTCATGGACGAAATTCGTGCCGCTGACCCTCCTCTTGACGGTCAAATGCAACATGGTGTCTCCATCCTTGTCTTTGACATTAACCTCTGCTCTGTGACTGACCAGGAGCTCAATGACCTCTGTGTAACCCTCCCAGGTAGCCAGGTGGAGAGGTGTGTGGTGACCTGGACCGGCCTTGATAGTTGTAAGGTCACAATTCGGCTTTTTTTCAGAAAAAAAGGTAAAACAGAAAAAAGATGATGGTGAGAAATGCCATAGAAGGTGAGAGCTGACCTCACAGAAGAAGCTGTAAACTAAAAGTCTACTCTACAGCTCCTATCCAACAACCATGACCATGCGCATAAACTTCTTCTATCAACCATTCACCCACCTAGACAAAGACAGGCAGTTCCCATCAAGGCGCAGCTACTGAGTGGCGTATATACCCACCAATTCTCGTATATATACACACCATCAATCCAGATAACAGCTCCTGCTGCGCCTGTGCATGGAGAAACTGCCGAGACAATCACGTGGTAGGTGAGTGCCCTCTCCGCAGTCACAGACAAGTTTATAGCTCACTGGCCAAGACGCTGGGAGAGCCATTATTCTTAAATGAAAACGAAGGGTGAATGCTTCACAAAACTATCGTTTCTTGGCTCCTGTATGCTCTCAACCCTCTCTTTTCAACTGGATCAACCCCTCACTTTAATGTTTACATTAATCTCTCTCTCTCTGTTTCGTACTTGACCTCCATGTTAAACGTTCCACTATGTGATGTCACTGTAAACCTGCCTATCCTTTGTATATAGCTATCAACACCTGCACCAACTGCAGTTATCTAAACTGGAGGAAGCCAAGCAAAGAAGAAGACTATATATGACGCTCCAACATTTTTGCCCCGGTCATAGCCGGCGGCCAAATATATGCAGTGCTCTGGCATATCGGGTACCCATTTTAATAGAGAGTGGCAAATGTGGATTAATATTATATCGCCAAATTAGGACGTAAGTGCTGGGCTGGGATTCAAACCTCAAATCCTTGGATTGAAGGTTATGTGAATGAACCACGTCACACCTCCAAAGGACATTAAGGACATTTCCTAGCCTAAATGTTGCATAGGTAGTCAATATTAGTTATATCATAGTTGGTCATATTAAGAGATTTTTCTCTGTTTCTTAATTAAATCAATGTACAATTGATGCATGTCCTATAGGAAGTATTTATAAGAATAACCCTTTTAAAGATTATTTCAAACTAAAATTGTATCTGCTATGTGCTAATAATCTACTTTTAAAAAGGAAAGTTTATACCCACCAATTCGATCAGAACACGGACAATATCGACATGATTGTTAATAGCTGCAACATGAAGAGGTGTAAAGCGATCATTCTTCTCAATGGTAGCGAGAGACGGGTCCTTAGCAACCAATAACTTCACCACCCTAGCAATAAAAGGAGTATGATTTATTTATTTAACAGAGTCATGACGTTCAAATTTTACAGGAAGCGCCATGAGCTGTCTAAGAGAAAACTGTGGAAAGGAAAGAAAAAAACAATCATAGAAGATCTCACAAAAAAAAAAAAAACTGCTGCAAGATTGAAGGAGTCGCAGGTTGTTTTCACAGCTTGGAGCTTGGATGGTTGCATCATTGCACTGCTGAAAGGATAAAAACATGAAACAAAACTGATAATAAATAATCAAAACACTGCAAAATCTGAAAAAAGATTAAACTCATCCGCTTAAACTTGTTATCAAATCTTTTTTTTTAAATTTGAATACTTAACTTTTACACCTGTTTTACTTCTCTTGTCGGTACCGGAATATATATGTGTATGCCATATAATCATGAATGTATCTTTGTAATTGTGTTGTCTTTGATTTTGTTTTTGTGTTTAGACGTATGTAACATTTATTGGAAGGAGTGATACTATATATATGCAAAGGAAGGAGACATTACTTGTGAATACTTATTTGTTGATTTTGATTTGTTGATAAATGAAACCAAATTCAAATATCAACACTTTTGTAACATTTTATTCAGAAATTCTACATAAGTAGTGAAAGAAGAAATATATTTATAACTGGTGATTTTAATATAGATTTGTTGAAATGCTCATCTGATTTGTGGAATGTCAACTCCTATTTTGGTCTCATTTCTGTTATAAAAAAACCCCACTCATATACTTCACAAACTGCTTTTTTGATATACAATATATATGAATGTAAATGGAATGGATTTTAATTGTGGCAGTTTTTCCAATGACATTCCTTATCCAATATTTCTGCTTTCTAAAATTAAAATTATGAATACATGTATAAATTCCAACAACTAAGATAGACCTCATATTCCTAAATTAACTGAATATAGTCTGCATTCATTACAATACGATTTACATAATACTGATTGGTCTTCATTATATGGCTTGCGGAATGTGGATGTTGCATATGCTACGTTTCTGAATAAATTAATATGTTTATGTGATAAAAATAAAACAATAAAGAGTAAAATTTGTAAGCCATGGATTTCTGTAACACTAATGTGTCACATTAGGAAGAAAAAAAGATTATCCAAAAAGTTTTACATGATACAAAACGCTTCTAATGAATTACGATAGAAGCAATGTAGGAATAAAATAAACAATTTTACTATACGTCATACAAAAAGGTCTTATTTCTGTGAAAAATTGAAGCAAAGTAAAAAGGCTGCCGTAGTCACTACGGTCTCACTGACAAAGTTCTTCTGTGGTTTACATGATGTATACTATGACATGCATGGAATACCACAAGGATCAGTAATGGGCCCTCTCATCTAAACCTTATATAGCGCCCCTATGTATGATGTCATTGCAGCTCATGGTGTGCAGGCCATAATGTACGCTGATGATACATGTACATCTTGTTTGAGTCACATCTTCAAGATCTAATCTTCGACTTAATGCTTGCATATTGGACGTAAGACGCTGGGCAACAAAGAACATGCTCAAAATCAATGATTCAAAGACGGAAGTGATGCATTTCTCCTTAAAGTTGGTGAAGCAGTGATTAATTGCCCCCGTAGAGAATGCAAAGAATGTGTAATTGTGGACATACAACAATGAATGATCAAATGAAGAACGTCTGCAGATCTGCCACAGCTGCATTACAAACTATAGGAAAGATCAGAAGATACCTGACCAAATCGGCTACACAAATGCTGATACAGTCCTTTGTCATGAGCAGACTGGATAGTCCACTGTATGGTCTCCCAAAGAATAAGATTTGCAAGCCAACAAAATGCCGCAGCTAGAATAATCTCAAAAGCTTCACGCAGACAGGGTACATCACACCTTCTTCATGATCTATACTGGCTCCCAATCATAAAGAGAATAATCTTCAAATTCTGCTCATCGCTTTCAGCCTTGAACGACATGAGTCCTGCCTACAACTCAGATATGATTTCACCTTATGTTCATGCACGCACACTCAGATCATCAGCCCAGCACCTCCTGCAATTAAGCTAGTTCCTCATCTGTATTAACTTTGCTCGTAATGAATTAATACTCTTAGCTACATGTCTTTAGTTTAAGGTTTATATATTTCGTTCTTGTAACTATTTTAATATACTTTTACATGCTTATTTTTACTTTGTAAAGTGCATAGAGAAACTCCTGTTTATTATGCGCTCAATAAATCTATCTTTATTATTATTATTATTTTTACTTGGTCTGTTTTATAAATACATTACTTTGTAAATCTGAACATAAACTGCCTGATTATTCTATTCATGAAGGTAAAAAGATTGATGTCAAAGATATTGCTTATAGACTTAATTCATATCTCAGTAACTCTTGATCAGATATAGTTTCAGTGCCTCAAACAGATGCAGGTAATAATTTTAATAAATTCTTGACTAATTCTTTTCTCTAATTCATTGTTCTCATTCATTGTTCAACCCTATCACAGAAAATGAAGCTATAACAGTCTGTCAGTCATTGCATAGAAGTAGTTCATATGGATTTGACATTCTAAATATAATTCTAATTGATAACATTATTTTTCAGATTGTTGAGCCAATTACTTGCATTTTAAGGAAAAACAGTTGATCATTATTACATTAAATATAAAATAAAATTGACCCAGATAAACTTAGAATTGCAAGATTGTTCCCGTCGTTAAAAAGGATGATTCTCATTTATTGAAAAAGTATTGACCAATCAATATTTCCATGTCTTTGTTAGAAAGCAAGAAATTGATCTCTTTTTGTACTACTTTTTATGGAAAAAAGACGGAAAAGAAATATTATCAAAGTATAGCTGGTATATAGGATCAAAGCATCCATAAAGGTAAACAAAAATAATATATACCATCTGCATATACCAGTAGCTGACATAAAAGTAGATAGGCATAGACATGTACAGTATATAAAGGTAAGCTTTAACAAACAAACAAAATAAAGGGAAAAACAAAGAAAGAAAGAAGCACAGAAGGATAAAAAAAAGGTGAAATAACTTAAATAAAAGTAAGGTTCCTTTCTAAAAATAAATTGTGGGAATCCCTTACTCAAGACAGTTCTTTTTGGCAGCATAATGAAGAGGAGTAAAGCCACCATTGTTTCTTAGTCTCAGATCAGCAGATTGATGGTCAATTAAGAGCGCCACCAGGGATGTTGACTTTGTTTTGATTGCCATGTGAATAGGGAGATTACCATCATCGTCCTGAGTAAAAAAAAAGTTGCATATAAATGTGAAAAAAAAATTGTTTTAAATAAGTTAGCAAAGTACAGTGTAACACTTCTCATAATCAAACTAAACATTCCGAAAATGTTCTGAACAAAAGAGTCATAAGCTGCTAGTTGATGATAATAAAAATGGAAATGAGATCAAGAGCATGATCAGCAGGATGTGAAGAAAATAGTTTTTAAGAACTAAGAACAACAAAATAAACAACTCATAAGTTTCAAAACATTCCAATTCTTTTTTTCTTCTTGTATTGCTTGACACCTTCAATGCCATACACATATCTGCCCAAATGTTGATGTCATATTTTATATGAAATCAAAATGTTTGTATTTTTGGATGAAGGAAAGCTTGTCTATCTTTTTACATTTCTAAATGTGTTCATGAATTGTGACATCACAAAAAAATGCTCTGTGATAAAAAAGTTGTCTCATCAAATTATAGAGTAGAGAAAAAGGAAAGAGAGAAGGTACTACTATACCTGCGTATTGACACTGCCGCCATGTTTGATAAGAACCTCAACACATGATTTATTATCATTGTGTGCACTGATATGCATAGGAGTCCGTCTACATTTGTTGGATGTATTGACGTAGGCCTTCCGTTCAATCAAAAACTCCGCAACTGATGGATTGTTACTGAAGGAAAAGAGTGAGATATAAAAAATAAAATGATCTATCATGCTATTACTAACACACTAGTATGCCGTTATAGCAGAGCTAATCCTACCAATATCAATTATACTTCTAGGAGCGGCTGAAAGGATTATCATCCCGCCCTTCAGCCTAACATATCATACTTGTCCCATCAACACCATCACCATCATCATGGAAACTCACCCGATGACCGCGAAGGTGAGAGCTGTGTCCCCGACTTTATCTTTATGTTCCAGGGAGGCATGAGCATCTACCAAGAGTTGTACAATTGGTAAGGATGCCTCATGGCATGCTACTTGAAGAGCCGATTGTGAGCCAAAGCTGGCATTCGCCTATTGCAAAAGTGACATAAATATTTGACAGAGGAATGGGTCAATAATTCTATGGTACACTCCGGTAACATTTGCTCCAGGCTTAATTTTGTATAAGAAATATGGTTAGGGTTAAAGTCACATTTGGGTTTCAAGTAAGATTATAGAGAAGTATATTAGACCAGGGAGGAAGTTGGGTTGGTGTATGATTTGACCAAAGAGCGCTTGTTGCCAGCGAATGTGCCATAAATCCCTGTGAGCAGTTCAAAGAAGATTTCATCAGAGTAACAATTTTTTTTTTCTTCTCTACTATAGGTCTTTATACTGTCATCCTGTTATACATAATTATCCAAATTAAATAATTCATTGATAGATTAGCCTTTTTACCAGTTTAGGATTCTGCCTGAGAAAGTCCTTGACCTTCTCCAGATTTCCAGCTGCAACAGCACTGAGAATCTGTATTTCTTCTGATTCTCCGGCATCCTTTAGCTTCTCAGCTAGCTTTATCAAGCGATGCATAACATCCTTGCTGGCTAGACCAGCAGGTTCAGGAATTGGCACTGGTTTGGATCCGACCTGCGGAGCTGGAAGGGGCGATTATTCATGTGTTTATTCATGTGATTATTGATTGATTGACTTGTTTCTGATCACTCAATGGCAATAATTCATACAAACAACCCCTGAACGTCATGGTCCCCATCTTAAAAAGATTTAATCAATCACAACTCAAGTGGAGTTTAATATCATTTGAAACTTTGAATATAAGTATAAGACTTGATTCAGATCAATCTCAATTCTTGATAAGACATAATATTTAGGTATCTAGCCCCTCCCCCTCTCTTTTAGTGAATCCTGAATAAGCCCTTGCCGGTAGTACAGTTGCATGATCATAACGAACATCTCCAAACTCCAACAACAACTGTATCTGCTCTGGCTGTCAATAGCTGGAGGAAAATATTCTTTAAAATTTGCAAAATCAACAATAAAAAGAACTTGTTATTACCATTTGTGATGATGTTTTCATATTCTTCATTACTTTTCTTCTCTTCATCATCATGCCTCTTCTCCCCATCTTTCTCCTCCTCCTCCTTCTTATCCTCCACCTTCTCCTCATCCTCTTCATCTTCTTCTTCATCGTCTCCATCTCGTTTCGGAAGCAGTATCAGGGCAGCAGGATGGTACTTTAGAGTTTGACCTTTGACCTTTACTTTCACACTGCCATGGCCGTCTGTAGTCTCCAGGACACTACCTTCCTGCCCTGCCTTTTTGCTCTGCAAACAAAAACAAGACTAAACATCTAGATATAGTCAAACCATTCAGGCCACCAAAGAGAAACAGAGAAAATGGCCACTGTACTGACCTTCCTATACAGGTTTTACCACATACATTTATTCCTTCAGCGAGAAAAATACATGGCCTCTATAGACATACAGGTGGCCTTTATAGAGGCATGGCCACTACTGGTTTTACTATATTTGATTTCTATACAAAGATAGTGAAACCTCCACTTGTATAGATAGACCACGTACCTGTTTATGAATACCATTTTGTTACACTTGTACCAAAAAATGCAATTGAAACATGTACTAAAACAATCTGTCCTTAAAGAGCATCTGAATACCAAATAAACTTTTCTTATCTCCCTTGAGTGGTCTTTATATACAGGTTTCATTGAATATTGCCCCTCCATGCTTCATTAAGCAATGATGAAGTACCGGTAACCCAACACAAAAAAACTTGTGACAAAACTTGTGCATTAACGAACAGCAAAAAGGGACAATATATTTTGGAAACAAAGAGATGATTGGTACTACAAAAATCAAAGAATAGCAACAAATGTAGCTTTCATACGTCTGTATTCATTGCTATTTTGGAAATTAAAAATACTTTCTGTGTAATACACTCATCAGTTGGTAATACAAGATACAGAAAGGGAACACACGGCACATACCAACATTAAATTTTCCACAGCATATTTTTACGTTCACATAAAATTTGATAGACTCTCTTTTCCTCATTTCTTCCCACAATTTTATATTCTTTAAAAAATCTATCCTTTTTATATATATATTTAAAAGTACTTATAATCGTGCCATCACATCTTGCTTTAATGAAACTTAAAGCAATACAGAACTTTTACTTACCAATTCAATGGCATCATTTCTCTCCTCGTTTTTGCGATGTAAATCTTTGACCATGTCAATGTTTGCACTGATTCGGACTCGATCTCTGGCTTTATAATCCACCACCTATTACCACAACATACACACATGTAGCAGTCATAATATTGTTAAAAATAACTTTCTTGACTTTCATACTGCTTTCATTCTTTAAGCTCAAAACTTTTTTCAAAATACTCTGAGAATTTTGAGATTTAACCCCAAAGCTGTTCTTTGACTTCTAATTTACAAACATTGAAATATCTCATTATCAAAATTCCTAAATGGTCATGAAAATTATCAACAGCTTCTAAATTAATATACATGTGGTTGAAGCTTTTAAGGCATTGGTCGACTACTGATTAAATGCTGGACTACTACAGTCTAATTCTATTACACTTACAATGGATATGTAACATATCCTACACAAAATGTGACAGTCTCGGCTTTTCATCTATAGCTGCTAAAGAGCTAAAGACCAGCTTTTTTGGTACAAATATCTACCGTAGAACTGTATGCATGAACTTAATTTCCTTGTATTTTTTTAAATATCTGATTTGTCACCTTTTTCAGGGCAAAAGGCGGCATTGTCCATTTGGTCTTGTCATCGTACATCACTTGAACCCAACCCCTGTGGTCGACGGCCTCTACGCTACCAGATCTTCCAATTTTCTGAGATTGGAAAACAATCAAGGGGAACAAATTTAGAAGAAATCAAACAGCATTAGTATTCTACAACAAGAATCTTGAAAATACAGCTGTCATAAATGATTGTGGCTACTTTAGATTTAGACAACCATTTGCAAAATACATAAGCAGGCAATACCAAGCCCCACCTGATAATGCAGAATTTTCTCCTTACTATCTTGCACTTATTATGCTGCTTGGATGAACTACCATATACCCAGAAAGAACTTGGAAGACAAGATTTATTTATATTCTGTTATGTATGACGTCTGAAATTAAGACTATTCATGTCTTGACTTGTCATTTTATGTATACGCATTGCCCAATGTACCGCGCGCAGTTTCCATCGATGCCTTCATCGAATAAAGTCCATGCTACCACCATGTAGTTTTAAAGTTACGAATACGGCTTTATTTGTCATCTTTATTTGGCTGAACATCAACCTTGAACATTGACAGAACATAATATTGGCGACGAGGTCGAGATGATTAGTTTGGTTTGCCGCAGTTTGCTGAAATAAAGACTTGAAAAAAGTTTCTCCAGCAGAGACCCGACATGGTTTGGAATTATGCCTGTACACGTGCAGTTTTTTATGAACGCTTTGCCGTACAGCACGTACAGCTATGGAGAATAGTGCATCAGCATGTATTCAGCAAATGAACCGAACTAATGGAGCTGAGTTTGCCTAATTTGGATGAAAAACTCTTTAGCCAGGAGATCCAGCCGTTGATCGTAGGTGAGCGAGTATTTGTTTTTGCTGATGTTGCCTCATCAGTTTAACTTTATTAGCCGCAGTTGGATGAATGGTGAATGGATGCCCCCAGCCTAACTTTCAACTTGACGATCAACCAGTGGCAGTGCTGCAGTAGTACTACAGTAGGCCATGCAACTCAGTGGCAGTAGCCAAGCCCATGAAAGCTCCAACCAAGTTCAAGGCCCAGCCCATGGTCAGCCAGCCAGCCCGCCAGCCAGCCAGCCCAGCCCGCCAGCCAGCCCAGCCAGCCCAGCCCGCCAGCCAGCCCAGCCAGCCCAGCCAGCCCAGCCCAGCCCAGCCAGCCCCGCCCAGCCAGCCAGCCAAGCCAGCCAGCCAGCCCAGCCCAGCCAGCCCAGCCCTGCCCAGCCAGCCAGCAAGCCAATTCAGCCCAGCCCATGGCCAGCCAGCCAGCCCGCCAGCCAGCCCAGCCCAGCCAGCCCAGCCCAGCCAGCCCCGCCCAGCCAGCCCCGCCCGGCATACATTGTTTTAGAATCCAGGTTCCTGTATCTAGATCTACTGCAGCGTAGACTAGAGGAGGAAGTGTTTTGTTTTAGCCTTAAAATTGAAATACAGGAAGTTGTTACTTCGTGATTGCCTTCAATTTAGGACCAGGATCCAGTTCAGTGACAGTGTCAGTTGACTCAGTTCATAGTTTCGGACTAGTAGCAACCCACCCAAGTGAAAGCCAGACCACTCATCATGAAGTGATGGTGATGTTGATGCAAGCAAATAAACATTTAGAACTCGTTTGATAATATTGTCGATTGTTATGATGAATCTGTTTTGTAACTGAGTGTAAGGACCAGTCCCAGACCAGGACTAGTACCATTACAAGTTGAAGTGTAATTCAAGTGTGAAGATGTGGATCTAAGTAGGTCTACAAGTTTAGAGTTAGACATTAGTCTCGGGTTTTTACAGTGTAAATAACAGTAGAACCTATTAACAATCAGACAATAATTACGTCTAGTCTTTGCAGTCTAGTCCAGGTCTAAGTCAAGAATTTTGTTCTTCAGTTGTAAATTGCTTGTCAAAGAAATGTGTATGTGTTAGATACATGTGTGGAAGTGGAAAGAGCCCAAATGTTGTTGTTGTTTGGTATTGGTATTTCAAGTCAAATATTTATGCAAGTATTTGTTATGGTATAAAGTTGTTCATTACAAGTTTAATGCGCCTTACATAAACATGGCAGCACAAATGTTTGGTAATGTCCCTCAGTTGGACTCAGGGTATAAATTTGAAGATTGGATTGAGGTTCTTGAGTCATGGTTTATAGCTAATGATATTACAGCAGATGCAAAGAAGAAGGGTATATTCTTATCAGGATTAGGAAGTAAATCCTATGCCACATTACGTGCATTGTTGCAGCCCAACAAACCAATTGATAAAACTTACCAAGTATGTAAGGATACCCTGTCTGAACATTTTGCCCCCCAACCAACTGAAATAGTCCAAAGGTATAAGTTTTATACTTGTGTTCAAGAATCACGTGAAACAATCCCGCAATTTGTTGCTCGTTTACGCCAGTTGAGTGAAGGATGCAAGTTTAAAGAATTGAATAGCATGCTTCGAGATCGCCTTGTAGTTGGTTGTAAGGACAAAGCTACACAAAGAAAGCTTCTTAGTGAATCAGAGCTTACATTTGATAAAGCGTTGAAAGTAGCCATGGCCATGGAGATAGCTAATAGAGATGTTGAACAATTGCACTCCAGTGACAATGGTAGTGAAGACAAAGAGGTTCACCAGTTAAGAACCACGCAGATGAAAGAAAGGTCTTCAAGCAAGTGGAATTCCAAGCTTACTGAGAAGGAAAAGCCCACAGGTCAGTGGACTGACCAGAAGTTAAGGTGTTGGCGTTGTGGATCGACAAGACATGTTCATCAATCCTGTCCGTTTCAGAAAGAGCAATGCTATCAATGCCAGGAAATTGGACATACTAAAAGCCAATGCAAAGCAGTAAAGAACTATTTTGCAAGATAATTATATTTATGCCAAGTGAAACTATTGTAGATCAAACTCTATTTGTTATGGGGTTAAACATTTTTAATCTTGTATTGCATAAGTCTGCAAAAGTGCAACAGGTATTGTTTATGTGTTACATAATTAAGGCAATGATCAAAAAGGAAAAATCATTTTTCTTTAGCGATGAAAGCTAATTTGGTGCATTCATCACAAGTGTTGATGTTTTAAAAGTAACAGTGTAAATTGTTCCACATTTTATCAAAAATACTACATGTATTTTCATGGAGAAAATGTCACTTAATTTGGTCTGTTCTTTATTATGCCAGGAGATAAGTTAGTTGATAAAGTTTGGATCCAATCAGTTTTGTATCAAAGTACAAGGAGTTTGTTTTATTTTCTTGCCATGTAAAGTTTTCATGCATAAAGTAATGCATAAAGTACTGCATAGAGTAATGCATCAAATAATGCATATGTTGACTATTTTCACGGAGGAAAAGTGTTGTTCCTTGGGTGTCAAACAACCTTCAAGTAAAACTTAGATCAGTAAAAATAGGTTGTTATAACAGTGAACATTTTGTGTTGTTGTATTTACATGCATACAAGCAATGTTGCTAGTTTATGTTATACATGGAATAGGATTTTTTTAATAGAATCAAGTTGTGTGAGTACATTCCTATCTTGCCAGTGTCACATCTCTATACAAACATTTTTTGAGAAAATAAGACCATATTGTTATATAGTTCTGCCCTAGTCTGCATGCCAGTTTGATACATGTATTTCATTTTGATGTACCCATGTAATTCACTAAAAGGGGGAGGAATGTTATGTATGACGTCTGAAATTAAGACTATTCATGTCTTGACTTGTCATTTTATGTATACGCATTGCCCAATGTACCGCGCGCAGTTTCCATCGATGCCTTCATCGAATAAAGTCCATGCTACCACCATGTAGTTTTAAAGTTACGAATACGGCTTTATTTGTCATCTTTATTTGGCTGAACATCAACCTTGAACATTGACAGAACATAATATATTCACAAAATAAATATGAAAGTAGTTCTCAAGACTATCACTTCAGTTTTCTGTTCCCTGTGCATTGCATTTCAGATGACAAAATGGATTGTGTTTAGAAGCCAGGCAAAACTGGTGAAGAGGACAATGTTAAAATACTGAGTAATAAACTCTGTTCCATGTCAGTAATATTGTGGTAGTTGTTTATACAGCGTAAATATGAAATGATTGATTAGAAACTTTACCTCTATAAGGCTGTTATCCCAATTCTCTCCCGTTTCCTCTTGAAAAATGTTGAGCATCTCTGTATCCATGGCAATCATCACCTTTCCTCCCTTCTTCCATGACTCTGTTTCTCCTTGGAATCAAAGAAGATCAGGAGAGACATCATTAAGATCATCACTATCATCATCATGATCATCATCATCATCAATAGCAATATCATCATCATCATTATCATCATCATCATCACTTTCATGATCATCACCATCATCACTATCAATACCAATGTCATCATCATCTTCATCAATAGCATTGTAAATATCATCAAAATCTGTATTATCATCATCATATCATCATCATCATCATCATCATCATCATCATTCTTATCATTTCAATCATCATCATAATCGTCATAAATATAATGATCAACACCATCATCTTCATCCCCAACGATATCATCATTATCATCATCATCATCATCATATCTTCACTGCCATCATCATCATTACAATCATTATCATTATTTAAAAACAGGATGGGTGGTACCAGCTGTCTTGTAAAAAAATGTCTCATACTGGCAATGCAGTATACCAGCCAAATCTAACTTATTTTTGTATTTTCTGATCAATCCCATCGATATTACACATTTATTCCATTAGATGATATAATGAATGAATATTTTGATAATTCTTTTTTAAATGAGATCAAAAGGGAAGTAAGAAAGTGTGTACCTATTAGTGGAAGATGATCTTCATAGTAGTCCAGTCCAGCCGCAGTCTTAACAGCTTTGAGCTCAACCTTCCCATCATGTCCCACACGATATTTGACCGAACCACCTTCCTTCCATTGGACGATGGCAGCACCCTTCTTGAAGCATTCTGACCAATCGCAGACATCAGTCACTGTGCCTACACTCTTTCGCCTACCTGATGAACGTTAATGGTTTATGATTAACCCCGTGAAAAAAATGGATTTGTATTTAGAAATTAAGCCTATTATACGATGGGCCTATATACGACATTTCAACATTACTTTGTTGAGAAGGGATCACTCCTGAGGCATGCAACCAATGACCTCATCCCATTAAACCTCATTTATCTACCTCACACACCACTTGCAATCTTTGTGATAGGCCGCATAGCCAGTTGAAGACTACTAGCAGGAGAATACTGAAGGAGAATGATATCAATTCAAAGTGCACACTACAATGCATTTCCTCATGTAACTTCCCACTACTAGTATATATTTCAAGCCTGTAGACAACATAGAGAGCTATATTACATACCGTCTTGATTGCCTGAAGTCCCCTCTGGTCTCCTACAGACTTTGGCACCAACAAATATACCATGAGAGGTCACACACTTGCTCTCTTGTCTTGCTTTGACCACAACCCTAGGGTACGTATCAAACAGAGGATTAAGATGACAAGGAACTTATCAATGGAAAACAAAAGTTTGAAAAACAATAACATAATGCTGGGTAAAAACAATTACCCCTGCATCATAGGTATCTTATCTTTAGAGCTGCCATATAGCTTTGTTTATGGGTTCGTAGTAATTTCTTTCAAATTGAGGAGGTGTGACGGCTCAGTCAGCAAAGTGTCTGCCTGTCGAACTAAAGATTGTGGGTGCAAATCTAACAAAGGATGACTAAAGCCTGCATTTTGTGTTAACGTGTTGCCGTTGCCTGGACGCAGGCTATGTTACAGTGGAAAACACATTCTGTCCCTCGCATAAGATGTTAAATGGAGCTAGGCGAGTCACCACCTTTGCATGTTAAGAAACCACTACACTCTACGTTTAAGAGTAGGGGGAAAGACCCAAGGGTTACAGTCATTCAATTTGCTTTGCACCTCTCATGCAGGCACAGGTGACGCCAACTAATAATAATAACAATAATCCAACTTCAGCAAATATAACTGCAATTTAATTGTGAAACAGGTGGTGGATTATATAATATTATAGTGCTAGAAACTTGATGGAACAGGCAAACTTTGAGTATGAAACATCAGCTTTTTTAGCCACAATACCTAAATGAGATTAAAAAGGAGTAGGAACTCACTATAAATTTGTTCTAATTATTCTAAGTAATCAATCAATAGGTGATTCCTTTTGAAAACCACTTTCCAAATATATTGTACAATACTGCATGGAACTATAGTAACAAAAAGCAACCTCCTACCCAGGATCTTGAGGTCCATCTATGCGTAGAAACTCATGCTCTGTATCGTGAGAGCCAGACATGTAGCACTCGGTGCAGAGGTTGCAATATCATCCGAAGCACATCCAATGCAACGATCAAACTTGTGGAGTACACCTACAAAAGAAAGTGATAAGAAATTGCCAGTATGAGTGGTGTAGCATGGTTAAGCCCCAGGGAGGGGGAGGGGGGGGGGGGGGTTGGTCACTCCCAACATGACACACCCGCCTCCAGAAAAAGCTTTGAACAGTGTCTTTTTCGGGTACATGGTGTCGTCAAGACAGATGCAGAAAGAGATCCCATCATCTTCCTTTCTTCTCCTTTCTTGATCCCTCTCTTTTTCTCTTTAATTTTGACAGATAACTAGAAGAGTACCCTACTATCACAACAAATTTACATCACTCTCTCTACGGCTGTCACTTTTTCTTCCCATATCGTCTCTAATATTTTTAGCAGTATTTTTCAAAAGTTGAATAGGAAGACTTATCCTTAATCCTGCCCAAAGCCTTCCTTACCCATGGGTGAATTATCATACATCCGGAGGTCATACATCTGCTCGAACCCAACCCGGTAGTTGGCTTTCTTGCCAACGTCCCACATGATCTTGACCGCCCTTGGTGCCTCATCACCGTTATCATTGTCAGGGTCGTTTGGGATGATGTCTGTGATGGTGCCAACATGGTTCTCTCCTCCGTCTTGATCACCCCATCTCCAATCTGGTCCCCGGATCACTCGTGTTCCAACGACTCGCGACATATTCTCCACCACAAATAGATCAGCCTTGGGTTAACGCTTCAAGGATATAAACGATGAAAGAAAAGTTGGAGTTGTTAAAAGAAAAATTAGGGGATCTAGGGTATATATGAAATATAAAAATTCATGACTTTGTTTGTGAATTATTTACTCAATCTAAGAATTCACAACTTGAAAAATTATTCTATGTTATATATACCCAACAGCTCAGTCCATAGAAAGGAGGGAAAGTCCTAATAGAAAAACACAGATCAAGCATAACCTCACCTATATTTCAGTCATAGCTAGGCCTTGACCTTAATAATCGAAGGAAGTGCACAACTCATGGTATGACATGTATAAACTTAACTGCTAAAGATATTGATTGCTTTATACTCTAAAGTCTCTAGACAACAAACTTTGTTTCCTATTCTGGAAGTTCTGGTATAATCTTAATTTTCCTGACGATAGTAGCCGAGATCTAACAATCTAAGAGTAGATTAGTTTGTTATTGAATTTGATATTGGTTGTTTTACAATTGAACAATGAATGAGTTCTATGCTCTTACCCTCGCCTCGGATTGAACCTGCCAACAAAGTACTATAAAGCTAGGACTGGCGGCCGCGGCCGCGGGTCCGGGCAGCCACTCGATGTCAGCCGTGAGCGCTGCATTGAGCGTAAGAGTAGTGAACTGCGTACTATACCAATAGGCTACCAGTTACGCCTTACGGACAAGATTGGAAAAAGATTGGTATCAAATATCACCAAATGATACATACTAAAATGGGCTCAGAGCCAAAAAGGATGGATGAAACGTATTACTCTCCAGTCCAGAGAGCTCGAGAGTTCACTCTCACATGCATTGCTGTGTGTTCCTAGAAATTATGTACCGTCCGCATATTATGTCCGAGTGAAAAATGCGGGAATTCCCCCAATTTACCATAACGTAGATTCTTGGTAACGGAAATGGAATTCTAGAAATCCCTGACCAGGGAGAGGGTCAGTGGCACAGACCTGAATATTCTCTAGTAATACAACAAATAGGGGTATATGAATTTTATTGGTGGTGGTGATTGTGTACGCGTGGTTGTGGTTGATGTGTTTGTTGTGGCTGCATGCATCTAATTCTTGTTGTTCATGTCAGTGTTTTTTGGAATTGCTGTTGTTGTTGCTGTACTTGTTTTTGTCGTTATACATATTGTTCTTGTTATTGTTCTTGTGTTTGTAACCGTTGTTTTCACCGTAGTTGTTGCTCCTATATTGCTGTTGTAGTGTTGCTGCTTCTGATGAAGCCTCAGGGGCAGCTTTTTGCCAATGGGGGGGGGGGGGGTGATCCAGTGTTTTACTCTTTTTTTCCTTCTTTTTTTCTTCCCCCCTTTTTTTTCTTTACTTGGCCGCCCAAGGGGGGGGGGGTTGAACCGCCGAACCCCTCCCCTAGATCCGCCCCTGAGCCTATATACTCATGGATCTCCCGGCATCTCTCTCTCTCTCTCTCTCTCTCCTCCTCCTCCTCCTCCTCCTCCTCCTCCTCCTCCTCCTCCTCCTCCTCTCTCCTTTGCTTAATTGTTTCTTTTCAACTGCATTCTCTTCTCTTGCTTGCCCCCTCACTTCCATCGTCAAGCTCTATCTGTTTAATAAAAGACTACCTTTCGCAAAGTTTTTCTCACTTCATATTTATTTTCATAATTACACTTGGTCACTTAATCACGTTCACCATACAGTTTAAATGCTTGCAGGTATATAGGCTATATAAATATAAAGCGAAAATGGAACACATTTTGTTTTACTTCATCAAACATGTGCCATCGTTCATAATATAGATTGTCATGTCATAATTCAATTAAAAATATTATTTTAAAAACCCCAAAACAAACTAGACAAATTTCAAATTAAATTAAAGTAGTAACAAATATAGAAATAAAAATAAGCAAAAAGGATGAGTATCGAATTCAGTGCAGTAGAAAACCCACCATTTACATGGTATTGGGTTTAAGTCCGGTTGCTTCAGTCTCAAACGATATCCACTACACCACGGCTCACCCCGACAGAAAATATGATAGTTTTACTATTTATCACACACTCTCAAATATTGTACCATCATTATGCATGGTGCAATCATAATGCCGTATACAGGGGCGTACGCAGGATTTTTTCAAGGGGGGGGGGGGGTTAAATATTTTGCTCCCGAAAATTTGAAAATCGCGCCGGCCGAAAAGTCGCCCAGTGGGGGGGGGGGGGGGGGGTGTAAGCGAACACTTTTTTTTTTCAGTGGGGGGGGGGGGGGGGTAAGCGGACACTTTTTTTTTTTTTTGGTCTCGAAATTTCAAAATTTGACATTTTTCATCGTTGGGGGGGGGGGGGGTAAGGTCACCTTATTTAGGTTAGCCGTGGGTATAATTTTTTTTTTTTTTTTTTTTTTTTTATAATAAAAAACAAACAAACAAACAAACAAAAACAAAGGGGGGGGGGTTTTAGGTTTTTTTAGGGGGTTTACATACATAAAAATACCAAAGGGGAGGGTTTGAACCCCCCCCCCCCCCTGCGTACGCCCCTGGCCGTATATTGCCAGAGAGCTACGAGGGCGGCTCACAATTTAGAATAAGTTTGCTTCATTTATAAATTGTCCATTGGAATGCGGAGAGATGTGAGATTAACCATGATCCCTACGTCTCCCTCTCCCCCTCTTCTCTCTTTCTCTCTCTCCCCCTCTCTCTCTCTCTCTCTCTCTCTCTTTCTCTATCTCTCTTTATTTTTCTTCATTCTATCTATGCCTTTTTTTATACATTTTATTGAATAATTATCTCTCTATCTATCTCTCCTCCCCTCTCCCCTCTCTCTCTCCCTATCTCTCCCTCGCCTCTCCCCCCCTCTCTCTCTCTCTCTCTCTCTCTCCCAATCTCTCCCTCCCCCTCTCTCTCCCTGTCTCCCTCTCTTCCTCTCCCTTTCTCTCTCTTTCTCCCTCTGTCTCTGTCTTTCTCTCCATGTCTCTCTATCACTCACTCTATATTTCCCTCTGTGTTATACTTTATTTTATCTCACCCTTTCTTAATCAAAATCTTGAATAAATCTCCTTTCCCAAAATTGATATAAAACTTGTAGGCCTACGCAGAGTTTGAAATTGATCCTCATTTCATTCGTCCTCAAAACATCTCAAGTACAAAACACAGTATACAAAATAACTACAATAGAATACAATAGCAACAATAATGATTGTGGAGACAGCTAGCAAGGTCAAAAGCTTCATTGGTGCTGACATCGAAACAAAAATACAGTATCATAGTGTTGTTTAAAAAGGTGATTGAATGAAACTATTGCCTAAATAGAGAGAGAGAGAGGGGGGGGGGGGGAGAACAAAACTTCTTTGATTAACTGGAATTATAACTTCGTGTAATGATCGAATCGTTCTCCCAATTTCTCTAAAACAAATAAATAAATATCATAATAGACGATTAAAAGTGCTCTTATCTAGTTCATTCTGAAACATCATCATCATTATGTATGATTGATACTTTTCAAATTAAAACAAAATTTAAAAAAGCAAAAAGGATAAGTATCGAATTCAGTGCAGTGGAAAACCCACCATTTTCATGGTATTGGGTTTAAGTCCGGTTGCTTCAGTCTCAAACGATATCCACTACACCACGGCTCACCCCGACAGAAAACATAATAGTTTTACTATTTATCACACACTCTCAAATATTGCACCATCAATTTGGTGCAATCGCAATACTGTATATTGCCAGAGAGGGCGGCTCACAATTTAGAATAAGTTTGCTTTATTTATAAATTGTCCATTGGACCCCATGATCCCTACGTCTCCCCCTTCCCCCTCTTCTCTCTCTCTCTCTTTTGTCTCTCTCTCTCTTTCTCTCTCTTTCCTACTCCTCACTCTCTCTCTCTTTCCTACTTCTCTCTCTCTCTCTCTCTCTCTCTCTCGCTCTCTCTCTCTCTCTCTCTTTCTTTCTCCTTCACCTTCCTAGAACGAGAACACGCTTTGCTCAAAATACCTTAATATACATTATACATGTCTCAAGTTCTAGAATTCTCTCGATTATGTGATTTAAAGGTCTGTAAGTATTCATGTATTAAAAAAATTGAAATGGGTATTATTTGAATACATATTGTCATTCCTGATTCCTGACTATTTTTGTCTCCAAGCTGTATACTTTTGTTGATTACAATGAGTAAATAACGGTATGGCCATGCCAACTATGTACATATTATACTCATATCGAGAACAAACTACATTGTTCTTTTGTTTCAATAAGCTGCAGATAATATTCCCTTCCCTTCCCTTTCCATTGTCTTTTCTAGTTAATTGTGAGTTCATGTATCCCTGTAATCTCCCTTTTCCTGTATTAGCGTGTATTTGTATTTTATAAACCTAACTCATAGTTAAATATGTCGTTTAAGGAGCCTATCCACAATACGCCTTGCTTTTCCATATGCTCTGCCACTATATCTCTTAAGTTCAACTCAAGGACAATATTCTGAAAAGTGTGTACCGGTATTGTTATATTGTATTCATTTTCATTATGTTGTTGCACTTTTTGTCAAATGAGATAATTGTGGAAACCAATATTTGTGCAACATTCAGAATTCGATGAATGGAAATAATAAAAATAATAACAACAACAATCAGCTATTCTAGAGGGAATTTCCCCCCACTTGCCCCCCCAAAAAACAAATCTTCAGGCTCCCCCACTCCCTCCGCTACCCCCCTCTAAAAAAATAAAATTGCAAGGCACATGTAGAAAATGAACGCATGTACGCAGCTAGCTAGAACCGCTCCAAACAATGACCGAAAATAGAGACAAACGAAACCAGACGAAAAGGAAAGAGAATTCTTTAAACCGGATACATAAAAAAGAAGAAAAAAATACGTAGGAGAGAAATGTGAATTGTAAAGGCATGGAGATATCTCTCTTATATCTCCATGGTAATTAAGGCCGGATATCGAAGTTGTTTTGATGAAAATTCATAAATCCTCTCTTTTGAAAAGAAATTGATGGTCTTCTTCTCAGTCTCTATTAGACCTGGCAGGCTGGTTGACAGACATTTAATAAAATGATTTAGAGTCTATAAATACAATGAATCTTTCATATATTTATATGTTATATTATCTCTTCATCACCATTGCCCAAACCTCATTTTCGGAGTGATAGTCAATGTACAGAAATAAAAATTAGTCTGAAAACGTAGACAACGATTGGAAATTTCGGGGATTTCCCCGCCGCACGTAACGTGAATCATCAAGGACATTAGTAGCCATACCGTTTTCATGCACATAACGTACCGTACGTGTGTATAGCGCGTGAGAGAGAGAGAGCTCGAGCTAGAGGAGTCTATTTCGTTTGAATCAAAAACTAAAACAGAAAGCAAAATGTCCGTATTTGATATTTTTTCTGGCATTGGGTCGCTTGCCAATATTGCTGTAAGGATCTATGGGGCTGTGAAGGAGGTAAAAAGTTTCAAATCGCAGAGTAAAACCATTGCGAACAGAGTTGAATTTATCCTACTGCCCGTGAGAGCGCTACAGAAGGAAGTAGACGCCAAGCATGTTGTTCTTCCAGATCTGGAGCGGGAGCGCGCCGGTTCCGGCCCCGATGGCGATGGCTATGACTACCAGGACCAGGAAGGTCCGATGATGTATATCAGGTATGCTTTTTGACTAAATTTTGTAGACATTTAGACAATTAACTTTGTGGTTTGTATTTACCACAAAAGGACAATATGTCACATCCTTAAATAAAGGCAGAAGGTAGAGCGAATTTTCCGTCTCTTTCGAGTTTTGTTCGTTAAGCCTCTTTTTGGGTAGATTCGGTTCTCTCTAAAGAGAGAGCCGACCCTACCCAAATTAGAAGCTTAACAAACGAAAGAGACAGAAAATTTGGTCTAGGCAGAAGCATGAGCTTTGACTTGTCTATTTTATGTTTATATGCCCCTGAATTAAGTCTACATGCGTACAGCGCTACATCATACATGTAGTTTGTACATCATGTAGTATTATAAAATTATGACGTGGATCTTAATCAAATGATTGGTTGAAAGCGTACACGTGACCAGGCATTTGTTTTGCCTAATGCAAAATTTGGATAACTACCTATATACCGGTCATTATCCTATGGTAATTACCGGTCATTGGTGATCATGTTTTGCGATCGTAACCATTGAGATTTCATCGTTTCACTTTTATTCGCGAAAATGGCTGCCGCGGAATTGAAAACGCCTACGTTTAAAATGCTTTCGACTGAAGAAATGAGGGTGAATGAGGATCCATGTTATAATTTTATAAAACAAATAATACACAGCATTTTGTTCGGGCATTAGTAAAATTACCCACACTCGGTACCTTGTGTGGGTAATTCTTACTAATGCCCTCACTGCAGTGCATTATTTGTATACCATTAGGCCTACATTAAATGCAGTTTATATATTATAACTGTCATTACTGTCGTGGGTGGGGGTTGGACCTTGCTAGGGACCGGTAGTATCAATGATGAGACAGGACAGCAGATATAAGGGCATTGAAGTTTATTCTGTGTCGTAAACAAAAAACCCTGTAAAGATACAGAAAAAGCCAGTGATAAATCACTTGTACCACATTACAGATTCAAATAGTTCAATGTCATCGTTCACATACATATTCAATATGCATGTATTGTATAAAAACCAAACAGACTTCTATAGTCATCGAATAATCATATATTGTTACAAACAATATATGTGTATCTCGTACTTTAGTTTCAATTCAATTCAATTCAATTCAATTCAATTCAATTCAATTCAATTTATTATTTCATAAAAAATCACATATAATATATATACATTGAGAATTGTGCTGGATCATTTACATCCGATAAAGCCGATGGCTTGAGAGAAGTGGGTGGACCCATAGAGAGTTAGAGATTCCTCATAATCAAATAATATTTATCTAAATATTCAAAGCATCTTAATCATCAAAACATCTTAATCATCAAAGCATCGTAATCATCAACCAGATATAAGACAATAAAATTACACTTAACTCCATGAAGTGAATTATCTTATCAAACCCTCGATAAAGAATCAATTCATTTCCTTGATAAATCATCCTGCATAATATTATTTGAAAACATTTACAAAACATGGTAAAACATTGATCAAATAGCTCACTGATTAAGCATTGCATGATAAACATCAAAAGTTGCCTACCCAAGGTCAAACAAATGTCAAGCAACAAGCTGCAACAACCAGACTGCAAACTCCACAGTCACTCACTACCCGTCATATCACTGCTACGAGCAGAAATGCAGTCATCACCTACATGTAGGCCTGGACCAGCTGTAGTCCCATATCTCCCAGCTGTAAATGAAAAGTCAATACACCCGTAACCATAGAAACCTACATTGAAAATACACTAAGTATTAAATGTATACAATGTAACATGTTATCTACGGAAAAACTCTATCAAGATTCAATATCTATGATTATATTACAAAAACACACTCTCATACCATAAGTCGGTATCTACGATTCATGGGCGCTGCCATCTTTGTATACAAAATGCTGCCCTCTACGTTCACAACTACCAAGAGCTTAGCCAAAACTAACTGAGTTGATAATTCTTTTCAACTACTAAAAACAAGCAAGTTTCTGCACTTGTTATTATTAAACATGAAATAATTAACAAAGCAAATACAACAGTGATTTCGCTGTCTATTCTCAATCTCAACAAATATCATTTGCAATTTCACTGATAGCTTTGAACTTGTTACATCGACAGACGTTTCAAAAACGTTTACACACAACATAAGAATTGTGGCAAAAAGTCATCCATACACTCCAAATAACAGAATGCAAAATACTATACAAACTCTGTTCCGAATCCTCAGTAACTTCTTAATGTCTCAATTAAGATTAAAATGCATTTACAAGTATAAATTCACATACCCGAAGGATCTCCAAAACCAGAGTCTTGCCCGACCTGGAACACGTCCGTGCATGTGGATGCTCAATTGGTGTCTGAGCTAACCACACCCAAGATAGAACTACTCGCCCATGCCGCGTACGTACGTACGTACGTTAACATACGGACTAATTCATGCATACAATAAAAAAGGAATGTCACTGCCACTTGGCCTAATGTCATTACGCAATCTAGCGTATGACGGAACTAAACACCTGACTCAGCTATGCAGGTCACATCGTACTATGGAAAAGGAATTTTCCAATTGAAAAAACATCAGATCTAACCTCGATCCTTAACACTTAATTGAAAGCAGAATATAAATTTGCCTTAAACTTAAACATCATAAAATAAAGACTTCCACAAATTTCTAACTTCCGTCATTACTGTCATTTTAATTATAGCATTTTTGCCATTACTGTATTAGTCTTTTTTTCTGTTTTGGGCGGAGTTTTTAGTTTGGTAGCCAAGTCTTCTAAAATTTGAAATTTACATTGGTCAAAATCAAATAGACCTCTATTAACTTTAAATTGTTCCCCCCCCCCCCCAAGCAAAAAAAAAAAAAAACACTTGAAGCCTAGGAAGAACTTGTGTCATGAGTTGTACCAATTAGATTATGGTGAGGCATGAATAGAAAGATGAAGAGAAGGAATCAAGGAGAAGAAGAAGAAGAGAAAAAGAAGACGATTTTTGTCCACATCCAGAAGAAGGATATGATTTAACAAAGTGCTCTACGTTAACATCTCTTGCTTTACTCATTTCCTCCCACCAATAAATTTCCTCAAAATCTTTTTATTCCATCACAGACCTCTGCTAAAGTTGAAAGATTGCATGGAGAGCGTTGAATCTTTTCTCATAAAGCTTGGAGATACGAAATGGGTGGACAAGTTTATGCACAAGAAGAAAATCCAAGCTAATTTTGATAATTACAATGACCAGCTAACCACCTTGCAAAGAAGCCTTGGTTTTTGTCTTCAGGTAGGTCTTTTTAACACTTTGGTTGCTTTCTTAGTTTCTTAAACTTTCTTTGCCTATCAGCATGGTTGCTAGTTTGCCACACATATGCACAAAACGACACAATGGCATTGAAAAAAGTAAGAAATTACCTTTTTGTAGCCATCATTATATTAGCTCCATGATAACTGTTTAATATTGGTCGGGTATGCTGAACGCAGTCCAGGGTCAGATCTAGCTTTTTTGCCGGGGGGGGGGGGGGGGGGGGGTTTCACCCAGTGGCGGATCCAAGATTTTTCAAAAATCGCGCCGTTTTACTCTTTTACTCTTTTAATCATTTTTATTTCCCCCCTTTTTTTTTCTTCACTTGGCCGCCCAAGGGGGGGGGGGGGTAAACTGCCGAAACCCCCTAGATCCGCCCATGCGCACAGTTTCATGTTGTGCTGTCAATGAAACAAGACAAATTATTTGAAAATAATGGGCAGTAGAGTCTATAAAATGGCAATGCATTGTAGAATTATATGTCACTATTCAATGTACAAAAAAAAAAAAAAATCGATTTATTTTGTTTTTTAAAATAAGATATCTTCAGTTTTTATTTGTTATTTTTGCCATTTTGTAATATGTCTTTCTGTCTGTCTATAGGTTGCATTCCCAAAGATTGTGTCTGAGGAAATGAAGAAACAGCTCAGAGACGCTTTTGATAAGGATACAATGGGGAAGCAGAACAAAGAAGATCTTGAGCTGGACTTGGAGAGTATAAAAGAGGACTTGGAGAAACTGAAGCAAGATGGAGACAATCAAAGTCAGGACATTCAAGATATCAAGGAGAGTCTTAATCTGATATGTAAGTACATTGTTCTTCTTCTTCCTTTTAGGAAAACACAAGGAAAACACATGTAATAATACATTAGGTTAATGGGGGTCCCTTCTCCAGCAAGTGGAATAAGTCTGAAAATGCTACGATGGAAAAAAAAATAACAAAAACTGGCATCAATTTTCTTTTGATGCCTTTTCATTAAAAATTCCCTGGCAAGCAAAAAAATAAAAAATAGAGAGATTTTTGCAATGCACATGTTCATTACATGTAGGTATCAGAAACATTATACTTATAGCTCTGATGGCAACAACTGGCTGCAAAATAGAGGAAGATTTTTACATTGTAGGTGTATGAGCGTCGAAATCGGCAGCCTAGCATAGCCGGGTAATGTTGGAGCGCCTTGAGGACCTTGCAAGGTCGATACGTGCGCTATATAAGAATCCAATATTATTATTATTATTATTATGTATGTTGCCTTTAAAGGCAAAGACTCTATGTTGCCTTTAAAGGCAAAGCCTGAATGATACTGAATTAATACATGTATTTGTTGTCTGCTAAATCTCTATCCGGACAACATCCGCCATTGTAACACAGAATTGAGAATCATGATTCTGTAGTTAGCGGGTTAATATTAGTCGAGCCTTCACTTTTAGGGGAACCCTAACCATTTTAACTCTATTAATAACTTTCATACATGCATGATTTGTATACTGCTTTTGATTTTAGATGGTGTGACCAAACTACTTAATTAATCACAAATAATGCTACTTGATTTCATGAATCTTTTTTTCAGATGAAACAGGAAAAAAGGAGTTTGAGCACCTTCACCAAGAAATACAATTCAAAGAACAACTGAGATCTACGGAGGAAAAGTATGCCAGTGGTAAGTATGATTGGGAGTTTTAGTTGTAAGCTAGAGCTAGTCACTGTTTTTAAAGGCTAAAGGTCATTGTCTAGTGGATGTGTCATCAAAGTGTGAATTACATGGCTCGCGGTCTAGGTCCTTTGGAATGACGTTTTATACAACGCCTACTAAGATTCTTGCAACCTCATTGGTCAATTTTTGGTCACATGACAAGCGCTAACAGTACTATTGAACGGCATCATTCTCCAGCCGTGCAATTCCGTTTGATCCTGTCGCACCATTGCACTCTGACGTCACTAACGCTGTACAAAGTATATGGTGAGGTAAGTGACGTTGCCGTGCAATGGTACCAATGGATCAAACGAAATTGCACTCCTCGTCAGTAGTGTGGAGCCCTGATGTATGTATGGAATTGTTTATGTTCTCCTCCTTATGATTCCAATTTTAGAATTACGAATGGATTATAGAGAGTTCACTGACCTGGAGACATTGCAGCAAGGAACTTATGGTCCTATTATCAAGACAAAGCACAGGTTTGAAGATAAGCTGCTGGTCAGGAAAGCGTTTGAAGACAAGTAAGCATAACTTATCATTTGCAAAACAAACAAACAAACAAACAAAATCATGGTTTAGGTGACGCTTGAAGGTATCAGACAACTTTGCCTCTGATTCTAAACAAACTCTTGGACTTTAATAGCTCATGCTCCCGGCCCCCCCACTCAGTGTTATTTAGGGTATGCATATGAGTGGGGGGGCCGGGAGCATGAGCTATTAAAGTCCAAGAGTTTGTTTAGAATCAGTTCCCTCCTTTTGAAAACACCCCCAAGTCCGGTGTGTAAAGTCAATACGGGCCGGAGTTTTGTGTACTACGAGCCAAACTTTGGTGCCCCTTTACCGGACATTTTGGTAACACGCATGGTATCCCTCCGTTCTGGAGTGGGGGGGGGGGGGGGGGGGGGGCTCATGCTGCAATCATGATTACAATCCTTTAGGTCAGAAATGAATCCCATGACTTTTACAAGCTAATCCCATGTTTGATTATTTTTGCCTCTTGATTTGGGGCACCATATACCTCATTTTCTGCTGTTGATGATAAGACCAACTTAATATGAGAGTTGACTTTTCCTTCAATTATATGTAGTTAGTATTCTCCTCCCCACTTTCATAGTTCATGTACGTTGTATCAACCAAAAAGTGAAATTATGATTGAGAAGTGCGGTATATGTCAAAAATACTAGTTGGGTTAGAAATTAAAATTATGTTAAATGAATATAGAGATTTCCTCTTTTTTTAGCCAACTGATACTCAGTTTCTTTCTGTGTTGTTCATACATAACTTAAAAGCCTTTATATACATGTATTAAGTTCACAATTTTATATTTTACAGGGAATTATCTTCCACGAGAGAGCTGAAAGAGCAGCTGAACCTTTGGAAGAATCTCCAATACTCTGCTTTCATTGTTCAGCTCTACGGATACACCATGGACTATGAAAGTAAGGAGGAGAATAAATACATATTTCACTACATATAATTGAAGGCAAAGTCCACTCTCATATTAAGTTGGTCTTATATCATCAACAGCAGCAAAGGAGATATATGGTGACCCAAATCAAGTGGCAATAACCTCTAATTTTCTGATTGAGGCCTGGATTGATGTGTTGTATTATAAGTAATTTGCTAATTTTTAGTATCTCAAAGATGATATTGTTTTTCCAAATTTCTGAATTCTTCAAACTCCAAGGTTCTGTTCATTTTTCTGCAACCCTCAGGAAATATACCTATTGCAGTCCTCTCAAACCCATAGATTCTATTAAAGTCTGTTCTTAATACCCTGTTCACACTGATATCACACAGAACAAACAAATACATAACCCTGATTCACTGTGGAGTCTGTTTGCCGTTTGTGTTTCTGTGACCCTCGTGAACTAGACCTATTACAGCCAAGCTTGACCACAATGATTCTACTAGAGTCTCTCAAGGCAGTGTATATACCTGTTCTGCTCTTCCACTGACTAGTTTCATCAACGAGTAAATCCATTCCCAGCTGAGATATGCAGTGTGACTCAAAAAAAAGTTTACACCTAGAAAAGTGTTAATTATTTTTAAAATCATCTATTAACAGTACATTATTATACATCTTATGAAAGAGTGTTTTATCCCAAATCATTTGGTATCATTTTTGTGTGGTATGTGTTCACGCTTGAATGAACAGGAGGCATTGTTTGCGAGATGCAAAAATTGAATTGCGCCAAAGTTGCTTATCTGATGTTTAAATAAAACAATTGGGATTTGGTATTAAATTGATTTTTGCAGATCCAAATAATATCCCCAACAAAATTAATCATGCCACACATATCAAATATCAAATATCAACGAAAATTTGTGCGTGTGTGACTTTGCTTCTGCAAAAAGCATTATGCAATGCATTTCATTTGATTCATTCAATTCATTCTCTCACTCCATTAATCCCAACATAATACATACTGAAGGCATCACTTTGGCGCAAGTCGATTTTTGCACTCTCGCAAACAATGTCACCTGTTCATCTAAGCGTGAACACATACACATGTACCACACAAAATAAAACCAAATGATTTGGGATAAAATGCTCTTTCATAAGATGTATAGTAATTTACTGTTCATAGATGATTTTTAAAATAATTAGCAATTTTCTAGGTGTAAACTTTTTTTTGACTCACACGGTATGCAATAATTCTGACTGTTAAGAACAGTCATTTCGTGAAAAATAAGCGTAAACCTCTGACTAATTGCAACAGAAAATATTTCAATTTTCCTTGTAAGCTGTTGCCTAGATATTTCTGTTGCAATTAACGGGAGGTAATTTCTGCATGATCTCTGTACTACTAGGTCTAGAACTCTTTCCTCTATTCTAGGTCGTATGTGCTTTGTGGTAGAGTACATGTCTCATGGTACCCTCCGAAGTGTTCTTCAAGACAAGGAGAATCATCCGTTGCCATGGGAACAACGGGTGACGCTTGCCAGGGATTGCGCTCAAGGCCTCTACACAATCCATTTTTGCCAAAAAAAGACGATGCTACACCGGGCAATCACTTCCACAAGATTCCTAGTAGATGAACGCTACAGAGCTAAGGTTTGTACAAAAGTATTGACGGCTGCCTGCAAAAAGTGTCGTGGCTGCCATTGACTTGCGGGCCTGACATTAATGTTTGATAACAATGTCATTATTATTTGTTATCAATTATGATTATTAAGATTGTTGTAAATGATACCTTTAGTATTATAGTATAATAATAATAATATTTAATTTTTATATAGCGCTTAATACAAATGTGTCTAAGCGCTTTACAAATATACTATTACCCCAGTCATTGGATTCAGTGCTTGCCCGTACACACTGTGTGCACAATCTCCACTCCCTGGGGAGCATTCCATCATCACCATCATCATCAGATGCCTCGATCACCTCTGGTTTTTTGTCAAATGCATACTTTTGGTGTATTTGGGAATGTATAGTTTTCTCATCAGAAAATGCTGTTCATATACTCTAATGGTATGACATGGAGTGATGTGTTTGGTCCATTCAGAGTAACTAATTCAGGAATAGTTTTTTTTATCGCACTGATGAAGAAGATTGATATATTCTCTGTATATTTCTGCAGATCTCTGACAATGGTTTCGTGAAGTCAGCATCGAAGATCAGTAAGAGCAAATCAACCATGTTATCTGGGGGCCGTGGGTCCGTCGAACAAGATGAAATAAACTACCTCTGCCCTGAGGAAACAAGTATGAGTTTCAAGCGCAGTATCAAGAGTGAAGTCTACAAGTGAGTAAAGTGAAATAAAGGGACATATCATCATCATGTCCCATAACCTCCGGGTCTTAGCTAGGGCGCCACTGACAAGATTGTGCCCACCTCCTGCCATCTTGTCCTGTCATTTGCCATTCTTTGAGAATTGCTAAATGGCAGACTGGGCCATTCTTTGATATTCTTCTCTGCTGTCTCCTGTTTACTTCTCCCTCCTGGTAAAGTACCTTGTGAGATTGGCCTGCTGTGCCATTCATCCTGGTATCAAACATGACCATACAATTTCATTTTCAATTTTTTTTCTTTCATTATTGTCAAAAAGTCGTTGTATATCCCATTAGCTTTCTCTATATTGTTGACTACTTCATCATTTAGAAATATGATCTCTGTATGAAATGTTTACAATTTTCTGATTTGAAATATTCATATCTAATGCATTAAACCAAAAAACAAACAAAAACAAAACAGAGGCAAGTACACTTACATGAGTGGAGTGTGCTTCATATGTCTGGTTCTTATAACTAACATGAATTTATTTTCTACTACTGTAGAGTAGAACCAGAACCGATCTCAAAAGAACTTGTCAGACTAAAGGTTTTGAGCTGAGCCAGCCACTATAAAGCTAAAACACAAATCATGTCAACTTGGTAACAGAAGTCTGGCAGAAAAGAGTTGGGAACAGGTTTTAACACCCAGAAATTGTATTTTTCTTATATATTTGTGTTCATGTTTACATTTCTCCTTGCTGATTTGGGTAATAGTTGTTGCAAACTTCCTATGAGGAAAAAATAACAGACATTAATAGGTGTCAACATTTTGATGATTGGTTTAACTTTGTTCTGTAACAACTAACTTGACCGGTCCAGAACCCGGACAGGGTATTCAAAAGTTAACGAACCAAAGCAGACCATGATTAGGGTTGCGAGCTACCGAACCAGCATCTTTATACAAAGTTACCAATAATGTGTGATCCCTTCTGTTTCCGTCCTGTAGATTTGGAGTGATATTGTATGAGATTGCTTCAAGGATGCAGCCCTTCCAAGCCATGGAACAACAAGGTAATTCATGGTACATTGACATGCATATTTGCAAGTCCAAGGTATTGGTCATTTAATGTCCCATACAACAATGAAATAAGGTACATTCACAGTGCTCACATATCCATCCCTGAGGATGCTCAAGGCACCTACTTATCCCAGCTGCCCTCAGGACAGGTGCTAAAAGCATTCAAGAAATACATTCCTACCAGGTTTACTCTTACTACACCTGGGTGGAGAATGGTAAGTGAAGACTAATATCTTGCCAAAGGACATTAGTGCTGCAGTGGGACTTGAACTGTGAACCATGAGGTCCCGGCACAGTCCGATGACGCATCCACTAGACCACAACACCTCCACATATGGGCAAGCCCAAGCTATTTGGTCATCTGGTGTTCCTTTCGTTACCAGGGATTATTGTATTACGAGCATAGTCTTTATTAAACAAGCTGCACTGTTGGACTTTCCTTAGCTGACTAGAAATTAAACAAAGCATGAGTGAAGCTTTGAATCCATACTAATTGAAACATATAACTCAATGATGGTTCCTTTCTTTTGCTTAATCCAGGTTTAATAAGCATCAGCAAAAATACAGCATGATGTCATTTTAGGAAATGTTTTAATACCATGAAACAAGAATTTTTGCATCAAGAAACTTCTACAAATTGTAAGTGATGTCGGTTTTAATGGCAAGAAACTTGTGCAAGTTGCAAAAATTTAGTGTTGTGCGAGTTTTCATGCACGTACATGTTTACTGGTTTTACATTAGGCACTTAAATTTACATGAAAATAATCTTTAAATCCCTTTTTCGTATAGATGGAACTCCCCTAGACCACATGAAAAAGTACAACTTCATCAAGGATGGAAAAACAGAAGATCCTCCTAGCGACACTCCAGAAGCTTTCAAAGATCTCATTTCTCTCTGTCGGCAGAGGGCTCCTGGTAAAAGGCCAGCCACTGATGGTGAGCTAAGATAATAATATTACATTTATGAAGTGCATTTAAAATAGATCATAAGCACATAAATAAGAAATACCTACAAGAAAAGAAAAAATGAGAACTTTAGCATACAAAGCTTTCATTAATTAACAACAGAGAAGAATTTTACATCAAATTAGAAAAGACAAATTTTCAGACACTTCTTGAAACTGTGAGAGTATGGCAATTCTTAAGTACGGAGGTTAGAAGTTCCAGGTTTTGGGGGAAATGACAGAAAAAGCCCTTCTACTGGCTGATCGCGTATTATACATGGATGTGTGCAAATGGAGAAAATCACCTAGGTATGCTGGGGCCTGATTATTGAGACACTTGTAAGATTCTGCAAAATTCTTAAAGGCATCGCTTAACAATGTTTAATCTGAGATGCATGGCCCTTCGTATTATCAGTGTATGTGATATGGTGTAATATTGAAGCCCTAAAAATATTGCGCTTCTAAATGATCATGAAGTGCCTCAAAAAAAGTAAAAATCTTTGATTGACCGGTTTAATACTCATTTTACCCTATAGACTGTAGTGTTATGTAGTGTTAGGATAATGAAAAATAAAATTTTGATTTCCAATCACATTTTGCCCATCTTAATGTTTACCTTCCGTAGTCATGACTGGCAGATACTGATGGTTATTACTTAATTTATTTTTTACATACATACAATAGTGTAGCATGGAAGGGTCAATACATTGAGGGAGCACTAGCATATTGATGGGGGGGGGGGGGGGGGAGGCAGGGGGACTGATTTTACTCAATGGGTGAAATGCAAGTTAATTGAAGGTCATTCATCAGATTCAGGAGGAAGTTTAGAAAGGAGCTGCAGTATTGTCTATTCACATTCCCTTTCTCTTCTCCCCTATGTCTCTAATATATACATATATGGACTTGCCCTAATTCACGATGCATTTTCTTTATCATTCACAGCTGTTGTTGCCCATCTCAATAAGATGTGCTAGGTCAGATCTCGCTTGCAATTGATGTAAAATGTCGCTACTTCAATAAAATGACAGAGATGCAGCCTTCTACTTCTCGAATACCCTCCGTTCATCATTTGCACCAGCTCGTCTCTCGTCTTACTAACAGTGATGATGATAAAGCTGATAATGATAATGATATTATGATTATGAGGATGATGATGTTTAATATTTTTAATAATGATAATGGTACAGATAATGAAGATGATGATGATCCTGACGAGGATGATGATGTTAAAGAAGGTCATAATGATGATAATGATAATTATAATATAGTTATTATATAATGATGATGTTGGTAATAAATATGATGATGACGATGATAATGATGATGTTGGTAATACAGATGATTATGATCATCATAGTAGTAAGATAGTAGTATAGATAAATGCTGTTGATGATGATGATTATTACTGGAGGTGGTTGTAAGGGGTCATGTCAATCCCACATCCTTGTTGTTGGTTAGTTTAATTGTTTGATAACTTCTCTTTGATAGCGTCCGATAGTTCAGTAAAAGACATTTTTAGAGTTTGTGCATTAGCTTTTGGTATTACTATACTTTCTTCTTGATTTACGTATGTGTATATTTTGTGTGTGTGAGTGTGTGTGTGTGTGTTTTGGGTTTTTACAGACATCTATCAATCAGATATGATTTTTTACGTCTAGGGACCAACCTTTAACATCACCATCTGTAAGACATGACTCTGTTTCGAACCGTGTCATCTGAGCCAGTTTATAGGCGAAGACAGAGAGTTGACCAAGTGAACATGCCACCAGACCAACTAACATTTGTTACCTTGCAATAGTCTTGTATCTAGCCTTGACATTTTATTGATTAAACTTAAATTGTGAAGTACTTGTCGGTATCACCTTTAAAAAATATTCTATCAAAAAGACGGTAATTGTAGCAATAGTAATGATGAAATGGTACAAGAATTATGTGTTACCTGTCCTTCAAGTACTTGCATTTACCGTGAAGAATTAAATTTCCATGTTATTTATATTTCATGATCATTCCATGGCTCAAGACAGAGGAATTTGGAGAGAAACTTGGAGAGACACTTGATATAGAATTTTGAATGGGTCACTGAACCTGTCATAAACTGATATATCACTATTGATGATCATTCCATAATAACTTCCACATTAACCAGGGGTGTTTCACAAAGATTCTAAGTCAAACTTAACTCTAAGTTGGACTTAGAGAGCTATTTGTAGACGAAAATTCATTTTTTTAGACTTTTTATAAATTCCACATCAAGAACATGAAATCTCCTTGATATTAGAAAATATGAATGATTTGAATCAACATTTTATGGCTTTTGAAATAACTTTTACAAAATATTTCCAATGATGCTAATGGCTTTCCATAATTAAGTCCAACTTAGGATCTTTGTGCAACACCCCCCCCCTGGTAACTTGAGGGGGGGGGGGTGCGAGGGTTTTATGCCTCCCTTTGTAAGTAACCCTTTTTGTTGGTGCTCCCCCTCCTCTCCTTGACCCTTTCCCACGGTCGGCGCTTTGTGCCCTGAAAAGGGTCCACCTCATATAATGTGTGTACCCCCTACTAAAATCTTAGTTACAGGCCTCCTTTAACTCAATGTAAAATGATGTAAGTTTATAACAGAGATTTTTTTCAAAGTCTTTTTACAGTGTTGTATTAAGATGTCAATTTTATTTCTTGTATATCCATTGCAATTCTGAAAGTGTTTATACATTTAAATGTGCAAAAATGAACCGCAATCTATTTTGGTGCTTGTCCAAATTGGTTAAAGTCTTGTCCATTTATTGTGTAATGGTAAATTTTTTGCAGTGTTTTACTGCTGTATAAATCAATAATTCCATCCTTTATACAAAATTATTTTTAGATATATGGCTGTCCATGATGTAATTGGATTTAGTTGTTATTTATTGTCATATTCAATATATCTGATAGAGTACTTAAAATGACTTGTATTCCCTCAGATGTTGAGAATTTTTATCAAATGAATTGTGATTTTTTTTTCAACGGGAAATTGGAAAATGATCAAGTTTATTTATGAGGGGTAAAACAGTTTTATGTGTACAGTGTATACAAGTCAATGAATTTGGGGCATTTTACATTTGTGGTTATCCATTACATAGTAGATTTTTCCAATATTTCAATGTTTTACTGATTCGTATGACCTTACAAGGTGTTATACGTAGACGTTGTGAAGTGTAAATCATGGTTATAATCTCTGTGGGCTGAAGTAGCTATATATAGGCATACTATGTGTATTCTCACACAATAGTGTATGCCCACTGGACACGATCGCTAAAGACTTGTTCATAAATGCTCCGGTAAACTGTCACCGTTTTAAAATGTAAAACAAATGGCAAGTGGGGATGAACAAAGTAGCTGCATGAAACAAAAGCCCTATGCAAACTCATATTTGTGTGTCATGAGACACTAAAGTGTGATGTACAGTATGCTTGAAGTGTACCAATCACCAAAACATGGTCTCAATGTAAGGGGTTTGATGATGTTGCTGTATTGAAGTCAAACTATAAGGTTCACATATTTCTGTTAAAAGTTTAAATACATTCTCAGTGAAATGTAAATTATCTCAGTTGTGGAGTAAACTACTTAAAGCATGCATACGTATTTGCATAGAAAAGGCTTAGGTTCCATGCATGCCCTATATATGTACACAGGTTTATATGTTATCCCTTTTCTATGTACACAGGGTTATATCTGTTCATTCATTTTTCTCATATTGCTTAACCATCTTGCTATAAATGTTTGATTTCCCTATATTACAAGTTTAACATATGCAATTCATATCTTAACCAAATTATGTTAATTATGCACATGTACATGAAACAGCAATTGAAGACGATACTTGTCAATTAAGGACTCAATATCATCATATATTTTCTTCTTGACATTTTTCTATTCACATTTTCTACAGAAGTATGCAAGTGCATATACACATGCAATCTTTTGGCAATGATATATTTTTTTAAAGGAAAAAAAATCAATTTATGAACTTGTTATAAATGTCTAAAAATAAATCAAATGAAAATATGTAAATTAGATATTAAATTTATATCATGAATAATCTATGGTTTTTATGTCAGGTGATATTCATTTAGTAGCAAGTTCTTTTTATCGTCATTTTATTCATCTTTTCCTTTTCTGTAGATGCAACTAATTAGGGATTATGTACATTTTTCTACTTCAAATGTCTATCTTGTCATAGTTATAGTAGGTTATTCTGCGGTTAGTTTGCATTGCTGTTATTCAGAAGAAATTCTAAGATGATTTTTCTAATAAAGAAAGATGGCGAACATGATTCAAATGTTTATGTTGTGAGCGTGCATTCCTTTTGCATTCCTTTTAAAGTTTTGTACTACCCCCCCCCCCCCCTCCTTTTTTATTCTCTCTCTCTCTCTCTCTCTTTCTCTTTCTCTCTCTCTCTCTCTCTGTCTCTGTCTCTGTCCCTGTTTCTCTCTGTCACTCTCTCTCTCTCTCTCTCTCTGTCTCTCCCTGTCACTGTCTCTCTCTATCTCTCTCTCTCTCTCTCTCTCTCTCACACACTCTCAACCTTTCTGAAGTATGTCATTGGGTTTTGTACAGGTTTGTCAAGAATATTTATATCTACAAAATGTTATGATATTCATCTTGGAGCCCACCTTTAATGTCACCATCCGATAGCTTCACAACAGTTTGGACCACGAGTGTGTCGGTCAGTTGGGGGAAGACAGAGGGCTGACCACTATATGAAGAGGTCGATTCTAAAAGTCGCTAAATCCATTTTGACCAAACATTGATTAAAAAAAAAATGAATATGTGGATCTGACACATTGGAATCAAATGCGTTATATTGTGTATATTGCATTAACAATCCTTTTTTTTGCAAGCCAACAAATTCAGTTTACCAGTGTACCTTCCATTCCAAAAGTGATTAAATAATACTAATAATAATAATCAGTTCTTTTATAGCGCATAACACATTACGGGATAGCATGTCCCTATGTGCTTTAAATAGAAAGGAAAGAATTACAAGAAAAAGTCATACAAATTAGAAAATCCAAAATCCACATGGGTGTACACTTTTAACATTGAATAAATACGTTTTAAGAGAAACCTTAAACTTGTTTTATAGTTTCATTCCAAATGGGACTAAATCCAGTACGCCGACAATTACGCATTAATTATTTTAGAGCATGTACTTGGATCTGTAATATTTGCAGATATGTAACAATTATCAGTCAAGACGATAAATTATCTGAATATTTTCAATGAATATTTAATTGGATTTAAATATCTGAATGTGATGTTAATAGAAGATTTTTTCCCCCATGACAATTTTATTTCATAAAACGATAAACATTGGAGTAGATACTAGTAATAGACTATTTCATAGCAGCATATACACTTAATATGATTTCGCATTTAAATTGAATCTTTGAATTGTCAAATTGGTTTGAACATAAAAGAGACTGTTGATCTCAGCTCCATTCCAACTAGATCTAAATAGTCAAAACTAAAGTATACATATTTATGAAACAGATTTCTGTGCTGGATTTTATATAAATTGATGGCACAGGAGAGTGGTAAATTAAAATCCTTTGTTTACTCGAAAATGCTTGAAGTGGAATGAAACTTTTCATATACATGACAACCAGATGCTGGTGATTGTATGTCGCGGACAGATGCAGATGCAGATACATGTACTCGCTTATACTCCCCCCGATAAATTTGGGGATTCCCCCAAATGACGCGCGTTACTTTGGGCGCATGCGCAAGGTTCTTGTTTAGTGCGTTCTACACTGCACTGTGCATGTGAAGGTGATATATATGTAGATCTACGTAGGACATAATATTAGCGAGACAGTTTACTGCATAGGTAAGGTCGTCAGAAACATGTCGGCCGGTGACATCCTTTCCTGTATTGTGAAGGTTATAAAGATATCTAAACAGATACACGATGCTGTTAGAGACGTACAGAGTTTCAAAGAAAAGAGCAAAACCCTTGCCAGGAATATTGAACTCCTAGTTGAGCCTTTGGAAGTGCTGGAAAAGCGATGCACCAAAGAGGAGCTGGAAAAGTATCGGCACACTCCCGCAAAGGGAAGTGGGAGTGGCGACGCTGCTGCCGATGTGGATGACAAAGGAGAACATATCTGGATATCGTAAGCTATTTTTTATTTTAATTTCAGAAGAGAAATATCATGATTTTGACATGGATGTGATGAAAATTATCACTGCAGATTTTTGTATAGATATGTAATAATGGAGTAGGGAGGCCAATACCCAAATCTAACTTTTTAATTACTAATCTAATTATAATAAAACAAAGTTTAAAAGCAAGTATTTTCTTTCACTAAGACAAATCACACATCTGCCGACTCCAGAAGTTCCATAAAATAGGAGATATCCAGCTCTAAAGTATTCTCTTCCTTCTACGCCTATCCGTACGTAAGAGCCATGATGAAACAATTATGTTTCATGTCGCAAAATTACGTTCATAATTAGACAGGCCCGAGGGGATAGGCATGTCATTGCCCGGACAACAAGTTCAAAACTTCGCGCGAAAGTACATTCATTATTAGCGGCTAGCCCTTGAATCAGTCGCACACACCGCCGATACGACACAGGCATTGCAAGCCGCAGTCCTGAAATCGAGCCATGGAGGGACAAAACATGAAAAGAGAAAAGAAAAAAATCAACGTAGATCTACGTGATTGTACTAATATAATCCAAGAAAAGAATTAAAATTAATAATTAGGCCTAGGTCTACCTTAGTTTTGAGTGGTATTCCAAATCCAATAGTAATTCCTCATGAGTAAAGATCAATCTGACACTGCATTATCAACGATCGAGAAGTTACGAGGTCCAATTAACATCCATCTTGCAGCGAACACAATACGGAGTACAATAGGACAGCAGCATGCATAGCGCATGCAACGTACGTCTACTAATATTTCTCTCACTCTCTCTCTCTCTCTCTCCCTCTCGCTATACGTAACATACACACTCACTAACCATGTATCATACAACACACACCTTCAGATCATGGCTTTCATTTCAATTCTCAATTGGAGTATAGACTGCTCACGTAGACTTTTTATGCCTCCGCCACCGAAGGTGGTGCCGGAGGCATCATGTTTTCGGGTTGTCCGTCCGTACGTCCGTCCGTCCGTACGTCCGTCCGAGTTTGCGATGGTATGCTTGTGTGTTTAGTTTTACGTATGAGATATCCTTGTGTGTCACTTTAGACTTGTGTGTCTAGCCACACAAGAAAACTATCATATTCAGTGTCTAAGATGTCTGACATGTCATTTCTAATCAAATAAGATTTAGTCACACAAGAAAAGTTTCTCCCAAAAAAAGGCCCAAAATAAATGTCCAAATTTTAGAGAGGGGTTGTGTCCAAATAGCCAAACGGAATAGTGCCATCTACAGTTGACATCCAGGTAGCTAGGTACTATGCGCATCTGCAGTACTTGTGTGTGTGTGTGTGTGTCACATGTTAGTGTGTAGTATTTGTAAGCAAAGTAGTAGGCAGTGTATGGCTGTGTGTGTGTGTGTGTGTGTCATGGGTGGATGGTTTTGTGTGTGCAGTGTATATAATACATGTAATGTTTTTTTATGCCACACAAGCCTTAATTTTCTTGAATTGGACAGGGGTAGACAATAATGTCGTTCTGCCACACTAGCCTTAATTTTCACGACTTGGACAGAGGTATATAATACATGTAATGTCTTTCTGACACACAAGCCTTAATTTTCTTGACTTGGACTGGGGTAGATAATAATGTCTTTCTGCCAAACAAGCCCTAATTTTCTTGACTTGGACAGGGGTAGACAATAATGTCTTTCTGCCACACAAGCCCTAATTTTGTTGACTTGGACAGGGGAAGATAATGTCTTTCTGCCACACAAGCCCTAATTTTGTTGACTTGGACTGGGGTAGATAATAATGCCTTTCTGCCACACAAGCCCTAATTTTCTTGACATGGACAGTGGTACAGGTATATAATATCTTTCTGCCACACAAGCCCTAATTTTCTTGACTTGGACAGAGGTATATAATACATGTAATGTTTTTTTATGCCACACAAGCCTTAATTTTCTTGACTTGGACAGGGGAAGATAATAATGTCTTTCTGACACACAGGCCTTAATTTTCTTGACTTGGACTGGAGTAGATAATAATGTCTTTCTGCCACACAAGCCTTAATTTTCATGACTTGGACAGAGGTATATAACACATGTAATGTCTTTCTGCCACACAAGCCCATTATTTTCTTGACTTGGACTGGGGTAGATAATAATGCCTTTCTGCCACACAAGCCCTAATTTTCTTGACTTGGACAGTGGTACAGGTATATAATACATGTAATGTTTTTATGCCACACAAGCCTTAATTTTCATGACTTGGACAGAGGTAGACAATAATGTTTTTCTGCCACACAAGCCTTAATTTTCTTGATTTGGACTGGGGTAGATGACAAAATCTTTCTGACACACAAGCCTTAATTTTCATGACTTGGACAGAGGTATATAATACATGTAATGTTTTTTTTTATGCCACCCAAGCCCTAATTTTCTGGACTTGGACAGGGGTAGATAATAATGTCTTTCTGTCACACAAGCCTTAATTTTCTTGACTTGGACTGGGGTAGACAATAATGTCTTTCTGCCACACAAGCCCTAATTTTCTTGACTTGGACAGTGGTACAGGTATATAATACATGCAATGTTTTTATGCCACACAAGCCTTAATTTTCTTGACTTGGACAGGGGTAGATAATAATGTCTTTCTGCCACACAAGCCTTAATTTTCATGACTTGGACAGGGGTAGATAATAATGTCTTTCTGCCACACAAGCCTTAATTTTCATGACTTGGACTGGGGTAGATGACAATATCTTTCTGACACACAAGCCTTAATTTTCATGAATTGGACAGAGGTATATAATACATGTAATGTTTTTTTTATGCCACACAAGCCCTAATTTTCTTGACTTGGACAGGAGAAGACAATAATGTCTTTCTGCCACACAAGCCTTAATTTTCTTGACTTGGACAGGGGTAGATAATAATGTCTTTCTGCCACACAAGCCTCTATTTTCTTGACTTGGACAGAGGTAGACAATAATGTTTTTCTGCCACACAAGCCTTAATTTTCTTGATTTGGACTGGGGTAGATGACAAAATCTTTCTGACACACAAGGCTTAATTTTCATGACTTGGACAGAGGTATATAATACATGTAATGTTTTTTTTATGCCACCCAAGCCCTAATTTTCATGACTTGGACAGGGGTAGATAATAATGTCTTTCTGCCACACAAGCCTTAATTTTCATGACTTGGACTGGGGTAGATGACAATATCTTTCTGACACACAAGCCTTAATTTTCATGAATTGGACAGAGGTATATAATACATGTAATGTTTTTTTTATGCCACACAAGCCCTAATTTTCTTGACTTGGACAGGAGAAGACAATAATGTCTTTCTGCCACACAAGCCTTAATTTTCTTGACTTGGACAGGGGTAGATAATAATGTCTTTCTGCCACACAAGCCCTAATTTTCTTGACTTGGACAGGGGAAGATAATAATGTCTTTCTGACACACAAGCCTTAATTTTCTTGACTTGGACTGGGGTAGATAATAATGTCTTTCTGCCACACAAGCCTCTATTTTCTTGACTTGGACAGGGGTAGACAATAATGTCTTTCTGCCACACAAGCCTTAATTTTCATGACTTGGACTGGGGTAGATAATAATGTGTTTCAGCCACACAAGCCCTAATTTTCTTGACTTGGACAGGGATAGACAATAATGTGTTTCTGCCACACAAGCCTTAATTTTCTTGACTTGGACAGGGGTAGACAATAATGTCGTCTTGCCACACAAGCCTTAATTTTCATGACTTGGACAGAGGTATATAATACATGTAATGTCTTTCTGCCACACATGCCCTAATTTTCTTGACTTGGACAGGGAAAGATAATAATGTCTTTCTGACACACAAGCCTTAATTTTCTTGACTTGGACTGGAGTAGATAATAATGTCTTTCTGCCACACAAGCCTTAATTTTCATGACTTGGACAGAGGTATATAATACATGTAATGTCTTTCTGCCACACAAGCCCATTATTTTCTTGACTTGGACTGGGGTAGATAATAATGCCTTTCTGCCACACAAGCCCTAATTTTCTTGACTTGGACAGTGGTACAGGTATATAATACATGTAATGTTTTTATGCCACACAAGCCTTAATTTTCTTGACTTGGACTGGGGTAGACAATAATGTTTTTCTGCCACACAAGCCTTAATGTTCATGACTTGGACAGAGGTATATAATACATGTAATGTTTTTTTTATGCCACACAAGCCCTAATTTTCTGGACTTGGACAGGGGTAGACAATAATGTCTTTCTGCCACACAAGCCTTAATTTTCTTGACTTGGACAGGGGTAGATAATAATGTCTTTCTGTCCCACAAGCCTTAATTTTCTTGACTTGGACTGGGGTAGATGACAATATCTTTCTAGCAACACAAGCCTTAATTTTCTTGACTTGGACTGGGGAAGACAATAATGTCTTTATGCCACACAAGCCCTTATTTTCTTGACTTGGACAGGGGTAGATAATAATGTCTTTCTGTCACACAAGCCTTAATTTTCTTGACTTGGACAGGGGTAGACAATAATGTCTTTCTGCCACACAAGCCCTAATTTTCTTGGCTTGGACAGGGGTAGACAATAATGTCTTTCTGCCACACAAGCCCTAATTTTGTTGACTTGGACAGGGGAAGATAATAATGTCTTTCTGCCACACAAGCCCTAATTTTGTTGACTTGGACTGGGGTAGATAATAATGCCTTTCTGCCACACAAGCCCTACTTTTCTTGACATGGACAGTGGTACAGGTATATAATATCTTTCTGCCACACAAGCCCTAATTTTCTTGACTTGGACAGAGGTATATAATACATGTAATGTTTTTTTTTATGCCACACAAGCCTTAATTTTCTTGACTTGGACAGGGGAAGATAATAATGTCTTTCTGACACACAGGCCTTAATTTTCTTGACTTGGACTGGAGAAGATAATAATGTCTTTCTGCCGCACAAGCCTTAATTTTCATGACTTGGACAGAGGTATATAATACAT